TAATATTTAAGCTGTCTTTACTTGAATAATCTTTTAATTATTTATTTAAGATTCTCTTGCCCACTCATGCCTTTACACCACTTGGGCGGATATATAATAATAATAAATATCTTAAAATATCTTATTACAGTTCGCTATGCTCAAACTCTATTAATATATATCCATGTACTGGCGTACTGATTTGCTAGATATATGCAGTGCTAACTAGGGTATACAGTCTGAGACTCTTAAAAGACAAAATCACAGTAGCACTATAAATATTCTAAGAAAACTAGAAATTAATAGGTATTCTTTCTAGTCACTTTATTTATTCTAAGATAAAAAAATAATAATATAATACTTAAATAGTAGGATTCTTCTTACAGGCTTTTCTTTACTTGAAAGGATTATATTATAAAACTAAGAAGAGATAATTATATCTTTAATTAAGCTATAAATTATTACTAGATAACTAATACTTGTTTTTATTTCTTATTTTTATGGTCTCTAGTTATGCACGGTTTAACAATCACACCGTCTATATTTATGAATAGGAGTTAATGGCTAGTGGAAGAGATAGATAAATATTTATAAAGAAAATCCTAATATATCCTCTTTTTTATTATCACGGCCTAGCTATTACAGTCTAATTTCATTATATATACAGACCAATGCTGTTAAATAATTTAGGAGAATGTGATTATGGAGCAACTTCAGTAATAGTTCAGAATAAATAATATATTAATGGACTGGCCTGAAGACGGGCCATAAAACTTTTCAAAGTAGCAGAAGTTCCCGCCTTTAATAATAACTGAATTAATAATTATCAGGCCCGCACCGGATGGCAATAGACTGAAATAATACTAATAAAGGGGCTAGATTAAATTATACCGCTTATTACTGTCACAGTCCAAGGTGGATAGAGACTGATAGAAATATTAGATAATACTTTATATTAATATTGAGATTTGATATACTTGTTTTACTAAACCAGAAAAAAAGTATTTTGCCTTAGTAGCTGTTCTATATAGTAGAAAGATTATATTCTCTCATATATTCTAGCAGTTGTACTGAGGAGCTTTATAGAAATATTAAGAGATTAGAATTAAATAATTCAGCTTAGCTTAACTGGGTGTCTCCCGGATCTGATCTCTGATCTCAGGATTTGGACCCAATTGGATTATGCTGCGGCCATGCGCAAGTCACGGTGGATATAGTTATCTTAGCCAGTAGTTAATTCTCTTATATAAGCTTCTACTTTTCCCATCATGATTCTAGACTAGAGGAAGTTATATGCCAGCTAATAAAATACTTTCTAAAATATCACCAGATAATTTTATTTTAGATCAGTAATAGTTGAATACAAGAACCGTAACAGGGGCACTATTAAGCTTAGTCTATAGACTATCTTCTTTTATTAGTCCGTGCAATGTTCTTTGCCATTCTTCAGGTCAAGAGTCTGTATAATGCTGAAGAGCTGTATTCTCCTCTGCCAGATAATATACTACCCGGTGGGGATAGAGGCCACATTTCTTGGATTATAATACAGAGAACCTGCAGTTTACAGACTGTTCTATGATTAGAACTTGGATTTGGATTTATTTGTAGTACATGAATGTTTCCAGCCCTGTGTGGACTTACCTATGGAACCATGCATCTCCAGGTCAGGACCAGGGTGCTTACTGTAAATCTGGAATGAACTATGTTCTCAATAACCTGTACAGAATAGACAAGCCCTGGACGAGCGCAGACTACCAGATTGCTGTCAGATAAATGCATACTGGGAAACTTCCTAAAGACCGGAAATCCGAATGGTGATGGTTTGGTGCAATAGCTGGTAATTAATAAGACAGAAATTACTCAGCAGCTCGGAGACAGATGGGGCTCTATACTAATCAGTAGTAAAGATTAGATAGAGTTAATTATATCATGGCTTAATACCCAGCCTCTCTGGTAGGCTGATCTTTGTGCTTCAAGGCTAGAGTTTAGAGAGTATGCAGTAGCGGCTCTAGTCTTTCAGACTATTTATTTGCCTCCTTTCTTTCTTTCTTTTTTTCTTATTCTTTTGAATTGCTTTCCTTTTAATGCTCAAACTTCTTTGGTTGAATTTGTTTTTTAATGATGGGGGACCACCAGTTGGCGCCTTAATTATTAGCACTATTAGAATCTGATCTCTAAGCACTGCACGGTTGTTCCAGATAATGGGCTGGGACTGCACAGCGGACAGCCTTCCTGCCGAGTCTGGACCGCAATAAGGTTCTTGTAGGCTTGGTCTAGCTCCTGTTGCCAGGCAGGAATGATTGATGGCTAGAAAGAATAATATAGTAAGCAAGAAACACAGTAAATCATAAATTTAATCTCAGTAATTATCCGGTCAAACCGTAGAGAATAATACATGCCAGAAATCCCGAGGGGATTCACTCAGAGAATTACCTATTCATTCCCAATGTAGTACTTGCACAACAACACTGGGTTACTACTTCTTCGACTTCATCTCTTCCGTCAAGGCCTGGAAATGACTGATCAATGGCCTTATCTCTGAAGGGTTAGGAGGCGAGGATCGTGGCTAGCATCCAATCTATTAAGTATCCTGACCAGAATATGGCATTACAGTGTTTTCAGCGTCTTTCTTATTGTTCCTGTCCTCTAGAAACACTGCATACACTTCTAAGCTATGTCGCGCGCGTGTCTTTGGGGCTCGGGGCTTGTATATCCATCAAAAGAAACAACAATAAACCCTCTGGTGGATGTTTGCCATCAATGTCAATCCACAGTCAACGTTCAAACACTTTATCTGTCAGCCAACTCATTTACCATGGCCCTAGCCTACTTAGTAGTCGAACATTCCACGTGGTCTATCACTTACGTCGTAAGATAGCAATATATGCTACTATAGCATCTGACATCCGGGTTTGGCACATTCTGCCGCTACACACACACACAATTCATTAACGCCCGGCGGCTCAGCCGAAAGGGCAACTATCACTAAACTATCAACACAAATTCTAATATACATCTGCGGTATCTCCTTCGAGCCCATACATAGATCCTTTCAGTATATGTCCTCTCAGCTGTCAATATCATAGGAATCCCTGTGGGTTAATAAATTTATTAATAGACTGGCTTAAAAGTGCTTTTTTAAGTGTTCAATATCCTATCCTCGGCAGTTAAAGCGCGTCTACCATCTGTGGCACAGGGTGGTTGGTGTGGGTTAATTAGGAAAAGAATGTCAATATCTTGGTTAACATGGTTAGATAGTGTCAAGTCGGCCCGTAACAATGGTAAATTATATTAAGGCTCGTACTGCCTCCAAGTTCAGCATCCATTACTAATCATCAGAAGACAATTTCCCGTCCAGGCAGAGGGAGAGATTGCCCCGCTGAGTTCAAGTATATTATAGCAATAAGAAGCATTACATAGTCCACTTCCGACACTAAAAGAGAAAATACTCCACGGTTTTTCTTACTTGTCCGCATGCACACTGGTCTGTCTGCGCGGCATTAATCCAGTAGAGATACCCATTTAATCTTGCCATACCGGTCCGGAGTTGAGCCAGCACGGTCGCTTCTTTCCACAATAATCTATTATACAGTTGTCGGGTATGCTTTCCTGGGAGTACAGCATCCACTCATTTAACATGTCTTTCTATATCCTCTGGCAAGGCTTTCGTGGCGACTGCTTGGGATCATGCGAGATTCAACGTTGTTGACTTCATTCTGGGAACCTGTGTTTGTGGGATAGCATCCTCGTGGGTTACAGCTCGGGCCTGCTCCTTAACTAGGCCCAGCAGTTTATTATCTTCGCTAATAGGGACCCAAAGTATCCTGATGTGGTTTCCTTTCCTCCGTAGTCTGTTCACCAGCTTGTACGTATGGCAGACGAACTCCTGGCCTGACTGTTGTCGAGGGTTCTGTAACGTGAGGGCTGCAGCTTTCAAGTACTGATTTGTATTCCTAAGCTAAGCAAGCCGGATAATAAATTGTAGAGGAGGCAGCATGTCTACCTACATAGACCCTCCACCTTGCGTCGCCTTCGATCCTTTTCCGCATCCTTCACGGGGCACAGCCGGTCCCGCAAGTCAATACCAGTTTGCACCTTAAGCCTACTTCCATAGCCGCCCTAAAGACTCCATCCTCGATGGCCATCTTCAGAATCCTATTCTCTCAGTAGACCGACACGCGCGTCCGTCCTCTCGAGCCATATAGAAAGGGTCGTAACTGCAGTCCGCCCACCCAGTCTTCCGTCGCTTCCATTATATGCTGCGCCCCACAGGTTGTCAAATCTGTTTCGCGCTACCTTGCAAGATCGCTCTAACAAGGCCGACCGTGTCTCGCAGGAGTTCGTCCAGTTGTGTCCTCTCTGTATCCCGAACAGCCAAGCAACACAGCGTTGTCCCTCCTACTAACCAAAGTACCTCGTCGTTCTCTGTGTGGGTTCAAGCATGCTGGGTCGTGCCGTGTCGTTCGCGTTTTTGATTTTGACTCTTGTCATTTCTGTATCCTGAGACCCAGCGATATCCTCCTTTCAGCAGAGCAGCCCGAGAGCACCCCAAGGGTGTCCTATCCCACGACCCTAGTGTCCACTGATTGTAGGATCGGTTTCGCAGTCGTGTGTCGGGTGGTTTTCAAAGCGTTCCCTTGTCGCCTGTGCGTGGGGTCAGGGCCCCTGACCCCTGAGCTCTCGCTCCAGCCGTGGCCCTAGCCAGCTGACAGTGCTGGCCGGTAGTGACTCTTCTTTGCTCTGCAAATGCCTTCCAGGCAAGGCATTCACAGGTTCCCAGCCGGCACCACGGGGAGGTGAGAGTCGTCGCCAGCTAAAGGGAACAACAGCTTTTCCGGAAAGTATGTTTTATGTACAAACTGTACAGTAAATTTCAGGTAACTATATTATATAGTCCCTGATACACATGTGCTTTGTCATGTGCTGTTCTCATACCGTCCGGTAATTTACTGGATATATAATCTATATAAGATAAAATATACCAGTCTTCCGATTTCTGTCTATAGCTTCGAGCTATGTCTTATCTATTTTTCTGTATATAGTCTGACTGTAGTTAGCCCGCCTATTCCCAGTCTCCTCCTGTCCCCTGCTTGAGCTACTGTCCTACCAATACCGCCAGCCCGCACCCTGACAGCATCCATCCTTCAATATATCTATCTATGTATCAATCCCATAAACCCCCAAATCCTCCTCCATTTTCACCAAAGCAAACACTGCACTCTCCCTCCCCCCGAACACCCTCAACTTCCTCACCCCCCTGAACTCCAGGCCGCTCTTTTCCAACACCCTCCGACTACGCATATTCCCCGGCGCACAAAACCCAAACACCCCCTGCACATTCCACTTGCGTTGCACGTACTCAATGACCGCCTTCGCTGCCTCAGTCGCGTATTTTCGCCCTTGGTGTCTGGAAGAATAGCAAATCCATTGTCTGGTGCAGAGTAGCGATTTGGTGGGTCACCTTGCATGAGGCTTATGGTGCCAATCGGAAGGGTGTTTTCATGACGTGGATTGGATATAGGCCTGAAGTTGAAGAGGAGGAGGCCGAATCCTTTGCAGGTGTATTGGGGAATGATCCGGGTCTGAATGAAGGTCTGGACGGAATGGCTGTCTGTGATGGAGGTTTTGCCGTTGGTGGCGATGAAGTCGGGTGTGTTCCAGAGGTGAGCGAGGAAGGCGCTGTGAGATGGGCTGGTCGGGTCGAAGTAGGTGATGTTAAGGCGGGCGGTTAAGATAGAGAAGTTAGTTGGCGGGTTGGAGGTACTGGTCATCATGGCAGTAAATGCGATGGTCCAGTTTGTATAGCAAATGGCCGAGGTGAGGTTCCATATATATAGGAAGCTTCTAGACTCATGGTGTTATCAGCAGTAGGTTGTTCAAGGATACTAAAAAGGATGTTGGATTGATCAGTAGATGAGTCAATCAGGATGGTAAGTTGTACGGTTAGCAGCGGACCTGGAGTAACCCGTTCTCATCGTATGATAAGGTCTGACGATTACCGCGGATAAGCCAGATATCGGTAGAATCTAGAAAACCACCAATGCCATTATTGTGGTCTGCGGATGCTTACAAATAATTTGGAGTAATCGATTCTAGACAGCCGAATCCCCCGGTCGATGATATGAGATCCCCCCAGAGCCGCCTTCAGCACCAACGCCACCTCACCAATTGTGGAGAAAATCTTCAAATATAAGTTAACAGTAATGTAATATCGCCGGTACTACTCAATCCGAACCAATGTCTTGCTTATTTTGACCGTCCGATACTGCTAATCCCACGCGTTATACACCGCTTAACCAGCGGTGTAGAGAACTCCTCCGGGCAGTACAGTACCCGTATTTAATATCTACTCAATCACCCCTAGAATAGTCAGGACATCACTGACAGTATAGTCGTTAATAAGCGTAACTTTATAAACTAACTGTTCCTGTAGTTCCAGCTGCAGTGTAATGAATAGGATAAGTAGATAATCCAAAGTCTGGTTTATATCTTCTAGCAGTGTTACTGTTCACCCGAGTGTCTTGCGGCGGTACGGTCCAGAATTTATCTTGGAATATATGAAAGGCTGATGAATATCTTGGCAGACCAGTATATCTCAGCTATTTCAAGATTGATTTCTCTGCTATAGTAGTGATAGAATGGTCCAGGTCAGCTCTAGCCCAGTGTAATAATACCAGAGTATAGTAATCGGATAGTAGTTGATAATGTCTGGTAAACATGACGCGTCGCAGACAATGGTATAGAGAAGAATTGGATGATAGTAGTGATGATGAATTCTAGGAGGACAGGAACCAGCTGTTTCCAGAAAGCCGTGACGCCGCGATCAGGAAGGCCATACTGTTGTGTATTGCTATTGTTGTAGCTGAACCCGATAATTGATACAAATGTGGCACCGCTCATGATTGCAGCCATGGCGAATTGTGGTAGTAGGAAAAACTCCACGTCCGGGAGTAATGGATTGACGACTCTCGACCATTCTTCAGATCTCCTGATGTTGTCCACCTCGACATGGACGACACTGCCGGACGGCAGTGACATTGCATGGTCGTCGTCATTCACCGATAGCTTTGATAGATCCTTCTGGGTGACCCAGGTCTAATGACCGTTTTCGCAATGTTCAGTAGCTTTGGCGATTGGCCTTGGCGAGGCATCGTATTAATCCAGGAATCAGCTGTCTTAGGAGGGCTGCTGCGACCGTAGTCTGGCCATAATATGGATGACGCCGCAGAACTAAACGCACAAATTACGTGCCAGTGATTGATCCATGTGACGCTCGGGGCGCTTCGCTGACGCAACGGCGCATGGTTTTCAATTGACGCCGAATCAATGCGGCACCTTTGCGGTGCACATTGTGCCGATCGTGTCGGTGTCTCGACGTGTCCGCCGGAAATGTTGAAAGCAGTCATAGCACCTCCCTGTTGAACTGTCTTGGTTCGGCAGCTAGGTCGCTGCTTTCAGAGACACTCCTGCGGCTACTAATATCGGTTCAATTATAGGACTGTATACTGACTGCATCTAGTGTCAGCGGCAGCGCGACTATGGCCTGCTCTCATGGCACTGCTGGGATCCTGCTTTGACTTGGAGGCACGCCATCGTCTTCAAGTTCTGCGATGAAGGGTCACGGTGGTCAAAGTTGGGATCACTCTCATTGGCAAAGTTGACCACGGAAGTCCTAAGTACTGCGGGCTCTTACCCACCCCCCTGCTAGCCATGACATTAATACCCCGGATGTCTGACTGGAATTGCTTTTGTTGGGTGGTATTGTAGCGGGCTGGAGAGGGCTGGCCAAATACTCAATATGTCCTATGGACCTGTGATTTTCTCGCTAGCACAAGAGCCTGCTCAGCACACTGACAATGCCACGATGGGAGCAGGCAAACGGAGTACGTTGTGGACTGCATTTTTGATGAGCGTGATCCTCTACGATCGGCTGCAGGCTGTTTAGTTTTCCTAGGATCTCCTGTGGCGATGGTTGCTCTCGGGTTTCCTTAGCTAAAGTGATCATGCTATTCAAAAAAGGCTTCCAAAGATTGGGCTGGTAGATTGGCGCGTTTGGTGTTGTCAAACTCCAGCAGTGCTGTAGCCTCGGTTATGATTTGAGTGGCATGCTCGAGGTGGTTCAGGGGCTGGATCCCCAACACTGGCCAAGTATTCCTACCAACCATGACTTCCTGGATATTGGGTTGTAGCCAAAGGCCAAGTTAATGTATTGAACCAGGATTGAGGTCATTCAAGCTCATTTTAAACGTGAAGTTTCAAAAATTCGCTCTGAGCTGAGAGTAGTTGTTTTTTGAGAATGAATGGGTCACGTGCGTGGCGGATAATTATAGTTCCATCCGATCATTTTGGGCACCAAAAGACGCCCCGCTCTCAAACCCGCCATCGACATTCTTGCTTCTTGGGCTTCGAAACCAGCCTGTTTGCTAGGTAAGATTCAGCAGTAGGATCAGTTTGGGCTTGGGATTCTCTAATGATAGCAATTAGTCTCCAGCTACCACTCGTATTTTCCTCGCACACGATGTCCCCAACAACGATAAACGAAGATGCATTTCTCAAGTTGAAGAACCTTTCGGCGTGGGTTTCCGACACGAAGGAATTCAAAAAGGAACAAGAAAATCTTTTCAGATGCGTGGATGAAGGCCGTCATGTCAAAGTTGCCCCTTTACTGGAAGATTTAGGGTTCGATAAGATCAAGGTGATTTGGCTCATCTCAGTTTCGGGAATACAACTAAGATGTCCACAGGGATATGGATACTCAATCTGGCGCGTTACGGGAAAAATATCACTCAAACCAACACCTCATTACAAGTCCCTATTCTTTCCTCTGTCTATCTCGTCTGGGTCTGATAGTGCAGCGGGAGAAGTTCAAGCCGCGGGCGAGGTGCTCACTCCGGGAATATATGTTCCATTCACTACCCTGATAACTCTTGACAGTCAATTAGATTGTCTAATTGTTTATCTACCGGAGACTGGTGTTCCATCCGCAGCTGGGAAGTGACGTGTGACGACTACATTTATTGCAGTCATGTATCTGCTTTGTTCTGAGGAGTCAGGTGAATGAGTCATTGTATTATGTAAATATCAACACACTGCTTGGGCTGCGCCTGCGTCATTGAATTTTCCCGGCCGCTCATACGACCGTGGACTAGTAACATTATGAATCTCGCGTTGTATGTCTTCTTGGGCCCTGAGAACACCAGCGAATGAATCTCGTGCTGGACTGTCATCGAGTAGGGGTTCTGCCATTGTGAGAGGATGAATAGAGCGGCCTGCGGGATCACACCTCGAGCCCGTGGGAGAGTTCACGTGGGCAACAGGCGTCGCAGAAAAATCTCCTGGTACTTCTGAATGATGACCTCTATAAAGGTCCGGAGCAGAGGGTAGGCCAGGTGTGTGCCGTAACAAACCATGCAGATCGTCGAAAATGCCGTGAGGAAAATCACTCGCTGAAAAAGGGTCTACGGCAAGTGGATGGTTAGGTGTGCCCTCTGAAAGACCAGCGAGGTTGTCGAAAAGGTCGTGAGGAAAATCACTCGCTGGAAAAGGATCTGCTGCAAGTGGTTGGCTAGGTGTGCTCTCTGAAAGACCAGCGAGGTTGTCGAAAAGGCTGTGAGGAAAATCACTCGCTGGAAAGGGGTCTGCTGCGAGTAATTGGCTAGGCGTGTCCGAGAAATTAGGGAGATTGCCGAATGGCCGGAAGGCGTCTGCCGGGGGCGTTTGGGAAGTTATGTCCTCCATCAGAGGAGAGCCTCTAGCCGAATTAGTGCGAGCCACTTCGTCATCTTCTGAGAATGTTAGTAGCTGGCGACTTGTTAAACACGATGAAGTTTTACCTGGTGGCGAACAAGAAATGTGATCCCGACATGGTATTTTCGACGGTTCAGATCGCATCGATGCCATTGACCTTTTTTTGTTATCCAATGCAGTATTGAAGAGTAACCGATAGGATTCGACAATAGATAAGTCGTAGTTCAGGCAATGGCAAATTTCTCTTAGCCTGCAATGGAATGGATCAGCTATAAGAGCTTGAAAGAATAAACAAGTGACCCACGAAGCGCTGTCCCTGAAAACCCTTTCTATGATCAAAGGGATTGCGAGCGGCACGGGTGTATTCTTAGGTTGACCTAATAAGGAGTCGTTGAAAACATTATTATTCCTCATGCCCTTTAATACTTGCTCGGGCTCAATGGAAAACTCGGCGAATCGGGCGTAAAAGCTAACTGAATGTTCAGCTTGCCAGAGGTTAGCTTGTCAGAAGAACATAAATGAGGTCAACCTACCAACACAAATAGCATCCCAGCAGCTATATTCCCATTTAGTCTGCGATAAAAGGGATATGATACTATTCGCCCATTTTGCGCCGCGAATAAGTTTTTCGAATTGTCTCGAGTAAGCATTGGATCCCAGAACTTTTCTCATAATCTCGTAGACGCTATCTTTGTTCTCAGTAACTCTCAACGCGACCGCACAAAGCGAAATAAAAATCAGCTCCCGAAAGCATGCCAACTGTCGATTGATCATGCCGTTTGCCATCATTGAGTTTCCGTATTCCAATAGGATGGAAATTTCTGTTGACTTGGATGACGGTGGATCTAAGGAGACAAAGCTTGATGCACCTGAGACACAGTCTTGAACCAGTGCTTGAAAAACTTTCTGCGTTGACTCCCATGAAGAGCTGAAACCCAGTCCTTCCAAACCTGTGACTGGGGTAGATCGTCGAGGAATGTGCTGAATTTTGATAACACCTTGAGTTGCTGCTCCTTGCTTTGGCTCAGCACGCATTTGTCGGTCCCACCCGGATCAAGGCCGGCGTGCTTAATGTTATGTTTTGGACTGTATTCGATGATCTTCAATGTCGCGCAATCACCATGGGTTCGGTCTGGATCACGTCGTCGCTGTTCTCGATTCCCCGACGCGTGTTGCATGTTTCTGCCGCGGCTTCGATTTTCCGATACGCTATGAATTTGACCTTGGTTACGATTAGCGAGTTCAAAGAACTCGTGCTGACTGCTAACCCCATTCGAGCCTGGTCGGTTTCTCAAGGAATATATGGTTTCATTGTATGTCTCTGGTTGAGACGAATGACGAACAATTCTCTCAAGTTCAAGAACTCGAGCTTCAAGGAACTGAATGTAAGCCGTATCGTCACCCTCGAATTGAATTCGGCGAACCTGGGTCATGTTTATGTTAACAGACGAGAAGAATGAAATAGGCTGAACGACTGAGATTTTGCGCCTTTCACCTCCGCCCGAAGAAGGGGTGAGCCCTGAGCACTAGGCCACATCATGAAAAGGCCCGTGCAGCGCTTATACCTGCAGTTCTGTCACATGGTGGCGGAAGCTTCCAGCCGCTGTCCAATGCCTTTTCAACCACTTCTTTTACAACTATGCATGTATTCTTAGGAACTTTGCATATGAACTCGCTGCTTTCCTGTACTATAAGGCCACTTCACCTGAGCTTACATGATACTTAAGGTACGGCAATATACGCATTCCCCTCAAAGCAAGGAATATCAGGAGGTTCTCGGATGATGCTGGCTAACGCTGGAAGGTGTATCCCACACAACGAAGCTGCGCTCGCCGCCTTCCGATGCCTGCTCACCGTCAACTCATCACCTGCCCTCAGCACTAGCCGAATTCGAGGCACCCAATGGGTGTTCTTAATCCGGTTAGTCAATCACCAAGTATTGGCCGTCCATCACTGTCTTACAGCACTAAGTAAAACAGAGGTACCCAATGGAAGCCCATACTCTGGTTAGTGGGTTTCGAACTCGAAATCATCCGCCACCAGAACTGTAGCTAGCCGAATTCGGGGCACCAAATGGGGGCCCTAGATCTGGTTAATGATCGTCAACTTCCTATTGCAGTTCCCATGGGGTTGGCTACGACTTCAATTTCCCCTTCTAAGGGAACTAGTGACTATTCAATTTGCAGGCTCTGGTATTCTTGGTAAGCGTATGTTTTGGACGGCGGCCCCAAGTAATCCTCAACTCAAAATCGTGACTTTCAGGGAACTGACTGAGCTACTATGACGATGAGAAGGACTCAACCTACTTCGTAATAAGTCAGCTGGAATGTGTGATCTCCTTTCTCTATTTTTTGTTCTGGAAATGATAGAGCAAAAGTACTCCGCTCTCACTCCATCAGTTTGATCTTCCGCGAATGGAAAAATATTTGACTGCCTTCAAAGAGGAAGCTGTCGGTCAATTCATGCCTGGGTTATACGTGTAATTATTCAAATTCTATAACGTTAAGTCTACTGGCTTAGTCGTTATTACCCCGGCCAGATGATTCTCTATCCATTTTGGAACGAAATAAGATTCAAAAACAAACAATGAACGAGCGGCTTCTGATACTACGGCTTGAAGACGTACTGAGGTTGTGACATATAAAATAAGAAACCCAAGACCCGCTCTCACGGTCTTCTCTCCTACTGGAACCGAGCCTTATGCTCCAAAGAAGGCATCATTGTAAGCTTCATTTCATTCTCGCTTTGGTTCCATGGTGCTTAGTCGAACGCGCCTCATGAACTGCCTCCCTACCGTTTCGCTACGATCTCTGCTTTCAAGCTGAATTAATTTTCTATTTCCCATATCGCATGATGCGTCATCCATTTGGGGTGGGGAAGAAGCAGAAGAGGAAGAGACAGAAAGATACTCTGAACGGCGGCCTTCCGATAATACGACTTCCCTTAACCATACTGAGAATGCTGCATACAGTATGAATAACAAGATGCCTCCAATTAGGAAGAGTCCAGCGACATTGTCTAAACTTCAGGGATCCGAGAGTAGAAATATTTAATACTTCTGTTCTCCCATCAATCCATAGTAATATTGGAACTCCACAATGAATTCTACCTGTATGGGCGCGGTATACTAATGACTCTTTTTGCCTAAAGTTTGCCAATCTGCCTCCCACTAGTCCATGGACTCGGTCCCTGAGTACTGTCATTGGACTTCCGATCCGTCTTTGGACCCAAATACATCTTGAACGCTCCGAAGAGTAGTCATAGCCTCAAGAGCAAGCGAATATACTCGAAAATTGAACCCGGTAAGTATATAAGGTAATAATCTCATGCTGAATCCGTGAATGCTAAGAATACAGATCATGACAACCCCGCATAGCACATGTTTAACTGTGCGCGACCTCGATAAAGTTGCGCGGTTCGAAAGATACGAGGGCGTAATTTCGGGTGTACTTTCGGGCAATCAAACTTTCTCTATTATATTCCACGTGAAATATAAGAATGGCTCGAGGGGCAATATTTATGGGGGGCTATATATTTCAGGAGAATTGTTATCGGAGACACAACTACGCGAACTTCTACGTAAAATTGGGGCTGCAAAGGCTCTTCTGAGGGATGAGGAGTGGCAATATTTGGAGTGGAAATACGGCGTTAAGAAAGAAGAAGTTTTAGTTCTAACTAAGGCTAGGGCCTAGGTTGGATATCAAAGATCTCAGGTTTCCTAATACAAGAAAGCAATCTACAAAGTGCCCAGCAAGGTAATACGACAGCCAACAATGGGATAAGGTACAAGGAAATTACCCCTCAGAGAGTAATAATATCATCTTACTCATATAGAATGCACCTGACAATTACGATGTGACACGCGTCCCTACTGCAGACATTAGGGTGAGTGCATATACCCCATTGTTACCGAGAAACCGTATTATTAATGGATATTCACAAAAGCATCGCTGGCCATCAGCTGTGAACCTCAAGCATATAGCTTGAAGCCTAACGATTGGGTGCATGAGTAGCAGCCAGGATGCCATGCATGTTCACTAAAGGTATTGGCAGGCTGGGACTCTGTTTGCTTCAGTTATCGCAATAAAAATTAGGGGAAAGCAATGATCTTAGTGGGTGATCATGCCTGGGATGAGGATAATATAACATACATGTCATTTTCAATACACTAAGAACATGATGACTGCTCTGATATATCTCACGCCAAGGTCTATCCAGAGCATGCAAGGAAACAATTCCAGGAGAGGAAGGAAGAAAGTCCGATAATTGTATACTCTGTCTTCCCTGATGCATGGCCACTAGAAAGAAAAAGCGAAAAGCGAAAATTAGAACATAATCTCTTTCTTTCTGTTGGAAACAGCAAACCAAACCCTTCCGGGCTATATGGAAGTGTTCTTGAGTTCCTCCCAAGGTATACTGCACTTCACAAAGTCTAGTATGATTTGAAGTAACTGCCGGTCGACCGGGATCATGCGCATAGATTTCCTAGAACTAACCTAGTCACATATAGAATTGTCCTAGAGCGGTATATCACACTGTTACACTCAAGGCTTGACGGTTATGCAGGGGAATAAAAGCCCTCTTTGCTCGCTGGTACGGGCAAAGGGACTGGATCGGAAGGCCTATTATATTTTCAACACCCATCTGCCTATTTCCATGGCTGTTCGACAGGCTACAAGAGTTTTGGACGATATTCTTTCGAATCTACACGTCTCAAGTCTCTCAAGGCTCTTGCTTATACTGGCAGAGAATCTCTATCCTGGGAGGAGGCCCCGGTTCTCTCGTGAGGAACAGAGACCGCGTTGGTGGCCTACTGAAGTTACATACACCCACCCGTATAAAATGACCAAAAAAGGTCAGTGTACTAAGAAAGAAGCATTTCTGGTAGAGAACTAATTGTCACAAAGATCGCTTGAGGGTGATAACTCACATCCTTAATCCCTATGATTTGGTTGACGACGTGGTTCTCAGAAATCTCCAGCAAACGAGGAAAGTACGACATGAGGATGTTAAACTTCTGTGTAGCATGCTAAAGAAAAGAGGAGACACTAGTAGGTATCAAATCGTCTTGGAAGTTGAGGCTCTTCCTAAAGGGTATACAGCACGGATGAGCAAGAACCATTGCCACCTTGATTTTCACATTACTGCCTTACGACTTCCAAACCAAGAAGCAGCCGTGCCAGAGAGGATCAGTGTGGACTCATTACTCTGTAACATGAAAAATGGGGCTTAAAGGCATTTTCATGCCGAGGCTCCTAGATTGGTCTTGAGAACGAGATCTAAAGAGTATTTATGCCCATTGTAGGTCAAACTGACCAACCAGCTTGTGTATACAGTATCATCCCCGAGGATTGCATGGATCGATTGGTCTTTTAGAGACATAGTTCAAATTATCCAAATTTGAGCACTCCACACAATACGGTGATCAGCTAGCTCATTTTGTTTTTCCTTCTTTCCCTCTGCCATCGTACTAGCCGCACGGTTAAGATACTTAAAAGAGACCTTTTTCAGGAACGACCGAGGGGCATTCTCTTATAAAGTTAGATTGGTATGAAGGCGCAGAGGAGGAACTAGCTGAATCTTCCGGACCGCTTTATCGACCCATTGTCGCAAGTGCACGCTCTCCATCGCGGTGATGATCTTGCCTGGCATCTTACCAGAGATACGGCTGTAGTTGGCGACCTAAATGGGATCCTTAAAGGTTTTCCTTTCATGCTAAATTTTACTGATAGAATCCCACATTTTCGGCCATTCGATGCAATTAATTAGGGAAACTATTATGTACAGCTACATCTACTAGATGTGCATATCTGAAGCGCATCTTCCCTTTCCCCTTTTCCCTTTCTTTTTCATCGTTTACTTTCGGCAAATCAGCCATGCGGGACGATATAGGCTCGTTTGAACGGGAGCTGGATCATCTTCAGAACATCTCAGGTCTGCGACACTCCCAGAACCTGCCCAGACCCCCGGGCCTGACTGGAATTATTGGATTCGAGAAATCATCTCCTGGGATGCTGTTGAGAATATTTGCGCTGTTACTTGCATGGAAGAAGATATCGACATGAAGTCGGTAGATGTTGACGGCCGCCGGAATGGACGAACCAAATTGAGGCCGCTGTTGACATACTACATCAGAACGATATTGTTTGGGAAGAGACTAAAGCAGAGATTGTTTGTTCTATGCAAAGGGAGATTCTTGGCTTGTGGACTTCGGTGGCGGCTTCACGGAAAGATGGGTTTCCAGTGAGCGGGAAGAAACGAAGGAAGGCGGGCTACAAGGACTTAGCAACATAGAATACGTTTCTGGGTAACTAGTGTATTTGGCAAATTCTATAGCTGAGTATGCCAGCGAAAGGAAGTGGAAACTCTGCTGTCGCTATATAAATCACACATCTCTTCGTAAAGATCACACAACCGACATCCTCGGACTTCAAGATCCCTGAACATTATCGGCCTTCTCTTTCTTTCATGGCTGCAATGAGCTACATGCCGGAGCAGAAATATTTGTGCACCGCTAAGGAGTGTACGAAAGAATTCGCTTCTATCGGGGATTGGCGTATCCACGTGGAAGAATATTTTTTCGATGCCGGGAGCATATGTCTCTACGATAGCTGCGGTGAATTCATCCCAGCCAACTCCAATGAGTCGCTTGCCCATCGGTCTCACCTCTACCTCAAGCATCATGTCGAGCCGTGCCGCACGGAAGAACTGAGAAAAGCCTTTATCGATAAGAACTTTTGCTCTGCTGCGGAAGGACGGATGTGGTGTTCTCTTTGTCGCGAATTGCTGGAATTGGACAACTGTGCGGAGGTCCTCGACCATTTCCAAGGGCATATTCGAGATGAATCTCAATTCAAGATCCCTGGGCAAACGAGATATCCAGGCACCAACCGAGCGAGGCAGGCAGAAGTTGAACCATCGGCCAGATCCGCGAACGAAGGCAAAGATGATGTTGTCGATCTTACTGGGCGCGGAATTCTTGTATGGATACCTCCTGCTTAGCCATACCGAAAGTTGGGGGCTTCTGCTTGTAAGGAGGAGGATTGGGGTCGGACAGGGTATGTAGAGGGGCACAGAGGCTCTTCCTGCGGCGGGAAAGGATGTGGTTCAGGCAGCAGGACCGTTCGACGCACGCTAACGCCGGACATAGCCTGGTAAAGTGGCTGATCGGAGTTCTCCCTTGGTGGTATGCGTTATGAGAGGTACAAGATCTTCTACAGCCAGTGTTCCTTCACGAAGGGGGCATGGATTATGGTATTTGTGCCACAGGTTTACTGTGTGGATGACTAGGAGTGATGAAAGTGCACCCGGGAGGGTTTAGTGAGATAGATCACAGTATTAACCGAGAATTGGTTTGGGACACTCGCAAAGAAGTTGCCTCCTGCTTCCTAGTAAGAGATCTGCTACGGCACATGGCGGGTTCCTTCGTCCCAGACATGGCACAGTGCCCCCAGGGATCGTCGCACTGCCAGCGAGATTTGGCCCAAGAAAAGGAATTCGCCATAAGATCAACTCAGACGCTCCAGCACCATTGTCAGCTGACTGGCGATTGGTTCTTTAAAAGAGCGGTCCTGCCTTGTCCAAAAATTGCCGTAATTCGGTAATTGCTTATGTGATCTCCTACGAGGCGTGCCAGTCTCGCACAGGAGACTTCCACTTCTTAAGTGAGTGCTACGTCTACTCCAAGGTCAAGTTATTACAGCCCGTTGGTACGATGGCCCTAGAATTAAGATGACCACAGTCCCAAATCCAACTTCACCTGGTCAACATGCCGTCGAGGACACGAACTGCAACCAACTCGCCCTGTATCGCATCCTATTGCAAGTCTCCAAGCTACCCTATACATGTCCTCTGTGCCTCCACGGGTATAGTCGTTATGATAACCTCTACGAGCACTTCAAAACCATGAAGGAAGCTCAGCACATGGCGCTGAAGAACCTGTGGTTCCGAAGTAAATGCCCGGTTTGCAGCGAACCCGCGTACCAAGTCCTGCAACATCTAGCACAGCGACACCCGGTGAATTACCAGAGTCTAATGAAGCAAACCCTGCGCTTACGACACGAAGTGAACACCACGATTCCCAGATCGCCAGCATGTTTCGAGCATACGTATCTTTTCCCTCTAAGGCGACTGGACTGTGTTGTCAGCTTACCGACAAAAAAGCAGAAACGGAAGCCAAGGGGGCGAGATGGCATCAGCGAAATGGCGGGAGACATTAGACGTGGATCAACATCTCTGAAGAGGCGACAGACAGAAAATCTCGGCCTACAAGTTGACGTCGCGAACGATCAATGCTCTCGCCTGGATGGGGTGGCTCCTTATTTTCATACATCGGAGCTCCCTGGTCATCGTACGGTTCAGCTAGATGCGGCTCACCCTCCTTCAGTCGGAAACACTTTGGGTATGGATTCACCGGCATCAATGGAAGAGAATATGAAGGCTAATAACTATAGGCCATGAGTTCTACGGAGAAAGCAACCTAGTGCAGAGCGCACTTGCCTGCCCAACCTATTCATTGTCCTTCCCATCCCCGGCGCCTCTTCCCCAAGACATTCAAGAACCGAGAATTGATCTGTCTGCTCGTGGTTACATGTCGCATCTAAGTACAGAATATCAGGTACCATGGGAGACGTTTATTTCCATGGACATTCATCAAGAAGACACTGGGGATGGCTGGTAGGTCCCGCGGGATTGATTTTCGGTCCCGCGACCTAAGGAGACTCCGAAGGCTCAAATATGACTTTGACAAACGTGGGAACAACTGTTATTAGAACCAATCTCCCGGTCAGACTGACATCCCTGTCTGTATACACGCCGCGTCCAAGCTCTAATGGCTTTCCATCGAGTAGCGAAGACTCGTAGATCAGGACTGGGAAGTGGAGACATGGAAAACGGGCCTGCAGTACTGTCTTTCCCATGACCCTCGAAAGTATTACGCGCACTGGCTACTGTAATGTCAGGAGACGGTCCCGAGAGAGAATTTGAGTAAAGGTCGGGTACTCACGCCGTCACAGACTAGCGAAAGGATAGGTTTCAGGCGGTCCAGTGCATCAGAGTCGAGCGGGCTCTCGACGTATACCTCGTCCTGGGGGAGTCCTCTGAATGCCTCCGTCTCGAAATGCTCCCGCAGGCCTGAAATGACTTGTTCCGCGGCGCGCGTATTTCTAGATAGTCGAAATGTTGTTAGGTGCTGAGGCATCTTGGGGTATGGAGCTTGCTTGATGAATGACTCGCCGACGGTCGCTTCAGGCCGACAGTCTACCAGTACCCCGCTAGGTCACATGCTAGTCCACATATGACAATCACATCGCATCCCTGACAGGATGCCAACCATATTGAACACCCGCTGTTGTCGTTGGCCAGCACAAATTGACTGACTCATCTGGCCATCTCGCTCGGCTAACTGGTCGAGCATCCGCAACTGTGTCGAAAGTGTCTGACTTAATGATCAACACTGATGAAGGACTACGGCAAGGTCAGCAACGCAGGCAGTGTATAACCTGACGGGTGACCTTACTAGAGAGAATCTCTTCTTCCCAGATCCTGACCTCATAGTCCACTAGTCCATGCTTTTCTATCCTGTCACAGATAGCAATCAGCTCCTCACCAAATGTTTCTATTTGTGAAATGCTCAGACATGGGTCGGGAAGAGGAATAATCACCATCATCAAAGCCTGAGTTAAATTCTTCTGCTTCTGCCAGACTGCAAGACAGCAGATATTGAACTTGCTCCAGAGCCTGAGTTGCCTAGGATGAACTGCAGCGTCGTCGTACAGAATGCCTGATAGAAATGGCGTGAGCCCATGGTCAGTGAAACAGTCCAAAACAACACATATAAGTGATAAATCTTGAGATATACCGCGCACTACTGCATTATTAGTAACCCAGAGGAGAGATCCTAATATAATCTCTGCTGCCTCGGCAGTTCAGTTATGAAGACACAGACAGAGCTGTATCCTGATCCCTTTTCAAATGCCTCAGGATCTCCTCCAAGCAGATTTCGGCCGGAAGACCCTCTTCTATCGTCCCCCGTTCGTCAAGCTCTTCTGCTGGGATTGAATACCTCAAGTGGTCAGCATCTAGGGTGTAAAGGCGTAAAACGTCCGCGGAAAAGGTATCAGCTTGGTAAATGTGGTCGTTCCCGTCGTACAACAACCTAGGGAGAAGGTAAGCATTAGCTGAGGCCAGCCGAGCGACGGATGCTAGTCTATTTCTTACATCAGTAAGTTTTCCATAATGATGTACTATCTCCGAAACCCACTTAGAGACATCGCGGGAGTGAGTGTGGCCAGGTAGGACGTTGGTGAGCCTTGCTTACCGACGTGGTGCAGATTGGCAGAGAGTGGGCAGATGTAGACAGGATCCTCGCTATGTAGATGTCGCGCACGACTCCTTCGTGAGCTGAGAGTCTTCCATAGCGCAATCATCCAAGATGAACCATGGTTCTAAGTCAATATGCATCAAGTGGAGCTTGGAAGAACTCGCTTGCTCTTTCGACCACGGATGGCGCGAGCTGCACCTCCTGGCAAGCACCTTATGGTTTACCATAATCTGGTAGTGGGGAATGAATGCAGCCGACCACCACTCTACACGTATCATGTAGCCCAATGGCCGGCATTATACATGGGATAATGATAATCATTCTATCTGCATGCGTAAACGCCACCTCTGTGTAGTCATTTCTGTGTCTCTGTGGTGATGTAGGTGCCATGCTACCACACAGACTTGATTTTCTTCCAAGAGACGAGTTACTGTAGACTAACTAGTACTCCAGGATACATCCACACCCACATTAGCGTTCTAGACCACCCAGCAGACAGACCCGCCTCTCAGTATTCTTGCCTCGTTCGACTAATCGCTTCCAACGACGCTCAGACAGCAAGTGTTATCATAGGGATAGTCCGTGGTAAGTTTGTCCCCCCCTGCGCCTTGCGCGTTTTCGTTATTTAATATACCTGGTCTATAACATATAATGGGTGGAGTTCCTTCTCAGAAGCTGCCACGATAGCCTTGACGCCCTTCAATAGCCGTGTTCGTCTGGACCTTGCGTTGGCATCTGCCCTACTCCATGGCTACTCCGTCCGATGCGCCCTTGGCTAAGGGTAGAAACTCCGACGCCCCCAGTTTTTTATTCCTCTGCAACGAATGCTATAGAGATGTTGGGCCAGCGGTGTTTAGTCATCAACATATTCAGTTCACCCAGAGACCGGAAACTTTGTGCCTCTGCTGCGAAAAGCATCATGAAGTTGGACTATTCGTGAGCATGTCCAAACAATCTGAGGCTAGTTGCGGCTAATACTCCCCCAGGTGCATGAACGTTATTTCAAACAGGTCAAAAGGGCCCGAAATATCTTTCTACAGTTAGAGGAGCAACGCCGCGAACTGGAAAAGCAAATGCTAGAATATAGTATATTGCCCAGAGGCTTTGAACGTATCTACTGACTTGTCAAAGGTTCCAAGGAGGACCATTAGGTCTCAGCAAGAGTTGTTCCTGTGTGACAACGGACGTCTCCCATGCGTTCTAAGAGTTCTGGGCCTCGTTCATGTTGCCATAGACACTTTCAAGAAGTGCGTCATTCAGATATGACCCGGATTATCTTTCATAATAGGCGTAGAGCTCTACATAGCAGCCGGACATTTGGAGAAAGAAAAGAACAACAAGATTCACTATAGTCCTATAGATCTCGCCTATTCTCGTCTTTGCTTCTCTAAATCCTGCTCAGGGGCTTGATATCGCTTCCTTGAGTCCGTACACCCCTACATTTACCAAGATTTAGTAGTGGGGCAAGGCGTTACCCGCCTACTGATTGGACGGATTTATCCAAACCAACTTTGGCAACTTCGATCTAGAGGCGGCGTCAGTACCGGGCCCTGGGACATAAATCAGATATGGCACACCCGACCTGTAGTTGACCCGGTTGTTACTTTCGAACCTTGTTCTTCCGGCCTCCAGGACGTACCGCCCCTTATATCGAGCGGAGAAGGCATATGCAACCCTCCCACGATGGAATCAAGATCCGAGACTCACTAAGACTCCGACGTGGAGCTTGATGTGTATGCCCATTTCATTATTTTAGACCCGTTTCTTACCCTCCATAGGTCTCTTGAGTCGCTCGATGATTCCTTCAAAGTTATAATCAGTGACCATGGACGCTACTATTCATCCCGCTATCGAAGACGCCATCCTTTCCCCATCGACCAGGTTTGTGTCCCATCGCTCACCTCCGACTCTACGCTAATCAAAATATGGATATAGAGAACAAGAACATCAAAGTAAGTTGGATATCTTTCCTGACGCTTCATTACTGATGTCTTATTGAACGGCAATTTCTTGCATACTGTGAACTGTCTAATTGGAGGTTATGTCCAGTGTCTGCCGGTGCTGCTCGGAAGGTTCTCGACGTGAAAACTGGTGCTGGATGTTGGGCAATCAAATTTGGTATATGTCAAATGATCATGTCTCTATACAAATGCTAACTAAACCAACAGCTGAGGAACACCCGTCGTCAATGGTAAGTTGTCTCCTGATCTCTCACCAATACATCAACTAATAGCAAAGGTTTCTGGTATTGATACGATATACATGCAAGAAGAATGGTGTGGACCAAGACGATGGTTTCCGCCAAGGCCAGTCTAACAGTATAAGGATCCCACCTAACTGCGAGTTCTGCATCGATGATCTAGCTCAGCCGGACTGGTATTATCCTTTCACCTTATGAGCTTCTCTGCCGTTATTGTGGATGAACCGGGCCTATTTTTAGTTCTGTCTGAGTCTTGATCGATCGGGAATGTTGACAAGATTTCCGACCGGAGCTTCTCCAGTATGTCGGGGTGCAAGGAGAGTAGGGCAAAAGTGAAGCTGAGGAGGGCGGCCGTTGTGTTACGGCTAGCAATGAGGAGGTTGGTCGAGTATGCGTGCAATTGCTTTTCATTCAGAGTTTCGGCCTCCATTAGTGCAGCGAGAAAGGACTTTTGTATCCCACTAGGTTGCGACAGTTCATCTTTCAGCAAATGGTGGACTTGAAGCGACACATATCGCTGGACGAAGTTGAATGCGCTGCTGAACTTGCGTCGTTTGAAAAGGAAGGAGAGGCGCCCGGTAACCATGCCGATCACTATCCCCAGTAGGCTGATATCAAATGCTCTGGCAAAACCTTGGGTCATGCTGGCAGCAGAACCGTCTACTTTACCCTCGGAAATTGAGGCCTTGGCCCACAGTTGGGAGTCCACACTGCGTCCAAAAATTGCTTCAGTGGCCGTATCCATTGTAAAGCGTTCGAAAAGACCTTTCAAATCAATGGGTCCCGTCCAGCCAGACCAAGTGGCATCGTCGTTAGGAATCGTAAAATCCAAGATCCTTTCCAAATGCTTGTGGACCAGTGTCAGGTCTGTGATTTTACTCTTCACAAAGAGCGGGCGAAGCAGATTTCGTGCATGTCTCCATTTCTCCCCATCAACTGTAAACAGGCCCTGGCCGAGCAGAGGAGCCATGCTGCGCTTTCGAATCTTACCCGGTCCGAAGCTCTCGAAGTTGGTAGACATAATGGCTCGGATATTTTCAGGCTGTGCTGTCATGATGGCATGTAGGCCTGGTTCCTTAATCTCGTGGGTAAATCCATACTTCTCGAATCCTTTGACCAATAATCCGTCTAATATGTCGCCTCGAAATCGTAGCCGCTCAAGGGCGTTATTGATGCCCAGGGGCCCTCTTCTTCGGAAGCGAGGCGTATTACGACAAGATAAAGACTGGCGTAATTTCCTCAATCTGTAAATCTTCCTTAGTCGACGAAAGGTGTAAAATATCGCAATGCAGGCTAACAAAGCCACATTAAAGCCCAGCATAGTTGAAGTACGGACGTGAGACGTATAGAAATAATAATGAATATAGTGCACGAAAATCCACTACGTCGTAAGAAATTGTGGCAACATTAAGACTGTGCAAAAGAGCTTCCACTTTTAAGATCTTGACGTAAGGGTTGAATCGACGCTGACACCTGGCAGTCACAAAGTAAGGGCTGGAGGTAAACGTGCAGGTAGACAAGCAGACAGACGAATAGTATTTCTTCTTGTGTATAGTCTGAGGATATGAATAGCCACTCTGCATTCATAAATACTTTCATCAGGCATGTAAGGAAAGAAATGGAAGCTCCGCGAAGGGATTCGTTGCTTTATGATCGACTAACCAACCTTATGCATGATGTCTGTCTTGAATGGGCCTGGTTTGGTCACCGGACATGCAGATCAATACATGTGATGAACATATTACGGTGATGATAAGCGGCCACCGGGAAATAACAATTTTTGAGATGCAATATAACAGATAGACATCACTATTTGAAAAAAAATTACTAAATATATTCCTTCCAGCGGATAGATAAAAGCCTTCAGAGATATAATTATATATGTCTTGATTACGAATCTGAATACCTCAGAATTAGATTTTGTTATCGCCCGATGGCCCCTAATCACCGCCAGAAGCATACAGACTATAGAACCGAGTCTGTAGCTGCAGGCTCAGTTCACCGCAATCCACACTTACAGGACTCATGCAGGTCTAGCACTTATAGAAACCATGCAGTATTGCAAACCTCTGCAAGGGTAATGCCAAATGCCGATTTAGGAACTGGTAAACTATGCTCACAAGTGCCAATTAGCTAAAGTCAAGTCTCCGTTAAAAATCATAAACATACTAGGAAGTTTTTTTAGCTCTTCTACTGCCCCCCCCCCGTATATGAAACTTTGGTAACTAGTATTTCTCCCACAGTCCAAATCCAACCCAGGCCAAAAACCGCGGAGCCATCTCATAAAAATGACGCTTGTACCCTTCCAATCGTTCTCCATTCTCATCTGTCCGGTGATTATTTTGCTGGCACTGAACTTCCCCGGTATATTTTATCGAAACGCCTTCACCCGATATGCGACAGTACTGGCTGTGGTCTTGACATCCTGGGAAGTCCTTCTGTCTGTGACGTTCGAATTCCCCGTCTTCGCATACCTGGTGGGACTGTTTGAAGCATGGATGGGGATATGGGCTTTTGTGCTTGTCGTCGTTCATAATCCGAGCCAGGAATTTTGCAGGCTTATACCCGTTCGGAAGGAGGTCTATAGCGCTACAAAAGGCTCGACCACATCCGGGGAGACTGACCTCAGATGGCAGAGGTTTCCACCCCACATGTCTTGGGAGCTATTGGCTTGGACTATCGATCTGTTCATCAATCTCAGGGGAATAGGCTGGAACTATCGTTGGGGGGAGTTACCGCGTCCCCAGCGATGTCGAAGAGCCGCCAATGAGCACGAGCAAAGAACGACTTTCAGGTCGCTCTTATCCACCTAGTCTTGTGAACTTGATTATGCGTTTCGTTGGACAAGTCGGTTGGGTTATCTTCTGTCAGCTCAACATATTCCCTCTCATCAAGACTCAGTTGGCGGAAAATACTGGCAGCAATTGTAACTTTGCTGTTGGCTTACTCTCCCTTCTGATATCCTTGATTACTATTGTCGTCAACATCGATCTACTCAACACGACATCTACATTGATCGTAACAGCGTTTGATACATCGCGCTTTCTTGGGCTATATGCCTTTTCATGGGCTCATCCAAGCCCCTGGGGCTCGCTGAATGTAGTAGCTAGGAAGGTAATTCTCGGTAATTTTCCTAGACCAACACAAATATCGTCGTAAAACTAACGATAATACACAGGCTTCTGGGGTGGCTTTTGGCACTCCTACTTCTTATATGGCTTCAAGTCCATCGCCGACTGGCTTACAACCGGTTTCCAGTGAGCGAACATTGCCTCTCGGATATCCGCCCTGCTTGTCGCATTTGGACTATTCGGATACATGCATTGTTTCGCGGCATCTCAACTTCCTGGGTCGTCGACCCCCAAATATCAGTTTTTATTTTTTGTTCTACAAGCGGGAGGTATTATTATTCAATTGGCTCTTGTTGCATTGCTTCCGTTGGGGAAAGGGAAGGTTAGACAAGCGTTCAATGTTTGCTTTTGCAGATTTTGGCTTTTCTGTACTCGTCGTTTTCTGTTTGAGGATCTTATAGTGGCGGGTTTCTGGGAGCATGGAGTGGCAGGGTAAGATAGTGGACTGGAACTTGGAGTCAGTCCTGAAAGGGCTACCATGAATGCATTGGAAGGCCAGACCGTCGTTTGCATGGGACAAAACCAGATGCTCTAGATACTGTGGGTCAGTAGATAATAGAAGCATAAACGGCACCTGATATGACCGTATCGTAGTGGCTTTGGTGTCACCGCGCATGGCCTCATCCTGTGGTGTGCCCTATACTACCTCCCTCTCTACTTCGAAGCCGTGAAAGACTACACTCCGATATTGGCCGGGACCGCCCTTCTGCCACTCACATTTACACTGTGTCCGAGCGCCATTACCGTAGGGCTACTGATTACCCGCTGGGGCCGCTACCGCTGGGCTGTGATCCTGGGCTCCTTTCTTGCCTGTTTGGGCTCTGGCATTCCTTGCATCATCAACACCCATACAAGCGTGGCTGGATGGGCCTGTCTGATGCCTATTCCCAGCCTCGGCTCGGGTTCCTTTTTCCTGCCCTGATATATGTGATCCAGACATCTGCTGAGCCGCGTCATTTGACCATGGCGGTGGCTATGTGCAGCTTTTTCAGGTCGCTGGGGCAGGCCATCAGTATCGCAATCGGGATGTCATCTTCCAGAACAGCATGTACTCTAAGCTCATGAGGTATGCAGCTCATGTGCCTCATGCAGATGAATACAGTAGGGATGTTGCTTCGTTGGTGGAGACCCTGCGATGATGCCGGAATCTGCGGCCAAAGAGGATTTGAAGACCGCGTATTCGGATAGCCTACGCAATGTCAGGGCCGTTTGTTGTGCCTTGGCAGGATGCAGTGCACTCTTGAGCTGGCTCATTAGAGACTATACTTTGATAGCAGATGAGCCTGTTCGGGAGGGGTGAAAGAAGAAACATAATAGCTGGTGGGTGATTTGAATAGGTATCACTAGTCTAACATTCCATGTCTCATATGTTTGGAAGATATTAGTATTTATTGGCTGACAGCGGAATAATTAAATAATTTTCCTAAATTCCGTTTATAAGCATTGCAATATGGTGTACCGAATGTAACTGTGCTGCAGTGCTGACTAGAATAGATTCTATTTACCATATAGCCATTATTATTTATTCTTGATAATCGTTGAATCCGGCCCCACTGAATCCCTTTCTTGTTACCAGTCCCCTTGTAGATAAGGCTACACTGGGCAATACAGTCAGTTCGAGGACATACACCCCAGATGATGCATAAGTAGCAAATTGCACCAAAAACACAACGTAGATATTCAGCACTCAATTGAGACCAAAATTTCGCATAGGATGCAGGGGGTACAGATACGATACATGCCATTGTGTCATGTTGATACCCCCGGGCGTCTTACCCTCTCTTCAATTGTAGCGAAGCGTATCGAGAAGCCTGATTTACGGCGATCAGAAGACGCAATTTCTGGTTAAATAAGCATTGAGTTACGATGCTCGGCGGTGTGTATCTTATCTAACCTGGGCTTCCTTTACTACCATCAATTCTGTACAGCGGCCGATTTAAGCAAACATACTGATTCACTGAAAAGTCAATAAACTCGACACCAGCTTATACGGTTGTAGGGAAATCATTTCATCTGATATACTCTGAGAAATGCTTCTTAGGTACCGCATCTAATGATGCCAGGAGGATGTCGTGGTCGTGGATCACTGCTGTTATCCCCAAATGCCGGCCACATATGACGAGGAAGGTGCATTGGAAATGGAGAGGCAATTATACCGTTGGAAAACACTATAATGTGAGCCATCAGGATTAGTAATGGTCAAAGGCCGCAAGGTGGCACTTACGATCAACATACCGCGATGTCTTGGTAGACGGAACAACATAAAGCAATCGTACTGTGGGCTCAGTTCTAACTGATCGATCCATTCAGCAAAGCTCATTCTCGTGTTGATATTGTAAAAGATGCCGCAGGCTGATTTGTCTACGATGCGAGAACCCCTAAGTACAATCGTCGTCTTTCTTGATAGATCTGTCACTCTAATCGTATTCTGGCGATAGGCAAGTTTCCGCATCCGGAGCGAATAGTCGGAATGGTATCACGCAGAGTGTTCAAGAACCCACGCCAGACAGTGGATATAGCCTCACGAAGCTCTGGTGCAGGCCTCCTGGCTACTGGGACGGGGCCATTTAAGCTAACTGCGACAAGGGTCAAGACCTTCAAGGTTGGGGCGGCCGTGCGTAAGAAGAGTTGGAAGCCGGGAATAGTGAGCTCGACCCAGTGAAGATGAAGTTCCGAGAGGCGGGTGAACTGGACTTGTTGAGCCAGGTTGGTGAAGTGATCCGGGCTTAGATCATGGAATTGATCCCACAGAGTAAGCCGGAGGATTTGAAGATTTGGAGCAGCCCGAATGACAAGACAATGAAGGGACTCCGCAGTATCTTCCGGCTTTGGGGGTCCGAGACAAATATCTAGATCCACTAGCACATGAAGAATTGGTTGCAGGCTGTGGTAGAGGTGTTGCGATAGAGTGAAGCAGTCAGGGGGTACCGCAAGTTCGTCCTCGGTTAGGCAGGTATATAGCCTCTGAACTGCCAAAGGTGGGGACACTGCGCACATGGCTTCGAGGAGACTGGTAAGTCCCTTAATCCAGACTGGATGTCTTATGTCCACCCACATATCCCACACTACGCGCCGCATGCTCGGAGACGGGTCAGCTGAGCGCCGTGCACTGGACACCAGGAGTTGTGCGCAAGGGCCAAAAGGGAGCCTTTCCTGTAAGGCGCGCCTGCCGAGGCAGACATGAGGGCTCTTTTCTTTGCATAACCGTTGGGAAGGATAGGCTCGCAGCCCTATAGTAGAGACATTTCTCATTCGGCTTAGGCATCGAGTAAGACTCCTTACTAAGCTAGCGGACTCGGCAAATGCTAGGTGATCGGTCTCGGCGGCCACGTAGATCGCATACTGCGCCTGCACTTCTTTGGCTGTCCATTCTTGACTCTCCGGAACACACAAGTGTAGGATACTTGTGAAGGCATCAAGGTCCACCCCGTAGTCTCCGAAGACTTGAGGTATGAGGCTCAATTCCTTTACCTCATTTCTGAATGATTCATTCGAGGTGAGGTCTTCAAGCTCCGCAATAGCCTCCCGGGTCAAAATAACACTAACGTACTGGAAGTAGCGTCTCGCGAAGAGGGAAGAAGAGAGTTGATAGAAAATCTTGCATGTAAGGCGGAGGGCGCACTAGTCCGAGTAATCAAAATGGCTTCCGATGGCATCAATCAGTTCCGGTGGAAGCTTGTTCATAGTGGCTTATTGTTGATGGTGATGGGGGATTTCAAAAGGAAGGGTGAAGTGAAACAAGATTGGTTGGACAATCTAGTGCGTAAATAAAAGATTACTAGTAGAGTGTGTTCGGGTAGTTGCGGCCGAAAGAGATTCCCGTGGGTCTGTCTGGAAACTTATCTCCGAATGCTCCACGGGTGGATGGACCCATACACTATTGAGTCCTTGAGGCTTACTAGAACCCTTGGGGTATTGGTGAGTGGGGCGAGCCTGACATTGGATACTGCATCCGTTCGTAGAGCCAAAAGCCCGGTTTTAGATTTATCCATGACAGAGATTCTTGGCCAAGAACTGATCTCTGAGTGTGGCGCTAGCATGAAGTTTTAGCTTCCTAGAAGCAGCCGTAGAATAACACCTTTTCAAGTAGTTATGGAAGATTGCTATTATACTAACTAAATGCACCAATTTGGGCTTTGAGCGACACAAACAGGCTCAATGTGCAGTCCAGCGAGTTGTTCAACTTTTCACAAGTCCTTCTAGATGTCGACTGCTTCAACTGTTAATACTTATTCAATGTCTCGAACAAATATAGAATCAGAAAATTTCCACAGCATCGCAAACCGGACGGCATATTATATAAAGCTATATTGTCTCTATGTTTAAGCAGTAGATTCTTTCTTTTGGTGAATGTGTTGTGATGTCCTCACACCAGTGAGAATATTACACCTGTATGTTACATAGTATTTACAATCTCTGTTTATCTCCCACAAAAAAACTTGCGTGGAACAAGACTACCTGAGAAATGTTTATCTTTATCCATGTTGGTGGACTGGGAGGAGACCGCCAACTGCTGACGTGCATCCTACAGGGAGCATACCGGTATGGCCTCACACCACGTATCACTCATACTAATCCAGTATCAGGTGCTGCTCACCAAATGGCATGTTGGAAATATGGGACAGCAACGTTCATTTTCAAGACCCTTACGGCGAAACTGGCCTCCACCGTCTCTATAATGACATGCATAAAGCCCTCAAAATGGACGGACGCTCACTTGATCTTCCCCTCCAATACCTCTCGGAAATGGAACGTCACGGCTTTACCAACGTTGCGGAGCACGTCTATCGTATACCACTCAACACGGAACAGCCAATGACCCAGCAATCGGTTGTGGTGAGCTGGGCAGACGGATTTGAAGCGTACAGCATGGATTTACTGGATAAGCACCTAGGAAAGCGCCATCTTTGAAGTTTTTCTCATCTGTGCTGCCGCGCGTCAAGCCCTGCGGAAAGGGGTGGAAGGCTGGCTCGAAATGTAGGTCACAGCCAAGTATACATTAGACTCCTCACTGACGATCACAGCCGTATAACGTCCGGACGAAAACCAACAGCGCCTCTGTGAAGTTTTCATCAATATCCCTTTATGAGTTCAAGAAAGCAAAGGCGATGCACATCAGTCAGGCTCCGCCTGTGTCCCTATCTTATCCCTTGGAAAGCATTGAGAAAAGCGGTGATGCCCCAGTCATATACTACATGTTGTCAAGAAATGGCCCACAATTGGCATCGCATACCTGGAAGTCTTATAAACGTACTGAGAACGATAGAGCACAGGGAGGAAACGACGGTAAGTTCTGGTCGGAACTTTCGTCTTTCTTCGGCCTGGGGCCAGCAACAACGGGTACGTTAGAGGCTGATGCTCCGCCGTATGTCTTCGGAACATCCCGCATTGCAGAGTAGGACGAGGGGGTCAAGGAAAATCAAATCTTAGTGATTGACTGGGTAGTTAATGCCCTGTAACTGGGCAGCATATAATTACTCGTATTTCGCCTTCCCTGCTGCAGGGTTAATTGTCGTCCTTGCGTTCCCAGAGCGAACTATGACGTCTGTAATGCGAAAGGAGATAAATGTGAGCCCTTATCACTCAGATGAGAACCACAGACCGGACAAGGAATAGATCTGAGCATGTTTCCTCGACGTCTGTGTGGCCGGTTGTTTCCGAAAAGCCTGCGCTCAAAATTCGCTGTCATCGTGATTGGATAAATATGGTACTTTGCAATAACCGCGCTAGACAAGCCCCGTATTTCTTTTGGCATCGGAAAAGCCATGGTCCTGGTAGTAAGTCATTGAGAGCACATGAGCCAAGCAGCTTACATACTCTGCTTAGAGGCTCATGGTTTGAGTTGAAGCGAACAGGCACAGCTGAATACCAAAACCTGTGATCAATGGGAGGGATAATGCGCCCCATATAATATAACTTATAGGATCGACATTGCAGAGATCTATTTTTTTCGGCACCTGACAATCTGCTCAACAAGGACCATTGTCAGAAGTTCCTGCAAATGTTGCCGCAGAAGGCGTTCTAGGAATCAATCTGAAGCTGTGTGAGCTAGAAGGGGATCAGGAGCTTCTAACGTCTTTGTTAAAGGATCACTATCCTGGCACTGACCGAAGAAATAGTAGCCTTAATTGGGAAATATGGGGCAGATCCGTCCATCTTGACTGCACCTGTATTGGGCTAACCAGCAAATACGTCACTAAAGAATTCCCCCATAATCACTGTCGGCCCGGACGAATACCATGATTCAACTCTATGCTAATGATGATCAGTATATTGCGTTCGACCAAAGACGCACTTGTTACTCACAAATGGTGCGGGCAATTAACGATACTTGACGAGCTAAAAAACACGTCGAGATATTTAACCTTCCAATTTGTTAGCTGGTCGTGTGCCACATCGTGCCATTTTTGAGTCGGAGGTTCGACGGCCAGCGCTTGAAGCGTGAACGCAAGCACCTGACCGATGGCGGTCCGGTGGAGGCGCACTTCATCGTCCGCCTGCACATCCGCCTGCGCATCTTGATTGGGCATACACAAGAGAATATTGAATAATGTGGGATTACTCCCCGGGATGTAAAGGAAAACGAACGCCTCCCCGGTGCAGATGTAGCCGTACTGTATCGAATGCCTCATGTATAAGAATATCTGAGCGACCATGGCGACGACGAGGCGAGTTGGCATAAACTCAAGCGTGTCACCTTCCTGGTCAATGACGTCGCGAGCCAGATCCATCGGGTGTAGACCCGCCACCAATTCGGGAATTGTCACTTTGTCCGGCGCTTTGTACTCCACTACATATACGGGTATTTATCGTTCGTCCGCCACAAGGTGCACGCAGAACCGTTCGGCGCGCCAATCACGTCTTCGCGCAGTGCCATTCCTGCCAGCACGGCCATGCTTGACCTTGAACCATATGGAACTGGAGGCATCGGAGGCTGAGCAAATTATCAACCTGCTGACCTGTTTTTGATGAGCGATCCCTTAGAGTGGGCAAAATATTCAACCCTGGCGCGCCTGATGGTTTCGTATTTGTCTCGTAGAATTACCGAAAGCCAGTTGTGCCGGACACGTTCTAGTGACTAGTATTGGTCACTATATACATTATTGACCATATACAAACGAATTGACCATTGATGCGCATGATTATGTATCAAACGCGAGCGACAATGCTCACACTTGTAGTAGCATAGGGTAATCGTATATTCAAATGCCAGTACACCCATGTGTTGATCTAGTTGCTTTACGTACTAAGCCCAGATGTCGAAACCCGAGGCCATAATATTCCTTCAGTGCGCATTTGGCTTCAAATTGATCCCCTGGACAGCTTCCTCCAAAGGATTAGTCCCGGGCCTTCCCGAGCCCCAGCAAATGATGATGGCCCAAGGCAACAACAAGCGACTAGAGAAGCCGACCAGAGGGCGGTGAGAGGACGTTTAGTTTTTGCCCGATGGCCGCTATTAACCGCCGTACTAAGGGAATTGTTCTTGGCATAACAATCCGGCGCCATGGAGTGCAGTTGGCCGCTTCGAAACCAGCCCGCCGCTAGCCATCATTTAAATCATTTATACCCAGAAATTATGGGACCATTTATCAGCTGCGTCAACGTTCGGGTAGGACTACTGCCAAGCAATTGAATACTCTATACCATAGCTACTAGCTGATACTTGAATTGATCAGCAGCCAGCTAAAGCCAATCAGAGTGTACTTTCTTAGTTGAAGATTTCAAGTCCATTTCACTTTAACTTGATGGTTGCAATCATCCCCTTGCATTGTGCTCTGGAAGAGACTAAGGTCACAAAGAAAATAGATACTGACCTCAATCCTCTACATATTTGAGAGAATACATAAGACAAAAGGGAAGTCCTACCGGTATCGCTCACGATTCGCTGGACCCTGTCCAAATTAGGCATTATGGCCTTGCCAGCCTGAAAACAGAAGCAGAATTGTAAATTTTCCTAAGCTGTTCCTCGTCAATGATTCATCTTTTTCCTTTCATCTCTTTTTTGCTGATAAGAATCAAACCATTTCACTGATTTAGAGGAATTAAGCACAATAAAATAAAATCCATCCTGGACTCGATCAGGCGGTTCATTGACCACAGTAAAGGAAATTACATGTCTGGAACTATATGTTGGTAGTTGACGCTATTGCTGCACCGGAAAACACAGTTGATAAGATAAGAAGGAAATTCGGCTGCATAACAGCTGCTTGAGATATTGAGGCCAGAAAGGTCATGACAAGAGCCCTTCTGGGATCGTGGAGTAGGCGCACTCACCAATTCAAGGCAAGGGAATAAGGAATTGACGCTATTAGATAGGCACCGAATGCGGCCCATGAAACCGGGCGACAATCATTATGTATTGATTGAGCGACTAATAAGTCAAAGGTTCGCTCTTGCATGGTCGCAACAAATTTAGCTGGAGCTCGAGCGCCTTTTTACACTCGACCAACATTTGGTTTTCTTCCTGAAGTCTCCTGAGCTGTTGCTGGAAAGTCTGGTTCTGTTCCCGAAGCCTGAACACTAGCTGGTGCAGCTGCATACAGCGGATCTGGAGTATCAGGTACTCCGACAGCTGGCGTGGCATCTGGTTCTCTTGGTGAAGTAAGAACATAATAATCAAGACTATGTAATTAATAAAGAAGATGGCAGCTTGAATAATTTATTTCTTGGACTTTAGTAGACTCTTGGAAGGATTCCAACCAGCTTGCTTCAGGAAGTAATCATGAATACAGCTGTCCAGCTTATAGTACAGCTGGTTGAGATTCTTTTATTAATTTTCCTCTGTAATTCTGTACCTTTTCCTCTGATTATGTAAACCCGCTGCAGTCATACTGGCCTTGCGCTTCCGCCCGCACTGCTGCTGCAACAGCGGCTTACAGTTAATATTTATGGGGGTAATGAAATTTAGAAATTGAGAAGAGGAAAGATCTTGCGGTTATATAAATATTTTTTAAGACTTGTTAGATTCTGGCAAGGAACTCTCTGCTGAGGTTACTAATAATTTATTAATTATAACATGCTCTTCAGCCCCAGAACATGTTAATTTAATGGGGTAAATGAGTTGAGTTCTTGAAGCACTGGTAATATTAATATTAGTATTAGACAGGTCTAAGGATCCGCGGGATAAGAGCTTTATATATAGAAACAGGAACAGATGATAATCCTCTCTTGTATTTATTATACTTAGTAGATTAGACAGGAAGCATATACTGTAAGAAGTATTAAATATTAGAAGCTGTATCTGTTAATAAAATTCACAGGCAACTTATGAAACAGTATAATATCTAGAGATACTGTCAGCTATTGAGCACATGCCTTCATACATTATAATACTAAGAATTCTGGCGTGCAAATTCAAAGATTGGGGGTATCGCAGCCTCAGAGTTATAAACCAGGCATTTGGCTATATACAGAAAGGAAAAGTATGTCTCTGATATATATATATGCTCTGGCGCAGGATTATTTGGCCTGATGCAACCAAGTATACCACCGGAGAGCAATGATATAATTCAGAAATATAGATAATAGTAGCAGTGAGATTATAATGGCCACAATGATGCTGATACAATTCAAAAGGAAGGTACAGTAAACATGGAAGAGACTTAATAGGACTTACTGGATTTTCACTCTTAATATATATTATTTTATTTTTCTACCTTTTATATTTTTTATATTTCTTATTCTTATAATGTCCCCCTTTTCTAAGTTTATGTCTTCGCTTTATCTACATAGCACCTGCAGCCGTCACCTCCATCCTAACTTTGAACTGCTGCGCTCCTACCTATTCTAGCTGTCACCCCCACTTTTTTCACCATTACACTCCCGATTGAGGAAACGCCGGAGTGCATGGATGACCTTTAGCATAGATTAACTATTCATCGGATAGTAGTCTGTGTCCAAAGCTTCATTATAGTAGGGCCAGCTATCGAGATGGGGAACAATTACCAGGCCAGTACTGGATTAGTGAATCAACGTGCCATGACCTCGCGAGAGAGTCAGATGCGGGATCGCGGCCACTTAATTTGTCACTGCTGTAGTATTATGTGATCTACATGGGTTAGAAGGCATCCACCCTCCTTGCGTTGTGCTTATCAATAGTCTCCTTGGGTTAATGGCCATGGGCGACTACTCAGTTAACATCTCAGGTCATGGCCAAAGCATCGCCGTATCCACGAAACTTTTATGGTACCGAGGCCGATAATGTCACTGTCCGATAAAGGTTAATGTAGGATTTTGAAACGCAGATTATAGCCCCGGGAGGATTAGATAGAATCTAATAGCATGAAGCAAGGGTATTTTAGTAGGAAGCTGAGAGATCTTAATACTTTAGGACGGATCTCTGGAAAGACAATGAGCAGAAGCATCTGTTACAAGCCATTACACTTCTGGCCTATCTTTGCCAGTTATACCTGAAATGTCATCTGAGTGCTTACAGCAGAATCATTGTGTTTATGTGAACCTTGTTTGACCATGCTGTGGTTTCATAGTGCTCATGCCTCTAACAGCGCATCTGTATCAGAAAAGGTCACCTGGGTACATTTCAGCAGCAACAAAGACTAGTCCAAGTACCCAACAGACTTTATTTAGGCTCTCAAGGTTCGTTAGTGTGTTGGGACTTCAGGAGATCGAACAAAGGATATGTGAAAATACTTTTCCATGAGTAATATGAGCATTGGGCAACAAGTCTGTCAGGTAAACAGTACTCCGTCTCCAGACTGGCTCGATACAATGTTGGACCTGCATTTGGTGGATGCGGATGAAGTAGATGCGGGTTGGAGGATGCTTATGCAGGATGTCAATCTGCCTGGCGGGATGCGCTACGTCCAGGCTGACCTCGCTGACCTCGTTGACCTCCACCCTCCACTGGCGCCAGCTAATGACACGATAGTAATCATATCTCCCGACATAAGATATGATCAATGCTTTTGCCGTAGTAGGTGAGCCTGACTGTACCGTGAGCATCCTAATACAGCTAGAGAAACCACTGCTCATCAGCATGGCTGAGATAGACATGCACATAACAAATGATTTCCGTACGGTCCCCACAAACCTTGACTGCACTCATTGCAACTTACGGGACCGATTACCCTGGAGTGTATAGTATTGGAAAAGCAATAACAGGGAATGATGCAATGCTAGTACGTTCATAGCTCTTCCCATTTGAGAAGCATCCAATATATATTGTGCCATATTTCTGAGTCCATAGTTGCTGAAGGCTATATGCTGTGTTACGACATCGAAAGACATTCTCCCGATGGGCGCTATTCACTTCCGTACCCTGGTAGTGTAATTACGCTTTCTTACTAGTCCAAAATGGTACATTTTTTCCCCAGGAGGACTTAGACCTCACGTCAGCGACCTGATGTCAGATCTAAGCCCACTCAGGAAAACGCTGGCTGGGGCTCGGAGTCTCGCCCGGCCTCCTTGATCTCTCACTTCCTGGCCAGATCCCGGAACCACGGTCAAGCGTTGATCGCCTCTCACTTGCACAGATAGTACCTCGCAAAGGTCGCCAGCGACAGGTCCAGTTTCCAGCACTGGTTAACATGCAGCCAGGCGCTGGTCAGTGTGTAAGGCACCTTTCAATGCGTTCATTCTACGATCGTGATAGCGGCTTGATCAGCATGCCGCCTCACCATTGCCTCATTTGCATCAAACGATAAGTGTTGCATTGATCCTTTCCAATCTACTCTCGAGCGCGAAAATGGCCCAATAAAGGCAAATATCTATCTACAGGCTTGCCATGCGTGATCTGGTTACAAAAATCGTATCCCAGAATGTCCATGGAGATGCTAGCAGTGTCGACGTCTCACCAGGAGATGGCATAGACCAATTCGCAATCGCAACCTTGATAAACTTAGAAAACCAGGTGCAAAAAGTTGTTACGGTACAGTACCGTGTCTCCACCCATTCACACTAGACCGAAATAGCGAAACATTCTAAGTCAGGATACATTCCATATACGTTATATATTGAGGAAGGCCCATGCATAGTTGATGGGGTTCAGATTTGGTATGTTTGATGATATCCATCCCAGTTACAATGCCTCCTATTTCTCATTTCATTCCTTGCGGAGGAGAATATTCGGCAATTCACCCTCAAAATACCGGTCAACGTCAACGACATACAGTCCCATCCTGGGCTTTTGTTAAAAAATCAGACAGAGCTTACATCACTATAGGCTTCTTGCAACTGCATCTCCATAGTAAATCCAAATGGTATCATTGCTCTCAAGTAGTAGTCATACACCATTCCCCTGTTTGGGACTTCTAGAAACACTCAGAGTCCCTTCAGTTCGTCGCTCACAATAGGCCATCCGCCGCTCGGGTTTCGTACTCAATATTAACAAGAAGTGTCTGACATACCCTGATTCGGAGCACGTCGTATCTTGTGCCAGACGGCATGTCACCCTTGAGTAAGACAGTCCTAGCACCGGGGAAATTGAACTGAGATCATCGCCGGAATGAGGAAGGAGTGTAGGATCATAGATTTCTTTCCATCATTGTCATGAACAGCGAGGTTGTGCCTCTTTTCCCTGATATAGACGCAGAACTATATTTGGCTGTGTTCTAAGATTAATTTCATAGTGAACTGAGGATGGAAGAAGTGAAGACCTAATCAGGAAAAGTAGTCTAATATAAAACAGTAAGTTATCTGTTATATGATAGATGGTATTGTGCAAATTTAAAGAAGCTAAACAAACTGATAGATTAGGGTATTACTTTCTTTCTTTACCAGATTTACTTGTCTCTCATGTTATTGAGCCTGAACATGATCTTTATTACATTCAGTAATTGTCGAAAGGTTTCTGTAATAGTCTGCCAACTGTGACAGGCGTCTTACGAATCATCCCCCTGGCGAGGAAAACTTTAGCCAATTCCAACTAGGCTAATCAGTCTTTAGAATTGCATGGGATTTCAGGGTCGCATTTCTTACGGATAGAACGGCTCGCCAGCCTATAGTAAGGCAGCAGTCTGACTTGTATGTAGCCTTATCTTTCTATCAGTGCCTTGGGCTCTTATGCTATAGTAATAGTAGGCCAGGGACAGTATCAGCTTTATATTTTTAGAAGTGATTCTTGGCGATTCCTGTTGTAGCGTGTTTATATTAGAAGATATAGATCTATTTCTGCTGTAGGTTGCCTAGCAGTACTGTACAAGACTATGATTAATTTAATTAAGCAAACCCATATCCCTCTACTAGGTATATGAGTTTGCTGCAGGTACTAGCCTATTAGTAGCACCAACAGGTTCTCATAGAGGCGGCGAGGAAGATTATCCAGGATTATTATATATAATCTAGGAAGTTAAATATCTAGTCTATTTTTTTTTGTCTTCCACCCCACACCCAGTTCGGTGTGCTTTCCCAAGTTGTAACAAACGCGTGCTGACCAGCGAAATGGCGATGACCCAGTGAAATATGTAAGCGGTCTAATGTGACTTGTCACAAAGCAGGGAGATGTCCTGAGAATAAGGATAATTTGGACAGGTCCTCCATTGAGGATCCCGCGTAATATCAGATCCACACATTGCAAACTTTTAATTTTACGGCCAAAGGTCATAAATCCTTGTATTATTATTTATTATCAGTACTCCGCCTTTCTTGTATTAATATAAAGGTCTTATTATAAATAATAAATTCTAATTTAATTATCTCTACTACCTTGTCACTATGGTTATATGGCCTTTTCACAATAATTTTTCACCTCACGAAGCAGCGCCGCTCCTGCATTATATTAGAATATACCTGTCAACTAAGACAAAATAAAGCTAAACTCAAGATTATAGCTTTGATGGTTCAGAGGCCGAGAATTGTATAAGCAGGAGAAGATATAACATATATCTTAGTATTATATTCTGGGTCTTTAGCTTGCGGACATGATGGAGCCCTATATTACTGAACCAGATACAGCTAGAGAGTATGATTTAGTTTAGATAATATATTCCTTTATCTTAGGATTGGCAGACCAGGTTACCCTGCAGTAGGCGGTATTAATATTATCTATTAAATACAGTTATTTATAGATTCTCAGAGTTGAACAGATATTGGCCACTACTGGATAAGCTTAGTAAGGAATACTAGTCTTAGATAATATAACTCAGATCCTGCTCTATTAGTCTACTCTTAACTTAGCCTGAGAAATGTTCTGTTCCTTTCTTCTTCACCCGGCAATATTCATTCCGCTTCCAGAGCCTTGTACCAAAATAAATGATAAGATTTAATGAGATGAGAGAGGTGGGGACACTTTTACAGATACAGTTTATTATTTTATGCAAGCAGTAATTTTCCTAATCTTGATATTTTACTTGTTTCTTCAGCTTTCTATGGCTCCCCGTCAGCTTAAAGTCACATAGAAGGTCGCTTGGTAGCAGCCACGGAAGTAAGTTCACCAGACTCTAGTTTCAAGACTTGAAGAAACAGACTAGCACAGTTCGAGGATGAATGGCGGCCGGGTTTGGGATATTATAAGACAGGACATACTCGCAGATCAACACCGTGAGAGCTTTCGTAGACACATCAGCCACGGCATTTGGATGCCCAGGAAGCTCATTTGTGACCACGCTGTTGACCCCCAAGCCCCATGTGTCTCACCATCGTCATTTTTCTCAATTAATATACTCTCATCCCAGGCAGCCTGGAAGTTCGATCTTCTGTCATCGGGCAGAGACGATTCCACGGGGTGTGAGATATCTAGCATGATATCTGAATACAGTGTCTTTCCTACTAATGCCAGTACTCTTCGCAGCTTGTTCAGTCATGAACGCGGGTTCTGATTATTCGCTGAGGATATGAGTAACGCTAGGAGAATCGAGGATTTGGTGAAAGTTTCCCTGTATATGCCCCGAAAAAAACAGCCCCCTGCCTAGGACACACATGATGCTTTAAAAAGGTTGGCGGTCTTAGTGACTTAAAGCGCGGTGACATCATGTGCTAGCCCTTTGCGAAACAGTCCACTTAATGCAAAGCCGAAGTTGAAGGTTATATTGAGGGTATGGTTCTAGGCATGGACAGACCAGAGATTGACTGTAACCTTGCTAATACTTGTGGTATTTAATAATAACTAACCAGAAACTGGCTAAATTATGTCCAGTCGGGCTATCTTGCCAGCCCGCGACGCAGAATATCTGGGGCTTGATTTCCTGATCCGAGTTGTTGGATGGTCAAGAGACGGGTTGACTTTATCTATGGAATCAAATAATTAGATATTATTAAGCAAGAAAACAATGAGCCCATAAAATAATACAGGCTATTTAAATCCAACCTTCTAATCTCTTATTACATGGTACAGATAAACTCAGTATGCTCTTTACCTTAGAAGCTGCAAGAGATATTTTTAATAAAATACTCTGGATCCAGGATTCTTTCAGGATTAATGATGTTTGACTCTGTTAATATTCTTAATCTTTCTGTAGTATTCGGCTCCTGCTTGTCTCTTGGCTACATGAACATTTGGAATTGATAATCTGCGTGATCAATGGTCTGTATATACGGATGAAATACTTCCCAGATCTGATTGCGAAACTGTTTGAGGTTGCCGAGGGTGCACTCCACGCGCGGAAGGAAAAATGGCGAGATGGTAACTGATTTGAATGTGTATTTATGGATGACTGTAAGGTGTATTTCTAACCAATCGATGGGGTAGGACAGCATGGCAGAGGTGTAATGAAAGATATTCTCGGGGTGTGTAAGCGGAGATAGGATACTGGGCCTATTCTAGATCAGAAATTCGGGATTATTATAATAAGAGGACAGGTAGCAGTCAACGGCCATAGTCTTATATATGTAGGGTAGCTCTTCGTCCCTGCGCTGCAAGTTGATTATCTCCATGTTAGGCAACTATTCGGCTTCTTCGGGAATGGTGTGTGTATGTGATGGTGAATTTCTATAGATAGTATGTTTTCTGGATCTGCGCCCCGTAGGGCCTCCCAATAAGTAGGTGTAGATGTGGTGGATTCGGAGTCTGAATATACGCTCTTATATGATCTATATTGCACGTGTAGACAGTTCTCGCATGGAAAGGCCTGAACTCGGCATCGAGAAGAAGTTGGATAGATGGGAGAATTGGCTGTTGACCACATGCCATTTATAGTGTCCTGAACTGTCGTGCTGGAAGAATCCTCTGAGAGCAGTATGGATTTCTTTCCTTGTCCTGGGTTAGGACAGCGGGCCAAGTGTGGTGGAACGTGAGTCAAACTATGCCTATCCCCGGGGGATCAGCTGGGCAAAATGAAGGGGTATGAAAGACCAGCTGGGAAATTACCGTAAGCAGAGTTTTCTGCCGCAGTTATCTCCAACTACCCATCTACCCATCACGGGCAGATTCCAGATCGACGACCTGCCGAAAGGTAACGCTGATGATGTTTGTAGACGGCACGATATTTGCCAAACTTATCTCAAACTTCTGATCTTGCTCGATACCTTCAAAGACACAGTCGCCAACCGATGAACCCTAGGAAATGAGATGGAGCTGCTCTGTGGGAGCGACGTCGTCGGCTGTAGACGGCGCCGTCAACGAGTGGGCGGTTCTGCTCATTGCGACAATATGAACTGGCCGTATGGCAGTCTGGTCGGCAACTCGACCCCAGTAGGGGGCATACGGACAGTGGCCTGACAGAGCTCCGGTCGGGTGTTCTTGGTGCATGCGCCATCGCACGCTCCAAAGCCGCACATCGCACGCGAACGATTGCTCGTGCAAAGTTACACGCAACGACTTACCAGAGCAGAGCAGTGTCAAGCAGTCAAGCGTGAGGTCTGTGGCAGTCGTCTAATAAGGCAGCAACCCATATCCCGTACCAGTCAACGTAAGAGGTCAGATTGGCCTATTCAGACGGAAATGAGAGGGGCGGAGGCATTGTCTCTGAGGGAACGAAAGTTGGATATGGCAGATGGAAGATGTCAGCTTATAAGGAATTTCATGGGGTCGGCTTCGGGCCACCGGTACAGCTCGATGCTACATAATTTCATTACTGATGGTCGGCACTTGCTCTCCTGCTGTATTCAGACTATCCACGATTTCAGTCCGGTCAGGCATAGAAATTTTGAGGCGCCGCACAAACATCTATAAGAAAATAATTGGCTTCCAGCCAAGTCCTCTCAGAGAATAGTAACCTAACACCTTTTATCACGTTATATGACTCTTTGGCTCGGTTTATAGTTGCTATATAACGTGCTAACAAATGGTCGAAAGATCATCACATTGATTGCTACGATGCCGTTCTACAGAAGCACCGCTTGAACTCAAACCAGCTGTGTGCAGGCAAACCAGTATTGTTACAGATTCCAGTTTACATTTATCTCCAGATAATAAGATGCTGAGATAATACAAATACGAAACATTGGATTACCAAGAGACATACCTTAGACCAACAGCTAACTTCAATTCTTGACCCTCATCATTTATGCGGACACAACAGGAGACCTGTTTCTGTGCCTCTGTGACAAGTATGAGACCATGTAAAAGCTATGGTTCAAGCAAATGTTTATTATCCTATTGTTACCTCCGTCTTCTCTTCTTCTCTCCCTTTCGCCAGCCAGATTGTAAAAGTACTGACAGACCCTCTATGTGCCGGGTAAGCTGTTCATACTCTATACTTAATTATTTCCCCTTTCTTCTCAGCATATTCCGGGCACTGCGAGCTTCCCGAAGGGAAGCAGCCAAATCTGATGCTTCAGTAATGAAGTTGATATACGGTGTTTTGTTGTTTGAGGTTCTAGTCATTCTTGATGGACGTCGTCTTCCAATATCTGTGGGATTGCTGGTTTAGTAAATTGCAGTCAGGACACACGATCGGAATGCCACGTACGCGTATCTTGAGAAAGGCAGCTCACATCGTCCAGTGATGACCCGGTCATTTGCCTGTCATGCACTGAAAAATCACCTGAAGTAGACTCGTAGTGCTGCGGGTCGTGTCGGTCTTTCGCCTTCATCTCTGCCAGTTCGGCCTCTATCCAGGACACAGACGGGGTGGGATTCACCAGCGGTGTGGGCTCGCTGAAGAGCGTAAGAAAGTCGCTTTCATTGCAAGAGGAGCCGTTCACGCACTCCAATATTGCTTCTGTAACTGGAATGGGTATGCCAGTGAAAGTGCCTATGACGACGAAAGAGCTGGTCTGTGAAGGATGTGCCTTGGCGGTAGCCCGAGTATTATAGGCGGTGTTATTACTAAATAGGCGACCGTGTCAAATATCTGAGGCGAGCCCAAGAAAGATAGGAAATGGTCTCCAGTTCCCATGACAATTCAGAGGGATTACAGGAGCAGAGTTGCCTACCAGAGTAACTTGTTGCCTCCCAGGAGCTTCTGCTGTTTGTCGCGGGAGATCTGCTGCTCTTACAACCCCTGGGCTGCGCCTTCTCGAATGGTCGATCTGAATCAGTCATCTGCGAGAAGGTCGGCGCTATGGCCATAGGCCGAAACATGGTCTCCTACCATTCTGCCTAGGAAGCTAATTTTCATTATCCATACACTGATTTCTTTTTCATACATGAACGATACAAGACAGCCATATATGGCTATGTACAAGACCCTCGTACAAGACTCTCGCGTCCGAGGCAATCACACACGAATGAGAGAGTTATGATGATACACGCCGCCGAAATCATATCTTCTATCTCCAAGCCTGCAGTCCCAGCCAACTACTTTCCTTCAATAAGCCATTCCCCCAGAAACAAACACTATATATCTCATATGGAATAGACAGGGGCAGTGAAGCAGACCGACGATTGGCAGCATTGATTCCAGGAGCTGCAGGCTGGGAAACCAAGCAAGCAGTGGCAGGTATCTCTGTTTGCCCCGTGGTAACAGGTAAACGAGGCTGGGTGTCTTTTGAGCCATGCTCAGCAAAGGTTATCTGGGGATAAGACATCCACTACTCTTATACTGAGGCGGCACTGCCCAGGGATATAAAGTTATCTGGACTCAAGAAATATCTTTGGACAAGAATTCCCTTTTCCTTAGGAAAAGTTCCTGTTGAGCATTCACAAGTGCCATTATTATCCATTAAAGGGGCCCAAGCGGCAGGCTGTGAGTCCTGGCTGAAGTTGGAGAATGTTTTTGAATGTAATGCCAACTCCTGAGAATAGTCTTTTGCAGTCCGCGGCTTTTCCCGCTTGTTTAACAGTGAAAAGTAATATTCTGGATGTGCTGTGGTATGGTTCCGTTTCTCTATCTCCGCGAGCGTCTTGTATTCCTTCTGAATGTGAGGGGCTTCCATCTTCCAGCTCTGTCTGCTGAGTCTGGAGATGGTCTCGTGATTATTCTGGCCGAGCCAGTATTTAACTTGATCATTATATGCCAGCCAGTACAGTATGAATGAGTTAAATGGGCATGGGATTCTTTAATACTATTACCGTGCCTCCTGGCAGCGCGTCGCGACCGGGCGGTGTATCCAGATATATATATCTCTAACCGGGATGTCCTGCATGCCGTCGTTCAGTTCACTTAAGGAATATAGTAGACATGGGTTTTTACTTTCTATTACTATATATTTAGCTTGGCTATCCCTTGTCTAAGCTTTGAAGTAACTTGACTTCTGAAGTCCAGTCTTCTAGTATAGAGCTTCCGGCTTTGTGTGATTTATATTATTACCTTCTTCCGGTATCAGCTTGTCCTCATGCACTTGGGTGTTGTTATGGATCTACTGAGATTAGCAGACGGCTAACAGGTACACCTGGTTTCCAGCTGAGGCAGAGTGGGGATGCTTTTTACCGGCTGTAGAACCAAGTAATATGGGTCATTAGCTGCAAATGCTAGTACAGAGACAGGCTGATTGAAGCTCTAGAACCGTCAGAGTGTGATGTTTTTGCAGTTTCTAGTTTAAAAATGGGTGTGTGCGCTTACCACAGCGAGTTTCCCAGAAGTTTGGGGAAGACTATCGGAGATGCACGGGAGATGCTGGCTGAGTTTTTCATAACTGGTACCAGGCATGAACCACGCCTGGAAATATGGTGGTGGTGGCTCAGACATCAGGTCTCCTGGTGTGGCTTGGAGGGATGTGGACGTCTCGGTTCTAATTTCAGTTGGCTTAATTATAGCAAGAGATGATTCTGACATGCTTCTACAAGACTAAGCAGGTAGAGCCTTCGTCGAATAGCAGGATGATCATTCCAAAGCCAGTAACTAATAAATGAGGTGGTAAACAAGCGTAATTTGATATTAAGACGGATCCCGATGGCAGCCCCGGGTCTTTATAAAGGCCAGGCATGGATTGGAGGTCTTCCACTCTAACTTGGCGAATGACGCTACAGCAATGGCTTGCTTGTCCGATATAGATACTGGAATTCTCTCCGATCATGGCTGGTGGGACTTGACCTACTGCCACACGTGGATCCCTGTCCTAGAGATGTACCAGTCACAGCCGACGATGTGCAGGGAGTAGAGTTCCGGATTGGATTTGGTCGTGTTTGTATCGGTATACTCGGCCATTGTTAAAGCGACCTGTGAGTAGACCCACTGCAAGAGATGAGCTCGCCATTTGTAAGCAGCCGAATTAGGCAACAAGGTTATATTGGGCGTCTTCAGTGGCCTAACTGAGGCATGCCGAACAGTAGCTCCACGACTGTTAATCTCCAGCATCCTCTAATCCGAGCCCTCCGCAACGATCCTCAGTCCAGGATATTCTTGCCTATTTGAAATTCTAATATAGGGAGATATGGCGGAACAGTTTCCAGCTTAAACTAAGTGGACTCCGAACACCATCAGTCACTTGCCCTCAGGGTAGGGCTCTCGGAAAAAGCATCCCCCATATTGAGACCCCGGAAAGATTAATATGATCGATAGTCTCAGTGAATTACTGGAACCGCATGAGATGTATGAGTTCACGGCACACCCCTCCCTCCCTTGTTTTTGGTCCCAGATAATCAAGGTTTGATAGATTGTCCCGGGAGATTGGTAACTAATTATTGATAAGTATTTCCTAGCCTTAGGAGGCCCAAACGCGTTTCCTGTCAGGGCTTATTAAGTATAGAAGAGGATGTAGAAGACCACAATGAGCAGTTAGTACAGAGAAGCTTGGGGCAAGAATTGCCTATTTACAAGGGCAAAGACTAGGGAACAAGCAACTGGAGCGACCCAAAACATGAGTACTTTGGGCGATCGCGGAGTGATCTTTCGAAGGCCGCCGGAGCCTTGCCGCCCCAAAAGGACACGCTTGTTGAGACTACAGCGCGATGATTTGAAATTCGCTACTATAGTACTGGGACAGTACCGAACGCCAACACGTTGCCATGTGATTGTAATTGAGCGGGAGCCATCGTGCATCCTAGACTTATACTAGTTATAGTAGACCAAACTTCAATAAATAAAACCCGGTGGTCTAGATCTTCTTGTGCTGTTACTGGAGCAGTCCTTAAATTGTGTCATAGGCTGCTTGCTATCGTGATCTACGGCTCTCTCTTCTTTGTTGAATGATTGTCTGGATGTGATCAAAGATAGCTAATGATCCTCTCTATCAAATGCTCGCCATCTGGTGCCTCAATAGCTTTCTTGCTAGAAGGAGGACTTTGGCTTACCTTGATGGCGGGGCCAGTCAAGTTCCGTAACCCTGTTACCTGAAAGTTCTTTGTCTCAAGTTAAAAGCTACCCGGAATGTGGTAATTTGGCCAGAAAGGCTGTGGTCCGCTCCTATGGCTGGTCAGGGCTGACCTTTGCTGGAATGAAAAGAGACATGGGCCTGTTGATCTTGGTAGTATGCTATAATGCAGTCTGGAAAAGAGCGTAGAATGATCAGGTTGTATTGGTCACAGAGATAAGTATGAGCATTGCATGGATCTGGAACTGTGGGGAAGCTAGAGCTGCCTCAGGTCTGCGTTGGTCCCGTGAGACATAAGAAAATTAGCATCTCCGACGTCCTGATTGTTCGAGTTCGTTGGAGGTCAGCTGCCGCCTCAGTTGTGATATGACCCCAGCTGTGGGTGTGGGTCCGGCCATCGGACGTGATTGTCAGGCCTCTCGGTGGCTCCAGATTAGCAGTCCGGCTGACTGGTTGATGGCAGTATGGGACTGCGGTCTAGAGATACTTGAAATGCTTACTAGTGATCTGGTGGTGACTGCCACTGTCCCCTATCGCGAGCCTGGAAGGATGTTGCTGCTAAATAATGAATCTATCATTAACAGCTTTGTCGATGGTCTGAAACTGCGCATTAATTTTGGCGACTCCAGCTACCACTAAATGTCAAAAGTGCATAATTTCTTATTTGTGTCATCGGGAAAGTCCTTGGAAAACAGTCTAAGCCAAATTGACTGATGAGGATGTGCAGGAGTATACGGTATCTGATGAGAATTGACTAAAATGGGAAGGAAGGGGCTGGCTGAGATAATAGATGTGATTGTGGCCTGTGGTGGATGAACAGGCTCTTAGGCTATCCACTCATGCTCCTTTGTATACTGGGATCTACTGTACCAGAGGAGAAGTATTAATTGGATTATACAAGGTTCGGCATGATGATCTCTACAATGGACAAAGTCTAGTATAGTAGCAAGGGGTCCTCTGCTGTTAGTTAATAAAGTTAGTCTCTCTTAGGTTGTATGCTGAGAACAAGATCTGTTAATATGTACCACCCTCAGCTATAGAAAGACACCAGGACACATTAGATCTACCATAGATTGTAGTGAGTCGCCAGTATGCTCTGAAATACTGTACGTGAATATCTGATAGTTTGGCTGGGGCAATGTGGTGTGGTTATTACCTGGGGCATGATGTTCCACTTCCTTTTGCTTTAGGGTCAGGTGATATTCCAGGATGGGTTCTTCTGTGTAATGCTGGGCATGCTGTCTTTGAGAGGAATATGTGAGAATTGTGTATCTAAGATCAAGAGGCTTATATTCACGCCCTTATTAAGTAGCATTTCTCTAATTTTGCACGCCAAAGGCTGATGCAGATTTTAACCATGTTTAATTATTGTCCTGCCGTGGGCTTTCCAGGACCTGGTCAGTAAATATCAATATTGTTTTCTGGATAATGCTTTGCTAGTTTCCGATCGGAGGATATGGGGGTGGGTAATAGCAGGACTAATTTAATCTTTTACCTCCCTTGATTCTCTGGGGTATAAGAGCAGTACCTCCGTCTTATTATCTTATAGTTGCAGCCGCAGCCGCTCTGTCAAAATCCAATAATTATCTTCGTCATGACAGATCCGTGTATGAAACGCCCACGGACTCTCTGGTTGGGCAGGGATTCATCAACTTGAGCTGAAGAGTCTTGATCATCAATAGGACTGAATACTGAAGAAATGCTAAAACTAATCCCGGTTATTAATAATCGCGATGGTATCACACATTTTAATTGCTACGAAGAGAACCCGTGGAGCGTATATGAACCATGAGCCAAGATTTATTGCAAGTAATTAATCATCCTGGCCCAGCATTGGAAGTACAGACAGAATATTATAAATATCTGATGCTATTCTATTGACTGACCTCAGGTCTAAAGCTTGTTAGAGATGATCAGACATCTTTCTTACTCTATATTCTCATGGCTTCTGGAGTCATACTACCACACGGGTGAGCTGTACCTGATTTAGGAACTGATGGAAATCACGTTGAACTACATTTTAACTGCCCAGTGGCCGGTTAATGAGACCGAGCTGGTATATATTTTCTGGTCAGTGAGTGTTGCCAGCGGCCATTATGTGACGGAAAGATAATAGATACTAATCCAAGCAGACTCTTGACGGCATTAGATTCCTTTGGGATCAGGGAAGAGTATTAGCTATTCTAGAGATAGAGATAATTCTTTTAGACTGAAGGGGCTATGTCCGCCTTGGTAATTATATTTCTTTGATTATTGCTACAAACATTGTTAACTGACTTGGCGTACTAGCTGGGGTCGAGCAGAGCTACCTGATCTCAGTATCTGATATGAATACCGAGATGCTGAGATTGACCGCGCTGGCTATAATCACGAGGAGCCTGATGGCTACTGGTGCAGGACAGGTCAGATAGAGCTCTAAGGTCTGGGCCTTCCTCGAAAATCTGACCACCAAGTCTTTGGATGAGTTGATGCAGGTAAGTGGGCAGCTAAGAGATGGAGTAATAGTTAGTAACAGAGTCCTAGGATACATTTCTTGAAGCAGCAACGGATGAAAGAGATCTAAAGCTGTGCGTCCATGTTGTGAATAAAAAAGCCAGAAATGATCTTGTATTACTCTGACTGGTCTGGATTTGATGGCATCCATCATCATCTAGGCATGTTTGTGAGTGAAGTTTTCGCAGCAAATATTTAGTAATCATTCAAGCTGACAGCGTTTTTTATGTTGTCATATACTTCCTTCATGAACAGTTGGTTGGTAACTCGTTGTAAGCAATAAATGCTGCATCCTTATTCCTAGTTTCACAGCACTACCAGACATCAAATAGGCTTGAGTTCCGCAATATTATCCCTCAGATATGTAGGATCTACATAGAGGTTTGAGTGGATAGACGCTGGGTACTAGGGAGGCATACTCTTTGGCGATCACGGCAGCAAGTGAGATGCACCGGGACACCCGTATCCAGCATCTCAAGCCATGTACAGTAACGGCCTACATCAGTTTGGTCTCAGTATCAGCTATGCCGTAGACGGCCTCAGAGATTTTCCTGGTGCCCCAGCTCTGGAGAAAGTGCCCTCACGCCGAACGATGACTCCGTGAAAAACTGTTTCATTCACCAGCTCTACCAGTAGCTTCAGGACTCTTGCCCCGGCCATTTGTTCAAAAAAAGTCGTGCGTTCGGTCAGCCGGCTGGCATGGCCGGCTCAACTGAAAGTCAGAGACACGAGCGCCCGTCCCCGTGTCCAGATACTTTTCGTAGATGACCTCACGTCACTACATAAGGAGTATGCTCACTGAATGTTGTCTAGGAGAGTGTGTCAGGAAGCTAGTGCGATTATATGGTCTACCTACAGCCGCCACGGGCATCCCTTTGGTTGAAAGCACGACATGTCCCAATGACTACAAAGGCTAAAACAACAAGGCCACCTAAAGATAGAATTTGACAGTCGTTCGGGGGGAATAGTGAAGGATGGCCGGAAGCTGATCGCTACCTTGGGGGGAGTGTACTGCATTTCTAAGAATGGACATGCCAGTCCTCGAGAACCCCGGCCTTGGTTTGTTCGACGTCAAAGGCTTGCTAATTCACCGGCTTAATCAACAGCTTGCAGAGTATAACCGGGGACTTGCATTGGATTTGGGGGCTTCTAGGTCGGCTATCTTGGCCGATGAGGATGGTGCGCATGGTGCGGTCTGCGAAGACGTCGGGCCTGTCTTTTGTTCGTTCCATCTAAATGATACCTTAGTGAACGTTGCGTCAAGAGAACCCAACTCACGCCTCATAGCAAGCTCGGTAGCTTCGCAACACGGATGGATCGATGTGCTAGAACGGAGTCCCTGGCATTGGTCAGCCCCCTCTATCTAGAATGCAGTTGTCGTTTGCAGAGCCATACCAGCTGACCATACCACGACTTTGAGTCCCTTTGGTGAATTACAAGTCCCCATGTCTATGATCTGTCAATGCAAACCACCCGGTATCCTTATAAGGCTTGGGTCATTCGTCTGCTCACCATGGCGGTAGACAATGCCCATACAGTCATAACTATGGCAAGAAGCATGACTGAATCTGAGAGTAGAATTCTGTGTGCTGTACTTTCACCAGCTGCTGTCCTCGGTGAAATGGAGTAAGGAAGAATCGAGGAAGAAGTTCATGCTCTCCATATATGTTGCCTAATTTGCTCATTTGGCAAAATGCGCAACCTACACCGTCTATCATTTGGAAAAGAGATCAGGATCTGTTTCGTGAGACGCTCAGATGCGATCAGTATGTCCGTACTTTTTGCACTCTGGTCAAATTGGTGGACATCCCGACAATCCCACTTTTGGTAGGGTTGGATTGGAAATAGGTTTTGTTGTTGGGGTGCAATGCTGCTGGCGCGACGAATTCTCATGGGTCATATCGGCCCGGAAAAATGGATGCCCGGCACGGCCATGCACGACATTGAATCATGTGAAACCGGAAGCATCGGAGGCTGAGCAAATTATCAACCTGCTGACCTGGTTTTGATGAGCGACCCCTTAGAGTGGGCAATATATTCAATTTTGGCGTGCCTGTCAATTCTCTAAGTGTCTCGTGGAGTTATCAGAAGCCGGTTGTGCCGGAACACGCTGGAGTAGCTAGTGTCCGTCGTGATACATATATATCATTGGCCATTCATGCACGAAATGAAGAGACCATTGATGCGCATGATCACGATCGTGAGCGATAAGGCCTACATTTGTAATAGCCTAGGGTAATCGTGTATACAGATTCCCGTATACCCATGTGTTAGTCTCTTTGTTTTACTCCCTCAGACCAGAGGTCGAAATACCAGGATATATTATTTCTTCGGTGCGCATTCGGATTTCCTAGGTGGGCTTCAAATTGATCCCCTGGACAGCTTCCTCATAAGGACTAGTCCCGGGTCTACCGAGCACCAGCAAATGTTGATGGCCCAGGACAACAACAATCAATTAGAGGGACCGACCAGAAGGCGGTGAAGCGACGCGCACGCCTGGGCATCTGAACAGACTAATGCCCGCACAGATTGCGCATCCTGTTCCCGGACACGGTATCGCAAATATTTGACCGAGTCTACTCGGTTACCCCTTTATCATCTTTCACCATCTCTCGCGATCTTTTGACCATGCTTTCATCCTTCCTTGCCTCTTTACCTCATCTCCCTCTCTTTCCCCACTTGCCTCTCTATTTCTATCTTTTCCTTTCCTTTTCCCCTTTTGTGACCAGCTTCATTTGCCCTAGCCCTGGTCTGCAGGTCATCCAGCTCCCCCACTCCATTAGCCGCGATCAGGCACCTCAAAAGGCGAACATCACATTCTGAAAGGCGCATATTCGCATCCAGCCTGGTCAATCCCTCTTTAGCGTGGAGCCGAGTCATGCTGCGCCCAAGGCAAAGCAGGGTTGGGGTTCGAGATCTAGTGTGATTGCGCTATTTGTGGTCTTGGAAACACTGCGCTTGCGAGGGAGTGAAGAATCAGACATGACCTTCCGGATTACTCTATGGATGGATAAGGCCAGAACAAAAGGGTCAAATCTCCATGTTGGGGTAGAGAACCGCTGAATGTCTCCATGCAATCTGGCCGACCAGAACCGGTAGCCATGGTAAACCGAGGGTAACGGTGGGCAACATACTGGCTGGTACCGTGTGCTCAAGACAGAATATCTCAGTCATTGAGAGCCTGTCGGTTAGGACAACAGAGAAAGTTGTCGCTGTGTTTTGCCTTGGTGGATACTGCTATCTTGAGGGCCAGGCGGTTGTGCTCGTAGCGATAGAATTGCCCGACTCTGTACTCTCTGAATTTAATCACATACTATTATGAGTAGTCATGTTGCGTTGACTGTCGATGATTGATGAATTTCTGACCACAAGACGCGAGCCCAGTCATAATCGACTGTGATTCTGTGCCTTGACCTGCTACAGTACCGAGATTAGGTTAGCTCAGCTAGATGGCCGGGCGTTTGGGGGAAGCTCTTGTTGGAAGCCTTTGTGCTCGGAAACACCGTCAAATGTTGACCTCGGTTATATCAACGAGATTGATGCGCGGGTTTTCCATGGAGGCAATAATCAACCTCCAAACTCTCCGTATCTCAAGTGACTCGGCAAAGTATAATGTTCAGTCAGAGGATGTGCCCATTCAAGTGGGTGAGGGCAGTTCATAATAGGCCCTCGGAGAGTGTCCGTCTGAAGAGTGTCCGTCTGAAGAGTGTCCGTTTGAAGAGTGCCTGTCTGGTAGCTGGGTGAAAGACCTCGCACCAACAAGGTACTCTACCCAGGCTCCGCGCAAAGCAGAGCCCGGTTGGGTCAGAAAAAGGTAGATATGTAATTCGAACAAGGTGCAAATTCATAAACATGACCAACCAGGGCTGTGTTTGACTGAAACCACGGCTTCCCTGCTGGTACGCCAACGCTCAAGCGGAGAGACAAAATTGCCCCTTCATTTCGACAAATTTTCACCGGGCACCGAACCTTGAACACCCCGATTCCACTTCTCTAATTTACCAGCATCATAATACGGCCTCACAATTAGTAAGACGTGTAGACGACCATCTGTTTCTCATTCAAAATACGGTGGGCCCTTTGAGATGCCGGATCGCGGTCTATTATAACCCAGGCCTGGGGATCTGGATGTCCTGCAGACCAAGGGAAATGGCTGGTGTAGCTGGTAGAAAAATAGTAAAAAACTCGACCGGGTGGGCATGGTCGGGTACTCCATTCAACCGTCTTCTTTGAAACGGGTACGTGCCATGAGAAGTTACGGGACATTGATATCTGCAGAATTACCCGGCTAGTATAATGTTCCTAATCAGGTATAGAGCATCACGCTTGGCGTGGAAGTACATGGTCTATAAAGTCACCTTCATGGACCCATCAACAGCAGCCAGCTTTCGTGCGACAGTATCCCGTCTTCTAACCATCCTCTTTCTCGAAGCATGGTAAGGGATTGCCATAGATATGACTCTCCATTTCCTACGCTTCCCTAGTCCTCGTACTGGAGTGAGAAGGCTGACCCGGTCTGAGGCCGGGTAGACACCTCCAGGCCCAGTGAGGATAAGGCATTGTTGGGGCAGGAGATATTTCAACAATACACCCGTGCCTTTCTTACAGGTACTAGTCTGCCTGAGTGGGAGTTGCAGCAAGCCTGCGTACCCACCAAATGAGAACAAGAGCTCGTTTTGACTTGTTGCCACGAACAAAATTCGCCACGGTTAGGAAGTGCTGCTACAGGTACAGTAAGCGACCAAGTTTTATAGATTTTTGTTTTTCAATTTTCTGAAGAATTGGGCAGGATGCCTCATTCTCCGCGATTCCTGCCGGGAACATATTCTGTTTCTTCTCCCGAGATTTGTGCACCGCTTCTTCTCCACCGCTTCTGCAACGGCATGCTTATGTTCTCTCCAGGAATCCATGTATACCAGTCCGGACCTCTTCTTCCGTTGTCCAGGCGAATTTTCATGTTCGTCGTGATTCGACGCAATCTGCTGTTGGATTGTGAGTCAAGACACCTGCCCAAAGGCGGCAAAAACTTTTAGCTTATCGGATTCGGAGATGACGATTATAGAGGGATATCCAATTCGGAGTCGCCTCACTGCCTTCTGCTCGGCTCCGTCGTTTGACGGGAAGCGGGTGAGTAATATCGGATAAATATAGACGAGTGTCTCTTCTAATCATCAGGCGTGATAGGTTGCGTCTCCCTTTCCGTGCGTGCACCTTATTTACGGTTCCAATATGCAGACTTGCCATTATTAGAAGCTTGTTGGAGAAGGACATGGGCTGATTGTTTGCCTCGTCGTTGTGCGCTCTGCCCTGGGAGATGATCACGGCACTCACCCAGATGCTATGGATATGGCCGTTGAACACAAGTAATCTGGTGAGCCAGGGGAACGAAATGATACGATGTCCAAGTGAGAGTGCCGTTGTGGTTTGCTTGAGAAGCCAAAAACGATCGCTGACCGCTCCCATAGGACAATTCCTGTACTGCCAAAGATAATTCTGAGCTTTTGCTGCACGGTACTGACAAGGAGGGACATCTTTGGCGAATATAGTTGAGAGAAGGATGATATATCTGATGTCTACTCCGCGCAAGTTGGCAAGGAATCTGGGTGAAACTGTTCCCCTGCGTCCAGAACACCCAGGACGTCCCTGGTGGCGGCTGCGTGAAGGACGTGCGATTTGTCCCTAGACAGCCATAGCCGAAGTCAGTTTCCATATCAATGCCCCCTGGGCATAGGAGAGCGTTATCCAGCTGGTTGATGGCGTTGGTGGTCATGACCAAGATGTGGCCTCCCCGCGCAGTTATGTCATGAATACTGTTGAGCAAAGCAGATAGAGCGGCCTCGTTGGAGGATAGGTTCAACTGTCCGCTTCCATTCCACCGTTCTGTTCACCTTCGGAAGTCCTGTGGATGTTGTCGGGAACGTGATACCGACGTGCCTATGATAAAGCGACTCAAACACAGTGGCCAGATTATGTTTCTCAAGGCTCACCGCCAATGGCCTCTTATCAAGAGTAATGGGTAGGCATTGGTCCCCACTTGATGTTTATCCACTGACGAGAGAGGCCCCACACAACTCGGGACCCCAAGCGATAGCATGAAACGAAGTGGCTACCAACTGTATCGGCGAGCCAAATCCACAGTAAGGAGGTACCATCGCGGTGTATTAATAATAGACAGGGAAGTACGGCCTTTTCTCCAAGTGTGGATGAGCTCCAATGGGTACTAACTGCATAGTGTTGAACCCTTAAAAGGCTAGATTATACAGTAGCGTCGTTACGCAAATTAGCAGTCAATGAGAGAGGTAAGCCAACTCACCGTGTTTGGAAAGCGTACTTGCTCACTAATTTCCTGGTTATACATTTTCATCTCAGCAAGATCGTACAATGGAAGCATCCTCTACAGTATCTATATAAACGAATTGTGAGTATCCAGAGTGATGCAATTGAAATAGTTGACTCCACTTGTTAAGGATTGGGTGGGAGATCGTACTATTTTGACTACAACATAGCAAATTGAGGTTTCTTCAAACCAGCGCATTTTGCGGGGACAAATGAGCCTAAACCGACGTATATTACTGCCTGAGGCAACTTTGGACTCCGGCCGAAGGGGTGAGTAAGCTGGTAAACAACCCGACACGCAATTCTCTCCCGACTCTATTCCCTGCGCCGAATAGAGCCTCCTCCGCTGTTGAGTTGCTTGGGCTCGATTATCGGCCGAGTAACTCTTTTGAAACGGGATGGAGGAATCAATAGCCGAATAACGACGTCAGATTGAAGAACAAGGAAGGCGGCGAGAAGCGGCAGAGCGCCGCGAGGAGGAGGAGAGACAGGCGCGAGAAGAGGCAGAACGCCGTGAGGAGGAGAGAAAGGCGCGAGAAGACGCTGAACGTCGAGTGCAACCAAACTCCCTATTTCACCTCCTTGATCGCTGCCACAATTCTCTCTCCCAAGCGATCCGAGTTGAGGCAGATACCACCCTTACTACTCAGGACGACACGGCCGATCCAGTGAACCGACTCTACCCCAAGCACATCATCCCTTGGCGTGACTTTCCCCAACTACAGGAACAGATCTGGAACAAATTTAACTATAATATTACCTTTACCATGCGCCCACTATTCCCCTCTGATACCCAAATTAATTATGTCGTCATGAATATCCAGAACAGATTAATCTATTCAGAAGCCTCTCTTCGGAATTTTGAGCGACACACAGTGAACAAATTTGTTGAAAAGGTCATTGAGGTTTCCCGAGACAATAAACCTCTTCGCGATGAGTTTGGAATCCAAGGCCAAGTCACCTTCTATGATCGCGCAAACCCGTCGGAAACTTCGCTCGAGGACAGCCTAGAGCAAATGAATCTCGAGAACACGCGGACACCCCAACGACCGGCGAACCCGAGGCTTGGAAGAGGCCGAGGACGATATCCCTAATCAGGATGCGCAGGCGGATGTGCAGGCGGATGATGAAATGCGCCTCCACCGGACTGCCATCGGTCAGGTGCTTGCGTTCACGCTTCAAGCGCTGTCCGTCGAACCTCCGACTCAGAAATGGCACGATGTAGCACACGACCAGCTAACAACCTGGAAGGTTGAATATCTTGATATGTTGAGAGAAATCCCTGATACTCTCCATAAAGACCCGCTGGTGTCTGATTATCGGCTCTCTCACTGGAAACCGGATCGGAAAATACACAACACACGCGCTCGCGTTCGCGCGCGTTGTCAACCGGGCGCATCGACACTGAAGCATTTGTCCACTGAAGGCAGCGGCAGTGATTAAGAATTACTTTTGCCATCCGCCGCAGCTGTGTTGTGCATCCGATCGAGCCGCGGCCAAGGCAACCACCGCTAATTAACCCGGGAAGGTGAAAGAACACGAGCCGGCCGAGACTATAAACAGACCTCTCGGCAAGACGGACCTTCTACGCGACCATACTGCACCATTGCGTGCATCCGCGGCTTGGTTAACTGAGAACCACTGGATAAGAATTATCTTAACTGGGAACTCTATGGTGGTCGGAGACACTCTATCAGACTGTAGGAGTTCATATACTAGCTCCATTGTCAACTAGCCTGAGATTAGGAACTTGGATTTGAACAGCTGTATATTTATAATCAGATAGGATATTTTATCAAAACCATTCTCCTTTCCCGCGGATATACAGTAATCATGAAAGTAATAACTATGAAGAAGCAGTATTACCTTTAAATAAAAGTAAATAATTATTACTAGTTTTAGAATTTACAGGGATAATATATCCCTGTCTATCTTGGGGACTTTAAGTCTCGTGTTGTATATTAGTACCACAGTAAGTTAATAATGTAGATGATAATATTAAGCTGGTCTGGAATACAGCTTTAGTATATTATTAATAATGGGAACTCCTACTTCTTTCAGCAAGAGTGTGACAAAGCTCTGACTGTGTTTTAGTTACATGGAATTATCCACTGTGACAGTGAGTAGTGTAATATACTGTAAGATAATTTAAATAGCTGCTTAGCTATTATTAATCTGGAGGATGTGAAATGGTTAAAGCATGCTAGGATTCTTGAATCTGTCTTTGTGAATATACAGCGAACTCACTGTATCAGAGCAGTGAAATATAAACCCGGCTTGGAAAGGGTGGAAAGGGTGGAAATTCTGTAATACGGCAGTACCTTAAGCTTGTAACAGTGTGTTCGGAAATGTTGTAAAGAATTCCGCTATAAGATGTCGTGGCTTTAACTTATACTGAGTATTAAATATACATTTTGTAACATGAACTTTATATATTGCAAGAGTGCGACTGCACAGCAGGCTTGGGTAGTAGAATTATTTATATAATTTTTCCAGGCTTTGCAGCTAGAGATATATTCTATTAATTATTTTCTGTTGACCGGACTTCTTCAAAAGTCTTTATTTGATTTTATAGCTAGCTCAAGTGCTTGGAGATTACTTGGAGGTATCTGCCTCAGCAAGAGTATGTGCGATGGCCATGATGTTTTTGATCTGGCTTAAGTTAATAAGTGAGGGGTGAACAGTAGCGCTCTAGTATCTATCCCGGTATTTATTTAAAGTTAAAGATTATAATTGTTGAAGGTTGTTCCTCACTACAACAGGTTCTTGTATTGTACATGCCCTGGATAGAAATGTTGACTAGAGATCTCTGCGAACTGACTTGTTGAATTTTTATGGTTAATGGTTAAATGGGTCCGGGCGAGAATTGTATCTTTAAACTAGATATCCTGATTTAATGTTAAGGAAATGCCTCCTACTATTGCAGCTTCTGGAAGAAGATGGTTATAAGGGAATTTTGAGTAATGTAGTAAGATTCATGTTACTCTTGAATATAGTAATTTCATCCAAGCAAAGCATGCTGTCAAAATGTTTGTTAATATTGGATACTGCTTCAAGCTGTTGCTCAAGTGTATTTGAATTGCCGTGGTCGACTTGGTGTTTCTATTAATTATGTTGTTGAACGGTACCGTCGGTATCACACCCAGGGTGGTTTCATTAATGACAAGAGCAAGGTCTTAGTTTCTGGAGGGAATTAAAAGCAGTTAAATGGTTTGAGTATTCAGTGAGCAAGCGGTGTTGCTGCTGTGGGATTGTGCAGTCCTGGTTATTTATATTTTCTGCATATTGGTCGAGCTCTTCGAGAAATGAAAGATGATATATTGTTTAATCTAAAGATATTCCTAACTCCAGCGGGACTATTAAATGAAGGCTTTCTGGGGCCACCCTTGTCTTCGTCTCTCCTGATAGTATTGAACTGCGCAATGGAAATCATCTTCTGGTAAGTTCCTTCCATGATCGAATCCATGCTTCAGGCGTAGGCGATTATTAATAATGTTAGTAGGTATGTTGGCCAAGGTCCCGCATACAAAAAATGCCAGCCGACAGAATACTTCTCTAGTTTATGAACTATTCAAGATGAAAAATTTACTGGAGAGTTCTTCAGCTTTGCATTATATATCGCCCAAGTGATAGTATCTGCATACAGCATGCAGGATCTGCGTCCGAAGGAGGTTGAGTGAGAGCATGCTTAGGTTGTTAAGGCTCAACTATGGTCTTTGTGTACACGCACTGAAGCTGATATTGGGTTTCATTAATGTTTCCCCTATCCATTACAGGATCTTTTCACGGACCTCGACGTCTAATTCAAGTGTGGCCAATTCATCGCCTTTGTTAATCCATCCGGCTGCGGAAAGACAATACATGATATCTTATTAGAGAGATTCTACAACCCTTACCAACTGATAATCCATATCAACGAAACCACGACTCTCCGAAAGAACCATCCGCAATAATATAATCCTTGGACTCGGTAATTCTGAGTTTACCGAGATCAATCTGGTTCAAGCCTGCGAGGATGCAGATATTCACGATCCCATTATCTGCCTCCCGGATAGATAGTCGATCTATCGGATATCAAGGCTCAATCATTCCTAGGTGAAAGACAGCGATAATGCCCTGATTTTATGCAGGCATTAGTACGCAGACCATTCCTCTAGTCGATGAAGTAATATCGAATCAATCTTCACCCTAGCCCCAAGAAATGGTACAGGCAGTACTCAGGCGCTTGGCAGCGAAGAGATGTATGACAATTGTGGTAGTTATGTATATACTGGCTACTGTACCGAAAGCGGACAGGGCATTTGTCTTTGGTGTAAGCCAGAGCAGATATAGGTTTAGGTTGTGGAGCTGGGAAGTCATCAGGAACTGCTACGGGATATCAAGATGTGTTGGCAGACAGTGAGTATGGGCTTGATTCTCTGTTATTGTGGATTACTGATTAAATTCCAGTGTCAGGACAATGCGCTCGATCGATAAATGTACACTATATGATTTCATTCTGTATAGGGTCAGTGGGTTCAGAGAATCTGTCTATTAGAAGTTGCTTTATCATAAATATAATATCAAGGATTAATAAGCAGATAAAGGAATATCCCTCCCCCTTTCTTATCTACTCCCTGCTATTAAACTCCGGACGAGCCTCAGAGGTATATAATACATCTTATTGGTCTATCTACTATCCAGGCCCCACCTCTACTTTCTATTATATTTAGTCAGCTGCACACAGCTTTCTCTAATACTATGAAACTCAGTGCTACTTGCTTATTTTCTGTTATTAGTAAAGTCTCATCTTCTCACCAGCCTGTGCCATTAGGGCTGTAAGTGAGAATTCCTAAGTATCTATATAGATTGCCAGTATCAGAAACAGGAAAGAGGAGGCGGAAAGAGCTTTATAGTAATTATATAAAAGATTTTTTAATATATTTTATTCCTGCTTGGTCACCCTTGACTGCGAGAGAGACCGGGTCTGTTGCAATGCTTCTATTATTAATGGTAGAACTGATAAAAGAGAGACTTTTCGCCGGTGCTTATGTTATGATCATGGAGGTATAATCCCAGAGATACTCCTGGTAATTTCTTTCTTTGTCTTGAGCACTGGTCGGTGATTCTCTACTAGTTATTCCAGGCTTGAGTTTACTGGGGAGTATGCTGTTATTCTTTCTTGTTTTAGCTTTCTTCTTCCTGCTTCATGGCTGGACGCTGCGAATCCTGGTGCTGAATTCTTTCTGAAATGTTATTTATTTATATTGATTACGATGTACTGTTGCTCAGTTTCGGCTGAATTACTTGGTCCGGGTCTTTCTAATAATGATTTTGACGGGATACTCAAATATGACAGGATCCTGATGATCCCGCGATCCGGTTATGCAGGACTTGCTGAGTATCCTGATTCTATTTTTTTTTATAGTGAGCCTGACTTGCCTGCAGCTCATATATTATATGGTCTGTTTGCGCCATGTCAGATATTTTATTATATTGCGCTGATCGGATAGCTGGGCTTTGCTGTTGGGATTCTGCTTGGCTCTGTCTAGAGTAATCAGAGTCCACATCCTGCGTTCCGCCTGATGTTTTTTGGGCCACGAGCTGGGGTTGTCATTGTTCCAGACTATCTACGCGTTGTAGTTACTGCTGGTATATAAGTCTAATCTTCTTTAATATTTTTGTTTGAAATAATGCTTTCTGCTGTCTTCTAGCCGTCGGCGAAAGCTGCTGTTGGGTGATTGCAGTATGAATAGTTATAGCTTAATATAGTGCCAAGGCTCGCTATAATAGAATAAAATAGGTAGAAAGGGCCAGTCACCAGTATAATATTATAAATTTATAATTAGAGAAATTAGTATATTATATTATATTTCTGTCTTATTAATACAGGACTTGTCATGCACTTTATTTCTTATCATGCTAAGTGTACTGTACTAAAAAGTCTATTTCTAGTATCTGTTAAGCTCCTGCCCGAGTATTTATTAGCTAAGAAACAAAGAGCAACAAGGTTAAAATTCTCCTTGTATATAAAAGTGTGAAGCGGACTGTGAACAGATACAGTCTTCTTTTAAATTATACTAGTGATTACCGCAATCTAGATGGCTGTATTAATCTCACGGATATGCTGTGCCATTTACAAGACAGACTTTCCGGTATTAATAACTGAATCTACAAGTATAAGTATAATAGTATTTCTGTCTTTTAAATGTGTTTTCTTAATGTCCGCCACACAATGAGCGTGTAGGAATATTGTATTCGGAAATATATTATTAATCCTGAAGGCCATTAGCTTTTTTTTTTATATTAGTGCTATTATTACTGTTCTTGATACTTGGAAGAGCTGGAACCCGTCAGTAGTATATCCCTACATGTGAGGTATCTGATTTGTCTCAAGGCTTAGTAGGTTAGATAGGTGGATTATTAATAAATAGTATTTAATATATTAATATATTTCTCTGAGAAGAGGACTATTAACTCTGGTATTTTATATAACTGTTATTAATAGCTTGGCTGTATTTATATCCGTGCTGTGGAATACATAGAATCAGAAGTTAATTAAGCTTATTAGTAACTCTAGTTGAACTGTAGAAAGTCTTTCGGTGTTTAGATATGATAGTATCTTTTCCAGTAGGAATAATTAGCGCGTGTATAGTTAATTACTATTAATAACTGTTTCTAATTCAGTCTTTATTAATTGGCTTCTGGTACTAATATTTCCTATAATAACAATAGCTTCATCGGCTCTGCTTAGTATATTGATATCGAGCGGGCTATCACCAAAAGCCCAGATATATATACAGTATACTTTTTTAAGACAGTCTACTATTGCTGTCTTCATACCAGGGGTAATAGTAAATTTATCAGAAATATAACCATTTCCAAAGACAACAACCTTGTGAGAGAGACTAATCTTATTAAAAATCTTAATCTATATTATATGTAATCCGCAGGTCATGATCACTGCACCAATATACTCTTTAGATTGGGCATAGCATAGTAACAAAAATATTTCAGGATATAATTTGACTGAAGACGCCACGCGCGTACAGATCTCATTAAATTAGTTATTATTAAATAACTGCTCGTAGAGCAATGATACCTGGCAGAATATAGTATATAAATATCTCAGATGGCTGCTGAAGATAGTTTTTAATAGTATTATATTATTTTATTGGGATTTATATGCCCTCTATAATATGTCTCCAGTATCTCCAGCAGTCAAGGTTCTGTCCCCGTCCAGGACTAGGAAAATGTCAATCAAATTAGTATAACTGAAGTGCATGGAAGTATCAAGAAAGTCTATTGCTATGCTTAAGTTGTAGGTCTCATTATGCTTTTGAAAGTCCAACAAAAGAGTCTTTATTCTAATAACATTTTTCAATGGTACCAGATAGAACAGGATACTGTGGTCATAATAAAGCTGATACAGAGATATTTTTTCAGTCTTAATTTATTACTGAATCACGTGAACAGGCAGCTTTATCCTGTACTTTTACATATTCTGCTGGCACTACTGCCATACTATGTTAGCGGGCTCATCCAGATATAATATATGTATAAAGACCTTAAGGTTACTCTCTGTAAGAACTATTTCCAGGGCACCTTACTTAGAGTAAAATATAAAATACCCAGTAATAATAGTAATCTTTCCTGTTTTAATTAATATTCTTCTGATGGTTTTGATGGCCTGCTTGCACCAGCAGGCTTTTTTTTCTCTTTCTAGCGACTGGAAGGCCTCAAGTCCACCAGATATAATATTAGTAATAATAGCAGAGTCTTCATGGTAGTTGAATAATTCTTCATCTAATTCTTATTTTAATTGATCAAGTAGAAATGATTTTTCTACTTCTGATATTTTATAAAGACTAATAATTACTAGTTTATGAGTCTTACAATGGCTGCTGCCCTCGCGTGAATAATGGCTCATGTTATTTATTATCAGCTTGTATGAGAGTTAGTAGGGGCCTTCCGAGACAAGTTCAGTTAATATATTTTATAGATTATTCAGAGTTATCTATGAAGAGTGGCTACTTATGCTATTATAAAAAGCAGTGCTGGCTTATAAATCAAGTAAGTAGGAAGAATAGGCCTCTCTCTTAATAGATATATATTTGAGCTTTCAGGATAAGGGTACTATTAAGGAGGCCATGCCTCGTAGTTAACTTGTTCTTGACTAGACCCCAATCAGGCGAGCTGATAACTGTTTGAGTCTTATAGTCTATATTATTCAAGCAAATGAGCTGTGAGAAATATTGTGTTAACTGTACTAGCACAGTAAATAAGAACTCTTAAATAAAGCCGGCTGCTCTAGTCTCTTGTTAAAAGTTACTGTATTGGCAGAGAATTTAGTCCGCAATCAGGCATCTGAGTAAGAATTATATCAAATATTTCCAAGATATAGACAGATTGAGAGTTAGTGTGAAGAAAACTTTTTAGTATGCTAAATAATATTCTTAGAGATTTCAAGTCAAGCTGTTGGAGACCGATGCTGTACTAATAAAGAAGTTTGATTAGAAAGCTATTACTAGTAATCTGTATAGATAGAATATTCTGGAGAAGATGCTTAAGGTACTTTACTAGCTTACTATATTTATTATTAATTAAGAAAGCGGGATAAAATAGATTAAAAAGATAAATACTTCTTAAGTTAAGATCTTGCTGCCTGGAGCTACTAATATCTCTGGCAAGAATATAAACTTGAGTCACATTGTACTTCCTATCTTGACATAGTATGTATAAACCTAGTAGATCTTGGAGTGGTACGCTTATATCATCTTATTTCTGGATACAGATTATTACTTTCTGTAACCGAGGGAAAGATACTAGAAAATTAATGGTTTACTATATATTAGTATTACTGATACTGGACTGATTCACAATCCAGAGAACTGTATTAGAAAATATAATATATATATTCTCTGTGGGTTTTATCACATCCCCAGCAATGCTCACTGGCCCAAGATTGGGAAAGCTGGTGGCGTAATATACTAGATACAATTATTATCTAAGAATATTACTTAATATTTTTTATAACAGGAAATATTACCTGCTTTGGCTTTATTTAACTTAAACCCTAGAAATATGATAAAATAATATAATCAGGATTCTCTAATATTATTTAAGCGGGCAAAGCTCTCTTCTGTAAAGTCCAGAATAATATTATCAAAGATAAATGATAAATATCATTTTCTGAGAAGCTTGCTCATGCGCGAAATCTCTTTTATTACTAAGAAGTGAAGATAGTCCAGGATCAGATAAAAAATCTCTCCTGGTAAAGTCTTTAATAATGTTTTTATGTTTATTCTGCTATTCAAGCATGCAGGTAGTGCTGATATTATTATATACTTAAGTTATTTTATAAGCTGCTTCTAAGATAGTTTAAAAGAGATATAGAATAGCCCAAGCTCTTGAAGTACTTCTGTATGCCAGGTTCTAAGTAATATATTTAATTTTTATATAAAAAAAATCTTAGCCTGTACTCCCCCGTGAGATTATCCTTTTGCTGATATAATAACCTCAGTCAGATAGATCTTTACCGCCAATATCAGGCGCTGAGTTGGAAATTTTCGAAGTAAAGTACAAGATAGATTTTCAGGCATCAAGAATTATCCAAACTCCAAAATATGAACTTTACTGAATAGAGGAACATGGCGAATTTTAATTAATAAATTCTCATAATATCTTTAATTGGATAATCCAGTTATGCTACAATCAGCTGCTATCTTAATGAGAAAGACAGGGGGTTGTAAATATTCTTTATATTATTAAAACTCTCAGTCGAGTAAAGATATCTATGATATACAAGGATATAAATATAAAATTTTTAAAAGCTAGAGAACAGCTGCTCTCATTTAGCTGTAATCTAAGATTTAATCTCATGATCTTTCCACTTGATATTCCGTCCGGCGTTAATTCTCAGCCCACCGGTGACACGGACGGGGTATATGGTGCCGCTGGTAAATATAGACGAATCGGAAACTGTGTCAAAGCAGCACTAAAGAGCATACATGGGAGTTTAATAACTCCGGATCTTTTGAAAGCGGCTTTGGAGGCTGACATATATATATTTAAAGACAACGAAGCCTCGCCTGACATGATATTGCCAGTGCCGTACGAGCCAAATTACTTGGTATATTATTATGCAACTGAAGACGGGATGGTTGCGAATGATTATTACTATATTATCGGAAAAACCACGGGGTTGGGTATTTTTCTGCCTGCAGTAGCGGAAGCATTAGCGCGAGGGGGAGACTGGACAGGAAACAAAATTCTACAAAAGTAGTTTCCCGATATCATGAAAAATCATGCAGATTAGCACGCAGTTGTCGGCCCTGAAGCTACAAGCTATTCAACATAGATAGAGAAAGAATACAGTGAAATACTCCTTTTATTAATTTAGTTCTTTTATTTTCTGCCCTGGCATGAACTCCATGATATTCAGACTAATATGTGCGGAGCAAGCAGACTTGACTGATATTAACTTATTTAATCAAGCCATTCCGTAGGGTTGAATCTGCTGACCTTGATATATATTTACTTATTTCCGGTCTCTACCTACTATTAGAATATCCGCATGCATAACCCGTCTATCCCAGTCCAGTGCAAGCGAGTGCAGATAATTTAATTTAATAATATCTCGAGAAATGCTGCAAGCTTGCCCTTCAGTTAGCCCACATGAAATGCCCATGTATAACAAATCATAAATCCGTGGATCCGGAAGTCTATCTTTTCTAGTCTCAGAGCGTGTTCTTCCTCAATAATATGGATAGAACTAGGACTCCTTGGAAGAGTACATTACAGCTTAACTTTCCTGACCATGTAATTATTAAAATCCATGGTGTCTTGAATAATTATAAAGTCATCATCGGCGACCCAGCTTTACTGAAATATTATAAAGAAAGCCAATTCCCATAGTCCAAAGTTAGTAAGTTCAGTTTAGCTAATACCCGTAGAAAGTTTCAGGTAACAAGAGATTTCCTCTAGATTACACATCTTCATGAATCTAGAATTCTGGAAATTTCTACTATCTTTTATTTTAGCTTCCCAGTCACCGTCTTTTTTGCGGACCCAAATGCCTTTCGAGGATAGCAGGCCATCTAAATCATAGTATATATCATGCATAGAGCATAAACCCAAGTACCACAGACTTCGAAATAGCAGGTGTCCTCCGGCAAGAGTCAATGGCTGCACGGCAAGTCGGCTGAACTTGCGTTCTACCTCTAAGGTGAGCAGCCTGAAGGGGGCCATTAATAAGGGGGCAAAGAGACCACAAGGCGTAATTAAATAATGGGCCAACGGGGCGCAGCCTAAACCTATATTTCCAGCAACTGGTTTGTCAATATAATCACCTCATGCAAAGTAGTGGTCGCATCAAATATCATGGTAGATGAATGATGCCAGTCAAAAGGCCAGAAAGTGTTAGCCGACTCCCGCCACAGAGATGCATTTGGGACCAAACATTGAGAAAAACAAGAAGCCAGGTCAATGATTCGTCACCTGATGAACCAGCCTCCCATCACGTGCCGAGTCTAGGCGTCGCCGCGTCACAGGTAATACCTGCCAACCCAAGTAGGGATTAGCATTATGGCTGGCGGAACTCACAATAGGAGCTCGACTAGTTCCGACATCGTATCCCCGCATACGTACCGAAACCGAAATCGATCCATTTAGGAGTTCTGACTTGATCGCACAGGAAGCTACTAGCCCATCTCCCCAAAAGGAAGTTAAGGAACCATGCCTATCTATTCACCAGAAGGGGAATAGCGTGGCGCAGGTCTTTCAACACAGTTCCGCGGAAGTCTCGTCGTTCCGGAATGCTGATTTCCTGCTAGCTTGAGAACTTGGCTGGCCGAAGCGGAGGCCCCACTTCGAAGCGAACGCAATCCATCGGGGTCTGAGGGGACAAGTGCCTTTTGCCGTTTGGGCGTCTTGCTAGTGGATAAATTTTCGGGCAGCAAACGGCCTGTCGTAACAGGGTTGCCGTACAGATAGTTTCGGGCCAGTCGTCGTTCAGATATCGCTTACATCAATATGTAAGTACATTAGCAATGCCACTACCCGAAGCACGAGTGATCCTTCGCAATGTTGGATCATATTTCATGTAGGTAAGCTTGTTGGCAACATGATTCATGTATGCTGGGCGAGAGTTGCCTACTCCTCTATGTTCAGATATGTATGGCGAACCGCTACTATTAGGATACTCCTTCGCCCTACATGAAAGGTTATTTCTAATGGGTATCCCCTGTTTTGCATTACTTGAATCACCGCCACGTAGCCCCAAATGAGTCACATCTACCTCCGGAGATCATTGGTACTGTACATCTTGACAGTGGAAAAAACTATATTAAAACATGGAAGATCATAGGAACATTAGATAAGCCTCTGATTATTTTCTGCCTATTTGCTAACAGAATTTCTTAAATTGATGATTAACCAAAGTATTAGAAATAATCCCGCGCTTTTCAAGAAAGATGTCGCAACTACTCGGAGAAAGATACTTACTAGTATACCAGAAGTGCTGAATGAAAGCGAGAGATATATTATTACTCAAGTTCATAATAACTCAGAGGCACCTGAAGCGAGTGGTCATCCATTAATATTAGATATAATCATTAGCAGGGCTCAAATTAGCTTGCTAGATGACAGCTCAAACATATCTAATAAAGTAGAAAGTGGCATGCGGAAAGAGTACTCTTATATAAGAGAAGATAATTATTTAATATTATATCTTGAAACTGAAATAAGAAAATATGGCTCAAATAGCCTGTCCTCTCTAATAGAAACTTCTTATACGGAAGGTATCAGATCCGAATTCATGGGATGTGCTGATTATTAAAATATCAAAATCTGACAGAATCTCTTTGCATTAGAAGTGCTGACTCGCTGGTTTTATTTTGAGATGCTATTTAATATTAGTAATCAGGAAAAGTCTTCTATCTTGTACAGCTCCTGCAAAATCTCTCAGAGACTAGGCTTTCAGATTAATTGAAAGTGATGTACAAGATATTATATATTAGATAAGATTGCAGAGATACTATACTATAGCTTTTTATTCTAAATATAGCAGAGCCTCTGCACTATCTACAAGTAGATTTCTTGCCATGAACAATAATAAAGACTGTGATAACAGAAAACCTGGAAATTCTCTGTATAAATTGGAGGCTGACATGGCTAAAAGAATATTAAAAGGGGATTATACTAGGTTTTAAGTCAGAATCTCTAGTATATAAACATAAACTTGATCACATCAAGTCATATCAGATTTACGGCAAGGAGTATTCCATATTATTTACTTATTTTAGTCCAGGAATACTTGCTTTAATATCCTCCACGGATCAACCCGGTCAGAACCGGATAGGCTTATCCGAAAACAGGTAAGTGAAACAAGAAATAATGGTAGCATGTCTTATTAATAGAAGAGTGATAGGATTTTCAGTTATCTAAAAAAACTCTGTAATTTTGAGGAGTATATTTAGTCTATTACTATATCTTCCCCCTTCTCCTACATGATATTCTTCGCTCCGGAGTTCTGGCTATGCGCAGGCATGAAAAGGAATAACAATACAGGAATTATAAAGATAATATAATTTTAAGCATTATTTATAATAACCCAGGCTTGAGATTTGAGTGCCCTTGTCTGCTATTAGCAGACTCTTTTTATTATATGATAGAAAAAATAAGTATAACTTAACTAATAACTAAGTCTTTCTGTTGTTAATAAGACTTTATGTCTTCTAAGAGCTTCATGAGCGGTGGTATCTACTTTATATATTATTATGATTACTATGGAAGAGAGCGCGCACTGATTTTTTACTAAAAGTTTAGAAAATATGTTGAATATGTGATTTGACTTAGCAACGGAGGATAAAACTCATTCTATTATTTCTGGGCAGATGGACTAGTCTTTCCATAGATAATAATAACTATTAATTAATCATAAGCTGATTCCAGAATAAGAAATTAAGTATCGAAGTCTTTCTAATTACTTGAATAGAAATAGTGTAGTACAGCAGCCCTGCAGGTAAAAGTACTGGCTCTTGAGTATGAAAACCCTCCAATAATAAATACAGCCAGCGAGAGCTAAGAACTGAGATACTGTGAACTTATTATACTGCATGCCTGTTAAGTGGATCCGGATAGTACAGCGTATTGAAATGCAATCAATTAGACAACGTGGGCTTTGAACGGCGGGGTAACTATGGGTAATGTATACTGACCAATAACATGTACAAAATTGATAGCTAGTTGAATGAGCTAGCCAACAATATGCGTCGTACACGATGAGTGAGAGAACTAGACCAGGTTACTAAGTAGAATGATTTAAACAGCTCTTATCCTCAAGGCTTTACTGGCGGGGTGGATTATCCCTGTATTCAGAACAGTATCAGAATATAATTGGCTCCTCAGCTTCTGCCGGAGGTATTGTATTGTTAAATATAACTAAACTGAATAAGACAAACTCATTGAGCTTAAGTATAGGACTGAAATCTTACTTCCTGTTATATATGGTATTCAATCCTCTTTCCTCCTCTTGCAACACAATTATTAAGTTAGTATATTAACCTATAACTCTCTTGCTTATATATCTGCAGCTATATATATCACGCCAGGCTCTCATCCGCAGGACCTCCAAATTCCCATGAATTTGTACAACATGGCCAGTGTCTGCAGCAAACTTATTAATTCTATCCAAGATCACTTAAGTATTTTATTCAAGAATTTAATACTAATTCATGAAGCTTTCATGGCTGCTGGCGCAGTTGGCAGAGATAATAATAAAGATCTGGCTCTTATTAGAGATTCAGCTCTTTAACTTTTCCTATAGTTGCAAGATCGTGCTAGGCATGCAAGCCGTGATATATAATCAATACTTCTGGAATAAATTTATTGTCTACTTTCGCTGATTTTATCTATATTATAAAGTAAATCAACCAAATTGTCTCCTGTATTGCCAGTAATATGAACCTTGCCCAGCGGGGGTTCGAACTGGGTCTTAATCAGTATATTTACAAGAATTCTTTCCAGGGTAATTTTGTCTCTGATAAACTGATGGTAACTACTGTTGAGGCTATTGTTGGTGCTGTCTTCTTAGAGATAAGCTGGGATCGAGCAGCATTGCAGAGAATTGTGGATGTATTAGGCCGGGTGTGGCCGGATTCTTGAGCTGGGATATTTCCATGCAAGGCTCGGATAATTACGGATCTCCTATCTTCCATTACGATTAAATGATTAGCATATTGATACGCGCATTCTATTAGCCCGCAGAGCAATCGCATGTGATCTGCAAAGCTATGCTCGTGTAACCCACACAACGCATTGCTCTACAGACCGTCACTTGTAAGGCTCCATATGACCATTACTCGTTCATATGAGACGTTGCATGCAGCTGGCTTGTTGTACAGGCCAGTATTCCTCTGCGTGTTATTATGGATAGAGGCCTGATGCTCCATTATAATTTGTATTGACTCCATCAGTGGATATTGTTAGAAAGTTCTAGCTCTGCACTATTTGGTTCTAACCGCAACATCGGTGTGTAACTTTCAGCTTCGTATAGATTTACCGGCAATGGCTTGACCTTTCCAATATAGAGATCAACCATCCCCGTGTGTATTATCCTGGTTCCCTCAATTCAATTTAACTTGCGATAAAGAAAATTATATTCACCACGATTGTGTGATGAGAATTTTGCAAGTCACGAGCCCCGATTTTAGATTCCTTTCCCATTCTTTCTACGTGCATTGGGGTCATCATGCCTAATGCAACAACTATTTTAGTCGCGGCAAACTCGGAGGCGCACATATATTATGTCCTTTCTTGCAATTTTCTTCTTTGGTTTCTACCTTTCGGGCGGCCCGTAGCTCATTATCTCATCTATGTGTTAAGAGCTGTACACCTCACCCATGGGTAACAGTAATAACTTTGATGTTCCTCTGTTACAAATACTATGCTATAGAGACTCCAATTCTGCTCAATCCCTCAGTATTTCAAAGCAAAGCAAGTAGCAATCTAGTCTTCAAGTTATATATATTTCAGCTAGATCTCAAGAAAACTAGTTTTATATCTATATTAACCCAGCATGGCTATTCCTCATGAACCGAAAATTGAGATACTCAAAAAGATCATAGGCCATACCTTCTCTCTAAAACATTTAATATATCTGGCTCGCACTTCAGCAGGTGCTAATCCGGACAATTATAATAAAAATAGGAAATTATCCTAACTGGGTGCCTTTCTGGTTAACTCTGTTCTGGCTATCATAGTATTCTTCATAGGTGGCAGTAGAGGTAAGAAGAACTGCAGTATCTAGTTACTCAAATTTTTAGATAAATTTATAGTATTATAAAGTATACAGCAAATTTGAGAAAAGCTTTTCTGAACAAAAGCAAATACTATGCTGCTGTGAAGCGGACTGGTATTAATGATTACATAGACTATAATAAACACACCAGGCCAGATTCGCCGGAGGTTCTTCGCAAAGTGATAAATACCATTATAACAGCCGTGTTTCTTGATACCTAGAATATTAAGTTAATAATAGTTATCATTCTAAGGTATAGCCTTAATATCTGTTTAGTATATAATTACTATACTAAATCTATCCAGTCAAGATTTTTTTCCAGACTAGCAATAATAGAATATTTCAGGAATTTTCTTCTATCTTATCTGCTACTGTGGAAGCTCTAGTATCTATTTTAAAGATAATACTAGCTCTAAATACTAGAGTAATTAATTCTTCAGTACTAACTATCAAGTAGTTAGTTATGATTCTTGAGGTTTTTCTAATAATATATAGATTCCTGGAATAAGGCACCAAAGATCCGCCTTTGTTATTAAACACAGAGTGCATTATGACAGAGAAGAAGTCAGTCACAGAGAGTCTATTTTAATTTTTCTGAAAGGAGATATGGTCATTGGATAAAGACCTGAACCATAATACAATTAAAATTGAAGCCGAGCATGACTTGATAGTGATAATTTTAGACAGGCTGACTGCTCTACTAACACCAAAGAACAGACAGGTGGTATATTGCCAAGGAGAATTTCTTAATAACAGTAAAGCAGCTGTAGTAATACTTATATTAAAAAAAAGATGCAGAGCTGTAAACACTAATATCTTTATATTATATAATAAGATTACCAGGCAGATCTTCTTATAAAAGAGATAATACTGTACTGCTCAGAATATATCTCTGCCTGAAAATTACTATTTCTCCTCTGCTATAGTAACAAAGGCTCTTAAGCTTGAAGAGAACTCACTTGGAAATCTTACTATTTTTTTAATAATAATTATTAGCCCGTAATTAATCATGGCTCTGTATGATATGATGTACTGTGTAAGAGCTCAGAAGACAGTTAATTTATATTATCTGGCTATAAATATTATAAAAAGACAAAGATATAAGATAATTAAAGAACTTAATTAAAAAAATATATTTCTCTAACTACTCTGATGGTATTATCTTCTTAAACTATTCAAGTAATATAGTGGTTCTCGGACCTGTTACAGCATAGAATATGTAAACACGATATCTGCAGATTTCGAACATCCGAAACGGGGAGCAGGAAATCCTAGCAGGAAAGATGATATTAAAATAATATAAGTAATAATAAAGAAGTTATTTCCTGATCTAAGTCCTATAAATCCTGTGTATGCCTAGGAGTATGCTGTTATCAAGTATTACTGAAAGATAGGACAGCGACTCTATATGCTTACTAATTAGTTTAGTCCAGGAATTCTTAGTCTCACTTTGGACGCCACTCAGGAGTTGGAGATATCAGATATCATATTAGTAAGTGCCGAGCTTAATGTACCCATAAGTTTAATACTATTTTAGGCTGTTAAATCTAAAAAATAAAATATTTCACAATTTTATAGACCTCCTTGAAGAATCGCATGGACAATGGCTGAGAAGATATAGTAATACAGTTTACTTATTACTTTGTTTATTGCTCAAGTTTACTCTTAATAATACTATATCTTTCTGTTTGGAGCTTACAGATTCTAAATATATTTTCAAGTAATCTAAGTACTCGGAGTCTCTTCTGAAGCTTGTTGCTTAGAGCAGTAACAGCTCGTGTGATATAGATAAGTATCTAATATACATAGTAATTAATTGTACTGCATACCTTTGGAGAAAAGATCCTGCTCTTTTCCGGACTCACTAGTAATATATCTATTCCATCGCTCCCCCAGGTAATCAATTCCCCTCAAATATTGACCAGTGACCTTTGGGGATCACTTTATGCAACTTAATGCAAGTGTTGCTCTTATGGATTGTGTCCTGACTTAAACAAGGACAAAACGCGTAAGTAATATCATCTCGGAGACGCAAAGCGCAGTGAAATGCGCCAAGCACTATGTCCGAGTGAGCCTACGCTTGGACAACCAAATATAGTCACGCGCCATGGTATTTTCTACCCTTTAGCCAGGTGACAGGATGGCAATGATGCGTTAAGAGCTTATCTATGAGCAGTGTGGTTGTGGTGCGCCAGGAACCGCGATCCTTGGTGTCTATTAATGGCCCGCGGCTGAAGGGGCTAAGTCAGGAACTGCAGCACAAGATTGATAGCACATTTGATGATGACCTGGTGCTAATTAGTGGTGAGGGAGGGGAATGTAAGAATGTTTTCTTAAACTGCTCTCCAGGATACTCATATCCTAGGGCCCATACATGACTTTGAGGAGGTAGCGTAGAGAATTCAGTTCTGCGGTGAAGGCGGTAGAGATATATTACGCACTGGCCACCATGGGCTTTGATAAGATTCTAAGTTTGTTAAGAATGTGATATCTTCCCGTTAACATTCATAAAGTGCAAATAGATGACAGTAATGGAGCAGTAATGGTATAGTATGCTAGTGGCCACTTGAAGCCGGGGGCACAGTATACAAGTCACTCTGGAATATACCCACCGCCCTGCATAATGACCTTTGGCGAATCATAGGAGGCAATGACTAACCTAATAGGACAGCTCCCTAGCAGTACCAATGGCACTGTATACTATATCTCACAGTGCCTGTCTCAGAGAACTTTGCTTTACTTTGACACAATTCCCGCTTAGTAAGGCATGTCGCCATTATGGCTACAGATGAACCCAACAAAACTTAATACGTAGAAATGCTGGCCAGAGCTCGATCATTTATCAGACTCTTAGATTTACAAGTATTTTAATTACGTCCGGTAACAGCTCTCATAAATGGGTAATACCACGATACTTAAGAGAACAGAATACCGTGCTTTAACCATGTTTTTGTATCGGGAGCACTATCACAGCGAGAACAAGCCGAGTGCATGCATACATCAGGCACCTCTCATTACGTGGTCAAGCAACAGCTTATATTATACTCCTGCCTTAAACAATGACCCCGCAGCCAAACGTTCACGTGGTATTAAACCAGCTATCAGTTTCAAGTCTTAACTATATAAATTTATAAAAATAATTATCAGATCCTTGTAGTCCTATTTTTCTCTCACTCATCCCAGCCAATATGGCCACTGTAAACTACCTCAAACAAGCACTTAAACAGTAAACTTCACTAACTGTGTCCTCGAGGCAGTCATTATCTGATTATCAATACAGTGCTGGACTTGTTATATTTAAGGACTGCTCAGCATATAAAGATTTTATTATTCTATAATTATATCAGCTTATAGCCCCTCTTTTCAACTTGCATATGAAGATCTCAGTACTAGAGATTAGACCCAGTCTAAAAAGCATACTTAGAAAGCTGTCCTATCATCTCCGATAAAAGATTACAAAGTACACTGTATTCAAGCCTAACCATATATTTACTACACACCTGGAAAAATGGCTTTATACTACTCCGGAAACAGAACCCCTACTACTTTCTCTGGAAGGCCTACCCAACATCCAATGCACTCTGTTTAATATAAACAGCAACACGGAGAATTTTGCCTCTGTTAGTAGCAGCAATAACAATGAAAAGTATAATCTCATTCTGTTCTGCCATAGCATGTATGGCATGAGGCCCAAAGCAAAGTTCATCAAACGGGCACTGAATATGCTGGTTGAGCGATCTGAAGATAGACTGGTAATTATTTTCTATTACAACCAGGCCCTGTAATTTGATAATTTAGTGTACTATAAAATGGATTCTTTTTATGACGGAGTCATTTGTGTGCCTGATAAAGATAATATACTGGACATGTTTATAGCTTTTATCACAGGATTTAACATGCAGGATATGGAGGCAAATAAAATTATTTAAGCTAAGTAATATAAGATATACCAGGTCTTAGGAAATCATAAAAATATTAATCTTAATTATCTATTATTTAACTTATCTGAGATTATATTAGTCTTTATTTAATATATAACTGTATTACCAGAGCTCATAGCTCAGGTGCCATTAATAAGAGAGAGAAAAATAGTCAAGAACTATAAGACTTACTTCTACAGTTGCACTGCAACCGTACAGCCAACAAAGATTCAACACATTCAGCAGTATATTCAATGGGCTCTAAAGCATGGAGTGGGCCTGACAGTTATTAGCAGAGATTACAGCAGTTACTGTCTATAATCTAATATTATCTTTATTAATATAACTGTCTTTAACCAGATCCATTTGCTCATAAGAGAAAAGAAAAAAGAGGCTAAATCTGATTCTAATTTTTTAATTATTACAGAGACCAGCTGCAAGATTACTAATATTATTTATAAATTAATAAAAGCTGGTATAACAGTGCCCCTAAAATCCTGCCCAAGTATAGGCACAGGACTATGATTATAAAGCGGCCTCAGGTACCTGGCTAGACTATATAGCCTCGCGTGTGACTACATCATCGGGACTGTACTAGTCAGCATAAAATCTGGCAAGGTCTTCTGTATCGGCCGTGTACCCAGTCAGTATTAGCCGGACAGTACCGTACACCCAAATAATAAGATTAATCTTTTATGGGTAATCAAAGGGACAGGAACTAATTTTAGTATTATAATTAATATTATCTTCAGGATTTATGTAGTATTTATCTATATAATCTGAAACTAGATTCTTCTGCTGAGTGATGATTTTAAGGGGCAGTATAAGATTCAAAATTTTAATAACTTTATTACTGGCAAGCTCAGCCAGAATTGTTCAGCAAATATATATCTCTACTGGAAATCTAGCCAGTTATATCTTAGTATTACTATATTCAAATCCTCTATAATAGTGAAGCTCTTAGATAAGCTACTAATATCTACTTCCTCGCCTATAGACACAATTTTGGGGCCGGGAGATACTTGCCAGTCCATGAATAGCATAAGCCTGTTTGAGGCTGAGATGTACATATCTAGGATGCACAGGGGTCATGGCAGGAATAAGATATTTACTTTCAAGCAGTACCTATTCTTAAAAGGCATCAGAGATATAGATATCACAGATTATTTACTAGCAGCTATTTATAATTATTTCATGTCTTTATATTATCTTTATCTACTGCAAGGCGGAGAAGTAATCATTAACATAAGAATTAATATTACTACTTTCAGTTATCAAGACTAGGATTTTGCCTGTATAATAACTAGTGTCTAGCCCCGTAACTGAGATGGAACTGAAGTTTCTGAAGCAGTCAAACAATAGATATATGATATTACCCGAGACTTATTGCTGTTCAGTAGCGGAGCATATGGCGCTGATCTCAGGCCTGATCCAAGAGATACTGCACTAGCAGCCAAGGCTTTTAGCCCAAACCGGCTGTGCCTGGCCCAGCTCAAGCAAAGCTCTCAGATCTATACAACATGCTGGCATATACCTGCCTACTCCCGAGAGCACCAGGAGAATAAATACTTATTATTCTTATTACTGGCGAGAGCTGCGCTGGTAAGGATTATTATACTAATATCTGGATTACTATACTTAATGAGAAAGGCCTGAGAGCGCGCACAGTCAGCATAAGTAATATAGTTAAGCAGGAATATATAGCAGTCTCCAGGACTGATTTTAAATACCTGTTTTATAACCATGGCTATAAGAAATAATATTATCCAGTATTAACAGTATTCTTTTATAGCCAGGTATACTGTAAGTCTCAGCTTCCAGAGAAGCATTTCCTGAATATAATACACAGAACCATAGGTTTAGATATATTATTATTAATTAGAATAAGAGACAAAGCGCTGGTCGCGGCTTTATTATATCTAGTACCAGATAACAAAGTAATTAAAGTTCGTGTCAAAGCTAGTAATAAAATACAGTAAGTTTATAGAGGATGTTATAGAAATAAATACTCTATTAATAATAATAAGATTAATAAAGAAAATAAACTAAGTATTATTTTATTATTCTTAATAATCTTAGACTACAGATCTACACTTCTCTTCGACAATGACACGGTTGGGATTGAGATAATTAAGAGATTTACTGAAGACTACCTGCTCTTTTTTTTTTATAAGAATTTGCGGTGATTATTTAACATGGTATATCTAATATCTGGATTCCTACGCGCGGGAATTAACTTTTATTATATATTTAATATTACTTAGTAACCAGAGGGACTGGTCCTGTATTTATTTCTACTATAATATCACTTCACAGGTGATTAGACTAAAATAAATATAATAGTATATTATAAGACTAGCAGCTTAATCTTTATTTTTTTATTAGTCTTATAGATTAATATATTCTTAGTATTTATTTATAAAGCCAGTAAGCTTCTTCTGTCTATCATTTCTGTCTCCAGGTCTGCATTACATATATCATCTTTGTCTTTGAATGCACTGATAATGAAGTGAATTAAGATAGACTGAAATATGATTTCTCAAGGCACTTCAGTAGTAGTAATGGATAATACTCTTGCTACCAGAGAAATCCTTATTATAGTATTATAATTATTAGGAAAAGCTGGAATTCCTGCTATGAAGATCAGTATCTTGGTAATTACTGAGTTTCCTATTCACCGTGGCCGTGACTTTCTGCGCTAGAATGGGTTTGGGGAAGTCAATATCCAAAGTCTTTTAGTCTATAGTACTGCTTAGTTTAATCTGAAGGAAAAGATATTACACTAGAATAATAATTATAATATAATTCCTGTAATCTATGATATTTCTTCTCTTACATTAGTCTCTAGGTCTATTTATATTTTATCTATAACTTTCAGTACTAGCAGGTGCTTTGTAATATTTATTAGAATAATTATCTTTATCAAAGTACTCCAGTTATCTTTATTATAGGATAAAAAGTCAAGGAGAGATATTTTCTCTGATAATATTCTAAATTTATTCTATTATTTTTAATATAGTAATCTGGCAGATTTTTTATCTGATCTTATAATATATCTCCGCGGAGATAATGTGTACTGCGTCGTAATTAATCTCTTCAAGATAAATCTTGATAATGGAAATCTATTGCTATAATACTGAGATAAAATAGTAAGCTTATAATATACTCTATAAAAGTTTATATAATTATAAGTAAGCTATGTTATTCCTTCTCACTATTACTTAACCAGGTGAGTACCTGAGATATCATAATATATACTTATATTCTAACTGATCTATATAATAGTAAGAATAAAGATGTGTCGCTTATTAATAATATAAAATCATAGCAGTATTATCTCTATTTTAGAAAGTAAATTCTCTAAGTATATCTACTGTATTATCTATATAATACTACCTGTTTTGACTTTAATCTATGTTCAGGGAAAGTGCTGTCAGCATTCTAACTATATTATAAGTTTGTAATACAAATTTATCTAGCTTATATGATAAGTAAGAGCAAGGCAATGCATAGAACCAGCTTTATTAATAAATCCAGAAAATTAAAAAGAGGAGAAAGAGAAAGAAAAGGAAAAAAAAAAATAAAGATATATATATATATAATAATATTTTCAAGCAGGACTTAAAATATAATACAGATCTGTTATATAAATATTATATCTCTTCGCAGCTTACAGTCATTAGTTAGACTATCTCTATAATTACTCTCAACAGCTTCTTCATACTGATAATATCTCCCTGACTGAAAATAAATCTGATTATGTGTCAAGAATCTATTATTTTAATTTATATACAGGTAATTTATTTTTCTTTTTATCATGACTTTAATTATTAATAATATTATATAATCTATATTTTGAGTGGAACTCTCTTCCCTGTATTTAACTAATAAGGCGCATGCCAATCCTAAGGTAAAACAGCTATTCATATTTCTATTTAGTTAAATTTATCTTGAAAACACGCACGGCCATCTGTTGCTGTTATATTGTAGTCTAGCCACTTTTTCTTACTAATCCCAGTAGCAATTTACCGCATTTTCCGACCCTCCTCGTACGAGAGAAATTCTCGGGGCGGAATATTACATGACAGGATATAAGGATAAGTAGGAGATCCCTCTAGATCTAATATAATCTTTCTATTTATATCTGATACAATACTTGAACTTCTTCTTTATACAGAAAGGCATCGATTCTAAGCTATTAGTAAATTCTTAACAGAAATATATCTACTAATACTTGTAATATAATAAAGACACTATTAATATTTATAATAAATCTTTAAAATGCTAAGACTAGACTATATATTATTAATAGTATAACTACTTCAACGTCCCGCACTTTACTTGTTGAAGAGGTACAGTGTAAAGAGATATATATAAATACTAGTAAGATATATATCCTCAGTATCTATAAGACCATATCTACTGATGGAGTACAAAGAAAACTTAATATATATTAAAATAAAAGCCTGCTTGATAATTATAGTTAAAGATATGCTGCAATGTCTTAGAGAAGATCTAATCTGTGAAGATCTTATTAAAATTCTCAAAAAATATGCTAGGGCAATTTTATTCTTTATCAAGGACTATATTAAGAATTCTAAGGATATTATTAATAATATTATTTTTATAGTTAATAGCCGGGAGCTTGTGCTGGTCAAGGATATAAAGATATCTAGTCTTTGTAAGTATTATCTGATGTTATTTATCGGAAAGATATAATATAGTTTATGTAGCTGGGAGCTTTAATTTATTTATTATTTTTTAAAGATCTATATAGATTATATTCCTGATAGCTGTGTGCTTGGTCTCTTTAAATTTATTTATTTGGCAGAAAGTTTTGCTTAGTACTTATAATTCTAAGAAAGACTCATGCAATAAATTGCTAATATTATTTAGCAGATTCTTGAGTCTCAGGGAGTTGGTATGATTATGGAAGTAAGCTATATATATATAATTATATGAGATACTCAAAAATTTGCTGTCATGATAATAACCTGCTATATGACTGGCATATTGCAGTATAATAGCAGAGCCAGGGATAACTTCTACTTTCTTTTTAATTAGTGATAAAGCTCGTGAAGGCTCAGTGGGTTGTTATAATATAGTTAGATTCTGAAATAAAAATAAAGTAAAGATATCTAATCCTATTTGTTTGTTGAGTTAATAATTAATTAGATAAGCTTGTAACTTGCTCTTCAGTTTATCTAAGATATGAATTACGTGGAGGGCTAATCTGTTATGGGCTGAGATATATATATAATATTACTTTTTTTTATATATTTTAACTAAGTTGGGGTTTAGTTTGCTTGACTGATAATGTAGATAGAAACAAGCCTATCTACTATATATGATAACAGTGTATTACTAATACACTTAAAATATTTAGCAACTATAGTATGCCTGATAGTGTCATAGGTAATATATAGTATATAGTATGTAGGCTCTAACTTAAGAGTGCTGTTATAATAACTCAGCTATTATTACTGTAAGAAATTCTAGTTATGTTCTATCTCAGGGCAGGTTATTAAATTATAAAGATATACTCTGTAACTCCTGTCAGACAAGCCTGATATAAACATTGTGGTCAGACATGTGTTAGTCTATTTAGAATTATAGTTAACTGTTTAATCTACCAAGTTTACAGTGTGAAATCGAATAGTATTATTAAGAGTAGTAATTATTATTTAAAGCCTGCTTTTTTAAAACCAGACTAATACTGGCCTATCCCTCCTCTATGAAGATACAGATTTATCTTATAATCTTCCAGGAATGCCATTGATTTGTTACTAGATATTAAGATATAATTTAATAGACTTTATTAAATATACTTCTAGATTATAGATAATATATATTATTATAATAAGGCTTACTTAAATCTCTACCCCTGCCTTCTTCCAGATCTGGAAGTTGGTTATGTATTCGCCTGATATAATTATTTTCAGATTCTAATAGATTCTAGTATTTTGATTTTCCTCAGGGCTTTTTATAGGTGAGCTTGATAGATATCTGGCGGGTTAAATAATTATATTATTATCCCGGTTTCTATATTTATGTTTTTAGGCTAGAAATATATAATATGTCTTCTACAGAAAATTTTTATCTTCTATGTCAAGAAGTTTTTTTAAATAATAGTCTTGATTTTTTTAGCTTTCTGGATCTTTTTCACTCCAGACTCAGTTCTTAATAGATTATTCTATTTATATTATTTAAGGGTATAATATAATTCTTGTAGGTGTTGAACTTACTGCAGCTGCTAGAAAATAATCTCATAGTTTAGCTGTATATTAATATTTTTGAAAGTCTAAACATGTTTAACTAATTTGAACGGTTCTTATCAAGCCTGGCTGGTGCAGTGCAGTGCTAATTGACTGAAGTCTACTCCAGTGTTGTATACCTGCGTGGTGTATGTAGTATAGTTGAAACTTTCTTCTTTTAGTGTTAAAGCACATATGGAGCTCTTATTATCTTTTAAGATAAATGCTGTAGCCTGCAGTAAACTGAGACACTAGAACGAGAATGTATTTATTTTACCCGGTTTGCCTAGAATTCCACCGTACATAGTCCGATGGACCTTACCATGGCGATCACTCTGACTATGATTATCAAACTACATCGCTACGGTAGAGTATTAATGTACATATAATGCGAAGTACCACAGGTTCGCTGTTGTCCTATCGGTTGGCTTATCTCGGCCGACTGATACAACTTTTATAAAATATTCTTCTACGGAGACCATATTATCGACATTTTCGCCATTGACTGAATGTACTAGTATGTAGCTCAAGGGAGGCAAACGCTATATGTGAGGAAATAAATTAATATGTAGTGATAAATATTAAACACGCGTACCAGGCGGAGTATATTACTTCAAGATCCGCTATGCTGCGTGGCGGCCGGTTTGGAATTCTTTAATATTTTAAATGGGGACTTTCTACAGCCCCTAGCATCTCCCTTCACTCAGCTACTTCTTCGGTCAGTCATTCTATAACCGGATTTAGGTCCACTTAGTTTAAAGAGTGGACAGGAAAGTAACTTAAGACACAGATATCCACTTCTCTGGGATTATATTACACCTTTTCTCTGGACACCTTTGCTTTCCAAAGATTAGCTTGACATAACAGTAAGATTAAAGCATTCAGTGTCTGTCATCTCTAATTCTTATGATAGCTCAGATCACTCCATTTTTAACTCTAATATTATAAAATATTATGATAATCTCTTAAGCTTCTCTAAGCTAGTTCAGAGAGTTAGAGAAAAGACTCTTACTTCTTTTATAACTAGTTATGCATTTATAAAGGGTTTTTAGTTTAGTCAAGGGAAACAGAAAGTTTATCAGTTTAGTTTATTAATAGGATTTATAAAAGGAAGTTCTTTTATTATGATTAAAGATTTTTATATATTCTATAATATTATTTCTTCCTTAAGCATATTTATATATGGTTTTCAGGATTCTAGAAAGAGCTATACATTGTCCTGTATATTAGAAAGCTGCTTAATTCTATTCAAAGCCAGACAGTTGCTAAATCCTCTGATAGGAATTATATTTTATTATAATACTTTTATTAGTAATATAATAGAATTATTTTATAAAGCAGCCTTTTTATCCTTATACCCTGATATTAAAGTGCAAGTTTTATATACTCTAATAAATCTCCATGCTATCAAGATTTGTATTACCTTTCAGAGGACTGGTTTCAAATATTATTATAATTTTAATATTATATCAAGGAAGTCTATTCAAGATTAAATATTATAATATCTGCTTTAGAGATTAATCAAAGAAATCTTAATACAAAGCAAATACTAGATCTCATGGCAGTAAGACAGGATAATAGCCCCATACCACTCTATATATATATTATCAAATATATTTTCCGGGAAATATGTATGGAGCAGCAGGCAGTACATACAGGATTTAATTATTATATTTTTAAAAATAAAGTACTGGACTCGAATTTGACCCCTGCCCAGCTCGAGCTATTAAAGTAATAACTGGAGATACTAGAGAGTTTCATGTCTTAGTTACAGACTTTATCTATTTCTGGCAAGAACAAAGCTGCCTCCGAAGATATTAACTAGAAGCTGAAGATTAATATTAAAGAGTTTCTGTATAACAGAGTTTTGTTAGTATGATTTAAATGACTAACAAGATAATTATATACTAGGCATGCAGGTTAATAGTAGTAGATTTGTCTTGTCCATGTATTTCTCCTGAAACTGCTTATTCTTTATTTAATATCTGCTTGGGAATATTCCTGGAGTAAGATCCAGAAATTGGCAGAGTTGTAGCTCTGGACAAGGTCTATAAGATTTTATCTGAACTCCAGCAACCCATGTTTTCTCGCCGGACAGATACTGATAGTTAGCAGTATATGAATAGTTCTTTTAAGGCTCAAGGTTTTACTGAAATACTTTTGTCTGCTATCTGACTGCAGCGGTATCTGGGGGTCTGAATAATTATTTCTATCCAGGAATCTATGGTCTTTATAACTTTTTTAAATCTTTGTTTAACTACTATTGTATATTAGTTTACTTCCCCGGAATAGCTGTATATTCTGTATAAATATTTAGCAGGAGCGTTGAGAAGTCCCTTCAGTAAATTAAAGATAGATAACTATAATATAGAAGCAGTTTCATAATATTCTCTTTTTAAAGAGATTATAAATCTATAAATAGAAGAGACTATATTATTCTTATCTAGTATAGTTATTAAAGCAAGCTCCTGCAATAATAACAGAAAGACTATATTATATTATCTCAGATATAGTAATCTCCGGGTAAGAATCCGGCAGTGGCTTATATTTAACAGTAAGAAGAGTATTCTCTCAAGATAATATATATAATAATATAATTATTTATAAGAATAATAGTAATTTCTATACTTTTTTAATATCCAATGCAGCTCAGCAACAGCAAATAGTTCAGAACAGGAATTATAAAGCCAGAGAATTTATAACTATATCTACTTTCTTATACTTTGTCTTGATTTTAACAGTAATTATAGCCTTATCAGACTAAAGAGATACAGGACTATTTCTATATTATGGTAAACACTATTTCTGTTATAGAAAATTTCACGACTGGCACATACACATGCAGAGTAATGGTAGTAATAGTAGGGTACTTATATACTGACTCCTGCTTTAGATAATAGATAGGATATAATTATATCTCTTTATATAAATATACTTACTATAAGTATTATGACTTTCCTGAGAAGCTTTAGGATACTCAAAAAAAATATAAATTACTGTTTTAATTATATTAAATACCTTTATCAGCATCCAGCAGGATCCGGATAATGGTTAATAATTCCTGCATCTTAGGAAAGTATCAGCTATACCAAATCTATTCTATATTAAATATTTAATTTGCGGCTTGGAGGTCTCAGCAACATAAACTATTAATAATATACTTAATCAGGCCCAAGGATATGGTATAGCTTATTGAAAAAGTGAAGGCTGATTAACATGATGAGTGTAATATTACTGGAATAAGATATAGTACTAAAGCATACTGATTACTTGGTAATATTTATTTAGTCTTTAGGAAGCCAATTATTACCTTGTGAAAACTGATAAAAAGTAAAGATAGATTATTTAACTATACTTACTAGATAGGATTACTTTATTAATATTATTATTCTGTTAAGATATCTTGATATTGGCTTCTGGCATGTCTTTAGAAGTAATATAGTCATAATTATCAGTATTATAAAAGTTAAAAGTAGAGTTTATAGGTGAATACCTTACCAACCATAGTGGAAATTAAAGGCTATTCTAAAATTAAAATAATATTATTATAAGAGCGAGTCCGCTGGCTTCTTGAGTTTATGAGATATGGATGGTAACAGTATATTATTATATATCAGGTGACTAATTATGCGCCTTACTTTTAGTATCATGACTAATCAGTTTCCGCAATTACTCAAAGTGTAAAAGTAAGAAAGTCATGGCTGAAATTAATCTTAACTGTCTGAAAAAGCTCACCTCCTGAAAGTATTATAAGATATCTATATTTTCTTACTTTTGGGCTCTCAGCTATGTTAATGGCTCAGTACGTACCCGCGGTATTTTGTCAGATGTGGTATACCAACCACGAGTACATATAGTCAAATGTAAGATGGGTTCAGTTATTCTTCAGTATAATCTTGCACTTATGGCAGTAACATGAATATAAAATCTCTTATTTTAAATCAGATATATTCCTTCCTGGAGTCGGAGAGCAGCAGGAGGTCAATGGAGTTCCATAGCTTTGTATATCTATATGTTCTTGATTGAGAACATTCACTGGAGGTTAACACCTATCTCCCACTCTGAAGGCCTTTTGTACTTTGAACTTGAATATATTGTTAATCTGATTAAAATGACACTGGTATGCTTTGTCTCCATAAACTGGCCCCTCCCCCAGCTTGGTCAGATACCACCCAGTCCTTCACGCCTCACTCGTCTTCGTCGAATCTCTGTTTGGAAGAGGCAGATTTTTCCTGTTATATGAGTCTTTGTGCTACAGGCTCAGTACATATCTAATGGTAGGACTAGGTGGCTCTTTACTAATCTCGGTTACTACAGTTACCCATTGATAATGCGAGCTATTTAATAGTATAACAGTTATAAAGGCAGTGCATGTATTGTTCTCTATAATATATATACAGGAGAAAACGGTTAACAAGAAGTTATTTAGATTTTTCTGATTAGTATTTATCTCTGTAGTAGAATTCTTAATAGTAGGGAATATAAAGGCTTCCCACTCATCTTTAGTGTGCGGGAATTCAAAGTCTGGTATATATTTCTATTAAGCATGCTAAACTGGTTTCCAAATATCTACAGTCTTTTATATAACTTTGTTTAGGCTTCTAATAAATACACTGTGTTGGTCTTCTGGAAGTAGATTATCCAGGTATGCTGAGATATTTTTAATTATATTTTAAATATTTTTGAGACATATCCTTGCCTGGGTTTCCAGATTAATAAAAAGAAGAATTAATTAATAAAAAAATTCTTTTTTATTATTAGTAGCAGTTAAGTTGGAAAGGACTTTCTCAAAGTAATCTTTTATAGATATAATATATATTAGCTGGAAAATATGTTTGGCTATCTTTCTTGCCAGAATAGCCAGGATGACGGAAAACTGCATCTGTTTTGCCACTGATATATTCAAACACGGAAGAGGGACTTGATTAGTATATACTAAGTTATAATATCAGAGTCTGTTTTATGGTAAAATATCCTGCTAATTAATTTTCTCAGGTTATGTCAGGTTTTCTCTAATTCTATTATTCTAAGAAGTGAAAGACGGCTTACCCTTAAAGTCTTATTAAGAAAGTCCATGTTCAGGTGAGGATATAACTCAGTTTTAATATATTTCTAAAGTCTAATAAAGCCTTCAATTCTAAAGAATATTAGGATTCTATAGATTCTCTAATTCTATAAATATAGTATTTATAATAACTCTTTATCTATTTTATAATACCCAGCAGTAAATTCTTCCAGCTTTATAAGATATTTTTAAGTAGTTATTAATATTTCTTTAAATATAGAAATCTATTTCTCTAGCTTTTTAATTCTCTTCTTAGAGATAGAGAGTTTTTCTTTTAAGTTAGTATCTATTAATTTTATCTTATTAATAGTGTCTTCTTTCTTTTTCTTAGTATTTTAAAAAATAATAATATTTTTCTATAAATCTGCCAGCTTTCTTCTCTTCTTTATATTATTTAAATAAAGCTTCTTTACTTACTTCTCAAGTTTATTTATATATTTATTATACTCAGAAATAAGCTTCTCCTTGTTCTCAATAATCTTTTAAAATAATAAAACCTGTTTTTTTATTTCTTTATATCTATTCTTCTTTTTCTCAATAATCTTAAATATTTTATTAAGTATAGTCTCCTTCTTTCACTCTTATTTATTTATTTCACCTATTAGATTTTTGAGCTTGAAGTCTTTGGACTTCAGCTGGCTGTATAATTTAGTATTTTTATTATAAATTGCTAGAGTAGTATTATACCCTGTTATAAAAACTAGATTCTTAAACTGATTAAAAAATTCTCTAACAGCTTGCGTGTCAAGGAGCATGTATATCAGTATAAAAAGTAAGTTCAGGCTCTTAGAAGATATATTACCAAGTAACAGAAATTTGGCTGGAGAACTTAAATATAATATAAAATATATTTACACAGCCCAAACCGTGGATATATATAACTAATTTATTTTATTTTAAATTAATTTTTATAAATATTTTTTCTTAGTCTTATTCTTTACTTCCACCTATTTTCCCGCTCATAGTAATATACTAATGTAGTATAACCTACTTGGTTACTGCAATATATTTATTTAGACAGCACAGCTTAATTAATACAAGTACTAGTTATTTCTATATATAATCAGCTAACTGTAAAGAAGCAATTTTACCTATTATATCTTACAGCGCACGCCTCATATCCTTACTTCAAAAGGGGGGAGACCAGCCTAGTTTAAGGCCTTGCTATTAATAGTATCAGAAGTTTTCTAGGCACTTTTAAATATATATATAATATTATATATTATAAGACAGGACATCTCCACGTAGTGGGGCATCCCACGCGTTTATCAAAGATAAATAGCAGTATTCAAGCCTAGTGCTCACCCGCGGTGACTTTACAATGTCAAGAGTATATACACCGCCTATGAGACATGAAATACCGAGAGTAAGGGGCAGGCTTCCGGCCCAGCTGAGATTTAGTAATATTCAGATTAAGGCTGGGATACTAATACCAGTGACACCTGAAGCCTGCTGGTATCTCATGTTTAATATAATGTCTTGAGCGACTACGCGCTCTGAGCCTCCACTGATTACTTAGGCCTTTTAGTAGGGCTATTATAATTATATTTATTATCATAGTAATTAGTAGACCTAACACAAGTTATTAAGCAGCATGACTATTCTCAAGATATTGGAGATATTAATAACCTGCAGGATGGGACAGAGAATTGACTAAATATATAAACTAGTATTTCTAGATTATCTTATCAGATGCGTTATCTAGTAGAGATCTGTAAAGACAGGAGCTAATATGCTTTCTATATATATTTACTGATTTTGGATTGCCTTCTGTTAATAATAAAGGCTGGTCTGGTTATATATTTATTACTGCCTGATTTTTTCACTTGCACTTTACTGGTTATTCCTGATTATTAAAGTCTCTTATGTTATTTAGTAAATACTTTGCTGGAATGGGGGAGAGATCGTGGATACTTCCGGTCTTAGAAATCAATGCAGTAGCTTCTTTTATGCGGTGAATATAATAATACAGACTAACTCAACTCCGTCTCATGTTTAAATAAACGCATCTGGGGAGATTGCCTTTGCCTGACCTTGGTCCCGGAATGCGATTTAGCCACTATCCGCTGAAAGCCCTCTGTCGGGTTTCCTAATGTGACTGACGTTTCCCATTCACCGTGTTCTGATTGATGCTCATTTTGCCCATACCCAATAGTGCAGCGGTGGTCAAGGCCGGCGTGAGCAGTTGGCTCCACGCCTGGTGGACGTAACGACCACAGTAAGCTTATCTATCGACCTGGCTGTGAATTTTTGGTGAAAGATGATAAATGTATGGGGTCCTTGCGCTTCCCGCAAGATATGTATGCTACCCAGGCCATGCATTTTTTTTTCACTACCCCTGCATGGTTTTGATATCGTCAGCTCAAGGATATTCTTGGCTCTTGGGGCCTACAGCTGGCTGATCGGCAAACATTTCACGCGCCAAAGGTGGTTATTATTGTCGAATGTTCGTCATAGTGTCCGCAGTATATAAAGGCTGTTGACAGTGAGTACAGCGATTACTCACTATCCTGTGGAGCACAGAGAGTCTCCTGTTTGGATCTTTTTTTTGAAGCAAAGGATCTACGTACGCACTTGATGGTGGACATTGGATACTATGAAGTGTCGCAACTGCTTCGGTCGGACACAATACCTGGGACTGCGACTACACGCCGCCGTGACCGAAAGTGGTCCACATAGCTTAGCGCAGCAGAGGCCGGCGCCAGAACTCCAGCCGGCCCCATCTCCGGACCAAGATGAGAATGATCGCAGTCGAAGATCACTCGCTCCATCGCCGGAAGTCACACCTCGTCAGGCATACAGCCAGGGCCAGGGCCAGGGCCAGGGCCATGATATGCAAACAGAAAAAACCCAATCCGTCCCATGTGTTGCGTCGTGCAGGTAAAGACCATGACTCGCGCTGCAAATTGGTTTGCCATCCTTCCAGCGCTGCGTGGATGATCCCAGCTAGAACCACCAGGGGACTGGCCTAATCGCACTGTTATCTGCACCCCGTCTCAATTGCACACAAGCATAATGGGATTGGTGGAGATGAAATTAGGGCTATTTTGCGGGATACATAATGCTCTGGCAGGTCATTGCGACCACTTACAATATTTCATTTAGCGTATGTCCGACCTCCATATTGTGTCCATAGGCTGGGGCTAGGCACCCTCATTGGGAGACCGGCTATAACTGCATCACTTCATACGGCCTCAAAAAGAGTGGATTATTCGGCTGGTAACTAGTCCATAAGTATCCGGCACTGAAGGGGAAATAAACCTGCTTATACCGAACATCACTACTATCGCGGTCTTAATTAGTAGTATAAGGTGCTGTAAAAGCACGGACTATAATATCTGAAAGCAGCATGACATGTCAAAGTATGAGTGAGGTGACTCAGAGAGTGCAGAGCCGGGGAATCCCATTGCAACGAGCATAACCGCTTGGCCCTCTATGAGGCAGTATTCACCAAGGAGAATACAGCGGCAACCTCTCTGTTCTCCAACGGAAGGACCTCGATGACGGAGACATTCCGTTTTGAGCACACGTTACCAGCGAATATGTTGCCTATCGGTACCCTTTGTTTCCTATAACTACCAGTTCTGGTCGGCCTGATGCATAGAGTTGCCCAAGGGTTCTCACTGAAGATGGAGATATCAATCCTTTCGTTCTGGCCTTATCCATCCGTAGAGTAATCCGGAAGGTCATGTTTGATTCTTCGCTCCCATTCTAGGGGCAGTATCTCCAGAACCACAAATTGTGCAATAAAACGAGATCTGCCTCCACATCTGGAAGCGGGGAACATGCGAGAACCGAATAAGAAAATCTAGGGGTCCTATCGACGCGCCTGAAAGTGCATATAATGTTCTGTTGTAGACAGACTGGCTTTCCTAACCCAGGAAGCTAATCTAGGGACGGTTACCAATCTAGTCAGCTTATCATACATCGAAGCCAATACGCAAGCGCTCTTGTACGGATATTAATAATAAGGTTATAAAATTAGGCTTTCGGGCTTAGGGTTCGAAAATCCGTCTCTTTTAAGTACAATATAGCATGCTGTTGCGGGCGGACCTGTATATCTGGATAGCGAACAAGAAATCCTACGGGGAGCGGGGGTCTGTGGGATGAAACTGCTTAAGGAGAAAGCCACTTTTCTGAACCATGTAAACATAGACTAAACAAGCCCCAATAAACCTTGCTTGAGAGTGCCAGTCACCGTTGCCTAGGAATGCTTGAGACCCAGGTTAACGAGACAAAGGAAAAACAACCAGCCGGCGCAATGCCGTCTCATTCGTCCACAGCAATGTCACATGGAGCCTGGTGCTACCTAGGGTGTCACGCACTTTCTTGTCCTACGATGATCCGGGCTCTAGGAGTCATTCTGAGTGCAGCTGAACTTGTGTTCTAGTCAACGGTCTCTCTCTTGCCGAATTCGAAGGTAAAGCGCGGTCCCAATCAAGAAAACCTGATACAGAGTAATGAAATTAAGGTATATATCATATACGGTACATGTATAGCCAGTCGGAACGGATTCACTTGCAGTATGCCTTCATCTCTAGAAATGACGTAGGGGTATTCGATTCATTCTGCATCCAATCAAAGCATGGTTGTCACGATCAAACGTCATGTCGCGTAGTACTGTATCTGCCTCGGTCGACTCCGGTCAGCAAGCCCACGCCTCGGCCGTTGTCCAATCCGAAGAGCTAGCCGGCCCATTCCTGCCAAGGCCCGTTCAGATCATAGTCGGCTTGACGTATCCCAGCCGTAGAGTGGTGAATAGTGCAAGAGAGACCCTTCAAGACGACCCGCCCGTCACTGCGTAAGTAGAGGACCTCGCAATGACGAGGTGGCCTCCTAAAACCCTGGGCACAACGGGAAAATGGGTATTCACGGGCCCAGTCGGTCGGGACTGGTAACCTATTCGACAGGACTACGTCCCGATCCTGGGTTCGTGGGGAGCTTTGCGATAGTGACCGGGGGTGGTCGGCCAAAGACGGTTGTCGCCAGGGCTCGGAGGTCGAATGTGGGACAAATTTGCCCAGCTGGCCACCCGGTGGGTCGGAACGGGCGGCAAATATCCAGCGCCGAATCCTGAAGCTAGCGACGGCTCTACGATCATGACCAGGTAGATTGGATTCGGGTGATTTCATGGAGTTGCTCGCTGGTGCACGAAACTCGCGGTCATTTCGATGATTTAATTCCACCCCACCGCCCATCAAGACTGGGACTGCCAAGTCGGCTTGTCTTTGACCAGCGGCATGGTTGAGGCGGAAAGGCCAGGCTGGCCGTGACCAAGCATTCTATGGGCTGCGATGGTGCTGCAGCGCTTTGAAGTGTCCTATATGATTCGGAAAGCTGGATGACCTGCAGATCAGAGGTAGTGCAGGTGAGGCTGGTAAAAACATGGGGGTGATTTGGGGAGGGTGGGGAAATGAGTTTTACCGACTGCTCATGCTCAAATTGCGTCAAATGCGTCAAATGGGTAAAACGCCATGAGAATCTGCAGGGGCATTGATATGGTTCACATGGACGCGTGGGCGCATGTTGTCCGCCTTTGGGTCACGTCAGCATACGACCAGATCAGTTTGTGAGTGCCTGAGGCCATCAACGTTTGGTGTTCCGGAAGGTCCGGGTTTACTGTATTTACAGGCAGGCCCTCGTTTCACAGAATCGTCACGGGATTTTCCTAACGTTCGCCGAATATGATGATAGATATTAGCGTATCTCAGGAAAGATCCACTCCGGATTGAGCCCTCCGAGTCCGGGGAGGTGGAGAACAGAAATCCCGAGCAAAATTGGCCAGGGAAGCAGATGTCCGCACCCCAAATACCCGAGACTGCGGCCCAACCATGTCTGACAATGCACCAGTATGAACTTTGGAACGCCCAACAATGGTCGCACATGGCAGCGTTGGATCTTATCCTTCTAGCCTTATATCTCTTCACGCCGAAAGCAGTATCAAAGCAAAAGGAATGTCAAGGCAAGTATTTAAGATTCAAGTAACTGGAAACCTTTGAGCATAAATGGACGGTTTCTATATGTGACTAAGAATATTTGCCTTTGGTACTGTATCTCTCTGTTCAGTTCCTACGTTTTCTATTCCCTGTTGTTGTGTATCTCCCTCTATGGTATAAGGGGTACAATGAACGGGTAGTTACTAACTAGTGAACCTTGTGACAAATTACCATACAGTACAAGAATGGTGCGATCACCGACCCCTTTGATAACAGCCTAGCAGGCCGCAACCGGAAGCTCCCTTCATCCACTCCCGCAGTGACATAGCTCGTGTAGTACGGTAGACGTTAGAAACGTACAGTGCTAATGATGCCCCGCCTTCCGCTGAGGCTTATGGTTGAGGCCCACAACACAATTCCACGCCATTTGCCAAAGTTGCTTTGAATCTTCTCAAACCATACAGATCAAATCCTATAGTGAAGTGAAATTCCAACATGTCCTCTTCTGCTCTTCAGTCTAACTATAAAGGAGCAAGCATCGATGGCGACGGAGATTTTCTTTGCAGGTGCGGATTCAGGATGTACAAATCGACAGTGAGTGACGGGAAAAGCCCATATTTTGGGAAGAAGTGTTAGCCTACCTCCCATGAACTGAGCTGAAATAACTAATATATCGAAGATTTGGCATGCAGACGAGGGAGAAAAAGCGCAGACCGGTGCCGGCTTTTCATCTGGGACGAGGAACTCCCTCAGATAAAGCTTCCACTCTCTTCGTCTTCTGAACCTGCAACACCCAAAAGAACGTCAGATATCCGACAATATGGAATTCTCACGCCAGTTACCAGTTCAAGAAAAGTACATCCTGCCGTAGACAGGGCCAGTGGCGGGAACAAACCGAGCCAAATCACATTCTCAGCCCAGGCGAAGAAACGTTCACTATTTTCGACTCCCGGGCAAGTCCCCAAAAAACCGAGAATAGTGTGTACACCATCTCGGTCGCCTAGCCCTACGCCATCCAAATCTCTCGTTAATGGCAGCCCTGCATCTGGTCTTAATGATACGTTCTTATCGTCAAGACCAGAAACCATGCATTTTATGAGGGGCGGATCGCGCAGATGGGAAGATTACGAGAAGGATTTATCAATGACACCTACCAAGCACAAATCCCACGTGAGGGATTTCGATCAGAAAGGTGGGAAAACAGAAGCGGAAGAGGGAAAAGATGAAGATCTTCTTTCTGACTGGGATGATACCATCGTCTCAGAAGTGATACGGATCGCCAATAGTCCTATTTGAGGTAGTGCGTGACTGTGTCTCAAGCATGATCCTTTGATAACCTTTCGCTAGTCTTATTGTTTGAACACCCTAGGCATGAGATAGGATGCTAGTACTTAGGAGAGGTGAGGGCGAGGATATTTTCGGCAAAATTTCAATTCGCCTCAAGTTTATTTTGGTTCCTTCCGATATTGTTTAGTGTTACCAAATTGTACAAGTTTCAGGACATGTTTCATGCTCCTAAACACGTAGGAGGCCGCGTTCAGGCCCGGCTTGGGCTAACTTTGGCCGTTACCAGTTTCGGATTGGGATTTACTCCATACGCTTTTTCGATTTGCTGACTTCATTGAGTGTGATCGGTGGAAAGCACCGCGGGCTTGGGTATTTGTAGCCCTTGATGCCCTTGAGGTCTACTTCCGGGGGAGGTGGAAAGAAGGCTTCTCTAAATAGCTCCAGTTTCCTGGCTGCGTTCGTTTCTATTTGCCCGTCCGGTTGTTGGAGTGGTGGTATGGATGTGGTGCGTGGCTTCCTGTTCCGGGTCTATTTCGCCAGCTTCTAAAGATTATTGGGGGAGTTCGTTGCTTCCTTGATTCTTATTCTGTGGTAGTCCTGTAGTGTCTTTCTGATGAGTCTTGCTTTATGGTTTCTCGCTCTACTGTATACTTCCCAGGCTTCAGGTGTTTGTCTATGTTGGTACTGTTGCCTTAGTTGTCGTGCGAGCTGCTGAGTCTTTTTACACTTTCTTGTCCATCTCGGGGTCAACTATGGATTAATTCATGATTTTGGTGTTGACTCTTGAATGGCTGTTAAAGTTGTTGATACTATTTCTTTAGTAGTGCTGTCGATGTCTTCTTCCGTTTTCAGCCCGGTTGTGGTAGGTATATAGTGGTCTGATATTGTATAAAGCTTCTCTTTATCTGTGTGTTCCTAGTTTTACTATTCCGAGATTGTTCTGTTCTGGTTTAGTTTGGCCAGCACAGTTTCTAAGGGGATGTAGTCAGAGTTGTGGTCTAGGTTATTCTATGGGCGGCATCGGATAAGGCTGTCTTGCAGGCTTGGAGTGGCCAGGGAAAGATCTATAGTTATTTTTATATTTCTTATCCTGAACATGGTTGTTCCTGGCTTATATAGGAGGCTCAGCTAATATTCTTCTATTATCTGGAGAATTTCTTCTGTCTTAGGATCTAGTGTTTACACCCTGAGTCCTCTCTAATAGGGATAGTGCAGGTTGAAGTCATTCTATTATAATTTATTCTGCGTCTTTCTACCGGTCTAGCATACTTTTTAACGTTGTTGTGGCGCTGTTAGTGGGTTTGAGGCTTGGGACAGGATTATAGATGTTATGAATAATGATGGTTTCCTCATGCGCACCCTACTTTAGCTCCAGTGTGCTAAGGCTGGTGTGTAGTATGTGACTGTCTAGTAATGACTCGCGATTCTTTTTGTTTATAAAGAAGCAGACATGAGTCTTCCTGTAGTTATAATAGACTACTTAAAAATATTGAGGGATGGAATTGTGGGTTATATAAATAAAAAGGTTCTGCCATGGCTCCTGGAAAGCTAATATATCATAGCTTGAAATTTTCCTATCTTGAAGTAGTGCGGCCATAACTGTATCATGAGATTTTATTATATTATACTGCAGTATTGACAGCAAGGGTCGTGTACTTATTGTTAGCTGGGTATAAGTTAGAAGAAGTTCTCCAGTGTTTGTATCTTCTCTCTTGGGACTGATTGGTGGTGCATATTTTCTCTTCCCAGGGTGGCATTCACGGCTGTTCTGAAAGAGTGAGCAGCCTTGTCTAGGTCTCAGACTTTGGCTTCTATCCTGCTGGCTACTCTTCTGGGGTAATTGTGTTTGTTGTTTATAATGTGCTGTATGCTATTCGTCCTCTTCCACGCGTGTTCATAGCTGAATAGTCTTTCGGAGGTTATAGTAATGAGATTGGCTAGCGGGCAGACTCGGGGTCAGTATATTAGTTAAATTTATTAGGTTGTTCCTTTTCTTAAACGGATTCGGAGGCCTCTCTACGCCTCCGCTGGTGGTAGTTCCAGCAGCTGCTGGTCTTGATTTGTCTGATTTGTAGTGAAAGATAGGATAGGTCTTCCAGGCTTGCTTTATCCTTGCTTGCTCTCTCTGTTTTCGCGGGCAAGTATTGTTCCAGGCAGTGTGTTGACCCTTACACAGCATGTATTTGAATATGGGTTTCGGGTCAGTATTTCTTGTTATATATTTCTTGGTATTGTGCGTTCCTGTACAGTATCCGCATCTCTTTTCGGCGTCGCACTGGGGTCTGATGTGGCTATATTTATAGTAATAATAGCACTGCTTGAGTCTGCATGACTGATCGTACAGGACACAATTATGGTAGATTGTGTTTAATACTAGTCTCTCTTGGATGACCCGGTTAGTATGGTATTTTATTATAAATTTTATAATAAAGAAGAAGGCTGCTTTCCTTTTATCTTTCTTAGTTAATTATTTTATATAAATTACCTTTGCTCCTTCATGAAATACAGTGTTCTTCCATTCGATCTTCTCAATAGCTGTCTTGATTATTGGTATCCATTGATTCCTTGTCGGTGTGTACTCCGTGGATAATTACTTTATATATAGGCTTAATCACTCATATAATTATCCTGAGGATCTTAATCTATTCTTCTTCAGTACTCTTCAGTATGTCTGCCTCTGCCGTGGTCGCGGTATAGAGTACTATATCACTGCTTTTCCGCTGCTTTGTTGTTATGACGCGTGGGGCTTTCCCAAGCAGGTTTATCCATGATTCCAAGGCATTATTTACTTGTTTGTGGAGGTCCTCCGGCGATATCTTGCAGAGACCGGCCGTGGAATTTATATTAAGTTTTACTATGGTTTCCTTATCCTTGACGCTTGCGGTTGTGGAGGCTCTGCTATTCGGCGTGGACAGGTACGAGGGCGTGCCCGAGCAGACTACGTCCGCCCAGGAAGTGATTCGGGTGGCTGCATTGAGTAGCATAGGAACAGATGATGTGAGTATATTATTAACAGTATTTTTAATAAGGGTAATATTCTCTGTAATTAACTGTAAATTATTTAATTTCCCCAGGATCTCCTGCGCCGAAGGTTGCTCTCGGGTTTTCTTAGCTAGTATAATCACGCTATTCAGAAAGGTTTCCAGGGATTAGGCTGGTAGTTTAGTGTATTTAATATTGTCAAGCTCCAGCAGTGCTGTGGCCTCGGCTATGATTTGTGTGGCATGCTCGAGGTGGTAAAGAGGCTGGATTCCTAATACTGGCTAAGTAGTCCCACCAACCATGACTTCCGGGTATTGGGCGATAGCCAAAAGCACGGTTAATAGATTGAACCAGGTTTAAGATTAATTAAGCTTCTGTTTAACGAGAAATTCCAAGAATTCGTTCTGAGCTGAGGGGAGTTGTTTTTTACCACAATCGACTATGATAGGCTGGGACGGTAAATAGAATAATCCGATCCGGTCCGAGGCTGGAAGAGTTCAGGTCATCGCCGGTCACAACTCTTAGGACACAGTTCATATCCGAAGACACCGCGTCTTGCGCACCATGGAGAATAAAGTTCCAATACCAAGAATTTCTGTGGCGCCTGGTCAGCAACAAATTTCACGAACTCATAAGGCATGTCAGCCTTGTGGTGAAAAGAAGCGCAAATGTAGCGGGGATCAGCCGATTTGTCGGCAGTGCGGAGAGGCAGGCATTTACTGCATTTATCGCGAATCCAAGCGTCAGCAAAGAGACAGGTGCGTGTGGTCCTGAATTCACACTTTTCCAGCATACTAAGCGATGCTACAAGAGAAGTAAATGGTCTCGCGAATCAATTGCAAATCAGCCATGCATTATTGCGACAAATACTGCCGGAGCTCGGTCCCGATTCTGCTCGACGTGTTGAGGCGATCCTAAAGTAACTGACAGGCTTGTCTAACCTAGGATGCTTCCCACGACTGATGGAAGAAGAATGTTGCAGAGACTATGACAGACCTTGTCAATCGCCATTTGCCTCCCTTGGTGCAACAATCCGGTTTTGCGGATAAAGAAGTGAGCCCAGGCGATAATATGCGAAGTACAGTATCCGACCCTAAGGGGGAGGATTCTAATCGAAATCTTATATACCAAGCAAATGGCTTTGTGGGTGGTCATTCTGAAATTGCATGGTTGTGCAAAATGAGGAGAGAGTTTGAACAGAACCAGCGTCCAGCGACAGCTGGACACGATCCGTGTCTCCAGTATGAGCAGACGTTTCGAGATTTGATTACGGCGATAGACTATCCGATGGACGAGAGTGACCTCCCTATAGACATGGATGTCGACATTTTCGGTGTGCCACTCCAGAAGATCGCCGACGATCTGATCAATCACTACTTTGACATCGTACACCCATTTTTTCCGATTATTGACAAACCAATTTTCAGGGAACAGCTCGCGTCATTCTATTCGAAAAAAGATGTGAGGCCAGGGAAACGATGGTTAGCTAGTTTGAACCTCATATTTGCTATAGCCTCCAGATACAGAGGCCTAGCGTACGACGACAACCGAACAGGAAATCGTGATGATCTGAAGTATTTCTGCAAAGCATGGAAGCTGTATGCGACAGACTTGGCCTTGGCTAATCATCCAGATCTTCAACAAGTGCAAGTCGAAGGTCTGATCACTTTTTATCTGCTTTCGATCGGACAGATTAATAGGTATGATATGCCTTTACTCAGTTCTACGTTTCCTGTACTAATTATTAGAGGCTAGTTCATGGAGGATCTGCGGCCTGTCGATGCGGTCAGCTATGACAATGGGGATTCATCTCCAGAATGAGAGTCCTGGCATATCTCCCAACTCCAAGGAGAATCGCTGCCGGGTTTGGTGGTCTCTATATACACTGGACATCACACTATGTCTCAAAACCGGCCGTGGCCCCAACTTGAATACTGAGTTCATTACTGCTCCTCTACCACAGCCATGTGGAGATGAGGCAGTGTGGAAAGTAAGTGGCCCAGTATTGATCAGGAAGTGTAGAGGTCTCAGTCAATTAATTGGTCCGCTTCTATTGATGATCCAGCACCAACAGCGTGATCAAAATCCAGAGATATCCTCGATAGATGTCACTATACGTGACCGCCTGGAGAGGAACGAAGACGTGAACGGTAGCCTCGCACTTGATACTTCGCGTTATTTTCTTTCTTTTGTTCAGTTGACCCTTCTAATGCGGCAGTCTATTGAATCACTACATGCTCCTGCAGGTTCCAAAGAACCGTGGAATGTCCGTGCAGCCATCACCATTTCACTGATTACAAAATTAGATGAGTGGGCATCACAGCTTCTACCTGAACTACAGTTCCAGGATACAAAAGCGCAGTCTGATGCTTATACCCGGCAGCGAGTAGGCTTGGCATTTCGTTCCTACAGTACAAAGCTTTTGCTTCTTCGGCCCTTTCTTCATCGAGCGACGAGAGAATCTAGCAGTGAATTATGCGAGAAGTTGGCCGATTCATGCGTGGAAGCAGCATATCAGATGCTGTCACTGTTTCCTGACTGCCCTGACACTTCCTGGCTTTACGAAACCTCGCCTTGGTGGTGTACGCTTCATTATCTTATGCAGTCAATGATTGTTTTCCTGCTGAAGCTGCAGCACGAGAAGCAAAAAGGCTTGGTAACGACGAATGAACTTGCAAACTGTCTGGGAAAATCTGTTCGTTGGCTTAGGGATATGTCGACCAGAGATCCGCCATCTGAACGGGCTTGGAAGATTTGCAAGGAAATCATCATGAATCATTTTCCCTGTATATAACGAAGCAAATTCTACAAATTAACGGTTTCCATTTTATGGTAGAATATTACAATACAATGACGGCCGCTTGCGTGTCTTCGTTTATGTTGCAGATGTGAGTGTACAGCTTAGACATACCAGGGATATATCAAGGCCCCTGGTTACGACAGCCTGGGCGTAGGAAGAGAGAAGATGAAGGATTTGGTGCATTGGTAGCGTGTGATTCATGCAACCGCTTCGCAGACGAAGCACGTCATAATGCAACTATATATATCGTACGATCTTAATACCGTAGGAGACGCTCCCGTGAAACAGATTTTGGGGGTTTATAAATTGATTTAGACTAGCTACAATCTCAGGCCAGTACATAAAACAAATCTCACGATCCGATATTGTTGGAACGTGCCGTCCCGCCATGTGTACTTACAGTGAGACACAACAAAGCTGATTAACACCAGGCCTCTGTGGTTGTGTGCTTGTTAGGAAGACATGCAGACGGCAGTTGTTTGTCCCGATTTTTCCACTCTAGAAAGAGTCTTCTAGTATCATCTTCCCCAAGCAACTGCCAAGGCCACTTCAACAACATATCTGTTGTGTGAGATCGAGATAGACGGAATGCTACTTCCCTGGTGGCCCAAGGCCGCAAGGCAACGTGGTTAGATCACGTCACCATATACAAGCTCTGTTGCCCTTCTGCGCCTCCATCCACGATAGCCTAGATAGCAACAAGCAACGCTCTAGCCTCACGTTTCTCCTGTCAAGCGTCTTAAACAACAATAACAACAAAAGAAAGATTAAAGGGAACGATAGACAGAGATGGAAAGAGAGATGCACAGGAATGCGGGCAATGAATAACCGCCTATCTCGGAAAAGAGGTGCCTAAATTAATTCACCGCGTATTTTCGGGAACTGCACATGCTTGAATCCGCTCAAAACTGTTGTTATTGCGACGAGGCTCACTAGGTTCTGCCGTATGAGGCGGTCAGGGTGACGGTTGGGTAAAGGACTGGGATGTGGAAACAATCCCCAGGCCCATAAATGAGCAACCCAAGATGCTCGTTCTTGCATGGTGTAGATATGGGGTTCCCGCTTACCGCACCAGGCAATGCTCTTTGCAATTTCCGTATATAGTATTCGTTCGAACGTAGGGCACGTGCATGCTTGGGCATTTTCGGGACTGCCTCTTGGCTCCGGAACGTTCTCCCACGGGCCCAAATGCTGACCACAGCTACTGCCTAAGGCCAGAATGATCGATTTACACCGTCTGAGCCCTACAGATTAACCACACGAGTCTTGGTTTAAGTTCAGAATTCAACCTACGAAAATAAGAAAGGGTCATGTGACAGCATACATTAAATTGTGCGGTAATTTCGAGGAATCCCTTGTATTACTTAGTTCAGCCCTAGCTATTGCTCCAAATCTTTCTCTGCCCAAGTAGATATATGCTCCATTATCCTCTCTTATCTTTAGCTGGACCCTAATTCGGTAACGACTGTAGCTCACAGCGGTAACGCAGTGGCCTACGCACGAACGCACGGACAACGTGGGATTAAATGAAGGTGGAGTATTATTGACGAAGCAACACAGGGCTGTCTGTAGAGGCAAAACAGGGAGAACAGGTCCCTACCGGAAAGAGGTGCCGACCAAGGGATTGTGATGGAAGCCGGAAGAAGATTCAGATCGTTACGTAACAGGGACACGTTACATGTCGATCGCTATTCCACAGAACACTATCGGGACCACGCTTCGCACCGGCTTCGGACGTGCCAGGCACACCGGATCCGAGAATGGGGCGTGCTAGGTAGGGCTATCCAGAATAGGAAAATGTACGCAGTGTATAATGGAGAAAAGAATCTAGAATTACTTGGTAATCGTCCATTACTTCGTCACGAATTTCGAGGTAGAAGAAAGGTGGCTGGGGATGCCGTCACCCATCAGCCGAGCTGTCTCGCTCCGCATCGTCCTCCGACACGTCCGTATCTTGCTTCGCCTGAGAGAAACAGAGAGCATCCCTGCCCACATCTCCCCTGCGGGCCAGCCCCTGCTGCACGACCGAGCTGAAATGAGGGTAGAAGCTGCTGAATTCCCGTGCGTCACGCTCCTTCGAGCCCAGCGCCTGGAAGTCAGTAAATAGCGAGTCTGTCTCCTCAGGGAGCGCCATCTGCGTTTGATTCACAGATAATTGGATCTTTCGTAGAATTCCCTTGGCTAGGGGAAAGCGCCGCGAAAATGCCTGGGTAATAATGCAAAGCTCAATGAAGGCGTTGCGGTTCTCGGTGGAGTCCGGCGACTCCATGAGAGTAAAAATGCTGATGCTGTACCACTGGATCGTCGACGACGCCATTCGGTCGATGCCCCATTTGTCGCGATAAACTCGCAGCAGCGCCACCATCCGGCGCGCCGACGATAGGCTGAGCTCTCGTGCATGTACGGCGGTAGGTACATCGAAATTGATCTCACGGTTGGACCGGATAAACCCAAAAATCTGCATGACGGTGGTGTGGTAAAGCAGACTGCGGAGAAGAGAAACTTAGTAAGCCTAGTAGCACAGGAAGGTATCATAGAGTAGCAAGACACTCACTGAAGACTCAAGATATAGGGAACAGTCGCCATCTCTGTGCTCAAGCACAGCGGCAGATAGGCATGCCATTTCTGGAACTGTTTGTAGATGTTATTGATGAATCTAATCATCTGTGAAGGGGCAACAAGGTGCTCCACATCATAAAAGCCCATACTGATCTGTATTATGATGTAGCAAAAGTCACACCATCGGTTGAATATATAATTGTGATGGCCGCGAACAGCGTCCACCTCTCGCAGGTATGGATACCAGACATCATGCGCACCGCCATGGGTAACGGGGGCACGCGGACGCTGCGGGGGTTTAACATTGATATACTTCATCAGCAATACTGTTACCGTCCTGCAATCCATCTTAATTAGCAGACATCTTCCCGATGGAGAGAGAGAAAACTTACAAAATAATATTAAAGGCCCCCCAGAGAGTTCTGTTCATGATAATCTTAATTGTAATATCTGACTCCTGGCCAGGTGGATGGCTTTCCGCATACTTCTCTGTTGTCCGGATGGCCAGATCCAGATACATCCAGCCTAACCGGTCTTTGCCCATCAGAATCATCCTGCAAGCCCAGCAATATTAGTTCGGTCTGTATTGTATACTGTTCTAATCACCTACCGAGTAAACAGAACCAGAAGTCCTTGAATAGTTGGGATTGTTGCTCCCTCCTCCTCTTCCAGGAGCCGACGGGCTTCTTCGTAAAAATAGTCTCCCCGTGTGAATATGTCGTGAGGAACGGTGAGTACTTCAGTATAGTCAGAGTAGTACTAAGAATAGCGCCCAGTTATTTTCACACTGCAAAAGATTAATATCCCCTAAAATGATCTGGTGTACATACACTGGCCTCAGAGAGAATGGTGTTTACCAAGAAGCACGAACAGAATCAGCACTGCAGATTACCAGCACGCATGTTCCGGAGGAAAGTATCCTTATCCAACTAGTAGAAGATGGGATAGATCCACGTCAGCTACAGCGAAATGAGGTGGGATATAAGGTCATTGTCATTAATGATACTGGTCCACGGCTTCGCAGGGACTCGATGAACAGGGCTATCAGCGAGACAGCGGATATCCAGGACATGATAGAGGTTTCTGGTTTGAGAGGATGGTTGCTCCTTGTTATTATTATTAGAGAGACAAGAGATTTGGCTTTATATCTCGCGCAATTCCGGGAACTGTTTGATATCACGCCCGGTAAATTATTACTCCAGGAATATTTGGAGTCCCTTGAAGGGGGCATTACTCCGGATGAGATTCAAAAGCTGCTCCAGATGTTTACTCTCACTTTTCTGCAGAGTATTAATCAACTGTAAGAGGGTTTTTTCAGCTTGTTTAAGACACTCTAGCTTGCGCTTCATAGTATATTTGCGGCGCATGTCGGCCATCGCGTCGACCAGACATGGGATGCTGTTTGCCACACAGTGTTGACATAGTGGGTCACCTCTATACTTGCGGGGGGTCAGCCGATGAAAGACGCTTTAATATAATAATATAAGATACCAGTGACGAGGGGTTTAGTGAAGAAATCACACCTTGAGCTTCTTCTGCTTACACGTCTTGCAGGCGGCGGTCTTGTGCTTGTGACCCTGAATTACATTGTCCGGCACCTTGACGTTCGAGAGCTGACCAGGAGCTGGGGCTAGAAAGCGGGAGGAGGATTGCGACTCGGTCATTTATGAAGATGGACGGAAACGACAAGAGGACAGCAAAGGGAAGCCGCCTTGAGAAATGTGAGTACAAGAGGTGAAGGAACAGCGACCCGAGGGAACGGATACAGGAGTCTTCAGGTGCGGGGTCGGTTGGCGAGCGGGGATGGCACGAGCGTAGAAAAGGGTTGATGATATTGGGAACGGCGCGACTTTACAATAGATTGTAGTGTAGATGGGAAAGAATTGACTAAACGACACTGCGTCCCGAAGCCTAAGAAGGAGGCAAATAGTGACGACGGGGAAGTGCTAGTCGTGTGGTGGTCATCGTCCCTTGCTGTGATAGTTCTATGGGGTTGGATTTATATATGGTGCGGGTGGCCCAATAGTAAACTATTTGCTTTTCTGAGTCCCATTTGTCCTGCATTGGTATCGAAAAACAGAAATCTTGGGGTGAAAATTATCATGGACGACGAAACAGTCGAAAAAGGAGGCCACAAGGAAATTGTGGAATCCTAGACAATCAAAAATCCAAATTACCCAAAAGGCGAAACGCGCAGAGCGAGAGAGGAGGACGAAAAAAGTACCGGTCTCAGAGATCCAGAAACGCTCGAAAGCGACAGCCAGTCAGCAGCTCGCATGAAAGGCTGTAAGACCGATCCGACCTTTGGCGGTTCTGGGAATTACTGTAGGAGAGGATGCGACATATTTCCGCAGCTCATCGAAGCTTCCGGCCGGGGAGCTAGGTATCTCTCAGTAAGAAGAACCAAACCCGTACCAGCGTATCGATCGGGTACCATCCCAGTACTGAGGTGGACAAGCCTGCGGGCTGCCCCAGTCTTGGCCCGGCCTGTCGCTGGTGGCATTTTCATCCGCCCAATCACCAGCCTTGGCGCTAATGTGAATAGGGGACTCTCCTTTCCGCCGCGAGTGTAACCCTCAACCTTGCAGATTACTGGGGCTAAACTGGGATAGAGTCAAGCCGCACCAAACCAAGTCTTTATCAAACATCCAACTTCCTTTTCAAGGCCTTGGACAAAAGAACCGAATAACTGGAGGTTGGCCCTGTCTCAACTGCCTCTTTTGGGTTAGCCGACTGTACCTTCGGGACCCCAGTGCCGTACTTTGGCCTCGATTTTGTATGGAACTAGTCTCAGTTGGGGGGATATGCCTTGCTGGGTTACACTATTTTTGTGTACACAGTATGGAGTACCTGAAATGTACCTTACTTAGTACCCGATGTCACTTGTAGCTCTCCTTTCCCTCGCCATGGATTGTGCTCATGGAGCCCGTGGCCCAGTCAGTCACCAAGGGGTGGAGGCATCCCATTGGCAGTGGCGGCACGCGGCACGCTACTGATGGTCTTTTGCAGAAAGTCACTAAACTACGTACACAACTATTGAGTCTCTCGCATGGGCGAAGTGAGAGTTGGGCTCACGGAATTGTTTTCCAAACAATGTCGCCCAATACACCGCTCAATCGCCCTGGCTGTCGGACCATGCTTACTACTTTCTTTGCCTCAGATCATTTAGCTTATATATGTCCGATTAAAGGGGCTGCATTGGTATGCTCGACGCCATCTCATCGTACACGCCTCTTCGACGCAATCTTATGGTGGCAATGTGAGGTTACAGTTCGTCCTGCAACATTTGGCAGATATTAACGACTGAAATAGTGCTTCTCCGGCCTCCTCACAGAGGGAACTTGGGTTATCCCATTCGGGACACGCATGAAGAGAGGAGCCTGATATCTGTCGGAGCCAGTGACTAAAGCTTGCGTCGTCCAGCAAGCTGCATATTCGAATCCTAGATGGGCTCAAACTGAGACAGATTGGTGCAGGCACGGGTGAAAGGACAAGGAGAAAGCGGACGGATGCTACGAGCTTTTTCGAACCGGGACTCCAAAGTGTCGTCCACGATAAGCGGACACACAAAACTACTAGTGTCATAGCAGTATAGTAATATACCTAGTAGTCTTCGATGTTTTTGGGTCAAGCTGCGAATTTATATACCGGCCGATATAAGACCCTCACCCTCTTCCGAATAGGGTTGGCTCTTAGCATTCCAGGTCGCACGACCTTGGTGCGGGATGGGCCTACCTAGTCTACCATTGGTGATTAGGCCCTCCCACAGGCAAGTCCGCCGTGAGCCCTTTTGTCCTGGGACGGTAGCCCAGCAGATAGCGATGCGCCATGCGAGTAATTCCGAAGTCCAATCAGACGTGCGAGATGGACTCACAGGAGAGCGCTAGGGTACTTACCCTTGGTGGCGGAATGAGGAAGGGGCATGGTTTAGTGGACGGCAGAGGGTCCGCCCATCGTTGAACCAGACCACCAGACCACAGAATCCGGCTGAGATGCAGCAGGACGAGCACAGGCAGATACCTCAAGCCATAAATCTTCCGAATCAAATAAGCAGCCGATCATGTGAGACCACTTTCAATTCCATTCCTCCGTTTTGCATGATTGTTTGTTTGCTCTGAACGCTTTCTGTTGTAATTCAAAGGAAGCTTGATTATTATTATTCAGAGGGAAACATGAGGCTATATATACAACGAGAAGATCAACTTGATTGGAAATCAAGTTGATTCTTCGTATACATACTTCGGGATTAATTCCGATGGTTCGGCTTGGTTCCTGATCCGCACTAACCTCATATTACAGGAAAAACCAGAGAGCCATACCAAGTGCCAATATAGATCGGACAAATAAGAAGACCCCCAAAAAGAATCTGCTGAAGTCATATTCTAAAGGTATTGATAGGCATCGAATCTGCTAGGATATGGATGCCTCCCATTCGGCTGCTCAACACAGCCATCGGCCTTTTTCTATGCATTCTTATGAATAAGTGGACTAAATCATTATGAGGCTCGAATTTCTCCCGCTAGTGCGACCAGATGCAGTGCCTGTTTCTCTTTATTTTTCACGGACTTGGTCCCTAACGAAAGAGGTGGAGATGGAAAATTCAACATTGGTGATTTGGCAGTTATTCTCTTGGGTATGAACTTCAATTCCAGCACCTTTATCCCGGCTAATGTCATCAACAGTGAGCCGGATTGAGTATGTGTGCGTGGTAACTGGATCTAGTGCCCTCGTGAATACATAGCGGTATGTCCTGGACCGTATGCTTACTCCGGTCGCGAGCAACAAGTAACTTGTTGTGCCTAAGCACAGACTCATCAGGCAATGGCATTCGTATTGTTGCGCGCATTCTGGAAGACAGATATTATGGCGACCCGTGTGGGGATTACAAGCCCAGCTGCGCCGATGAAACAAAATGACTCCCACCCGCACACCGGTAGCCTGATGCCTGTGGAATCCACTGATATCCCACGGGACAGACTCCCATTTCCCGCAGTTTTTGCTGAGCTTCTTCCTTCTTCTTCTTATGCTCCTTAATCTCAACTCTCTTTTGAGTAAGCCTCCTGACATGCTCCTCATATTGCCGTCGCTCGTTATTGTCCGGCATCTCTGAGTTACTATCCAGCTTCTTTCTCAAAGCCTTCTCTTTACTAATGATCTCCGCATCATGATTAATTCGTGCCTCGTGATGTTTCAAATCAGCTTGCAGTTTGTTCCAGACCTCGTCAGATACTCCTGGATCGCGAGGCCCGCTCAGATCGGCCTCTGTTGGAGTTGCATTTGAGTCAGTGTCTGGTGGAATCAACGGGTTATCTTGTTGCTTTGCCCAGGAAGCAGCCGTTGAAGAAGGTGCTACGCGCGGTGGTCCTGCTGTTGCTTGCATGGCAGCATAAGAAGTCGGCAAATTTGGGACAGTCACCGTCGCCCGCAGCTGCCGCTCGTGGATTGTGGACTGGAAAATGTCACTGACCATTTCTTCGGTGATCACTATCTGTATCTGGCCTTCTACTAGAGGGCTCGAGAAGACTCTCCTGATGATAATATTTGAAATAGTTTTTACATCCTGACCGTTCCCCCAGCCAGGAAGAAGGGATAGGTATTCAAAGGATGCCAGGATCTAAGAATGAAACTGGCTATCAGGCTGTCTAATAACAGCCTGATTTACTTAGTGAATCTGTCCCAGACTGTCCCGCAGGAGGACCCAGTATTGAGAGGCAGTTAGATTCTTGAATATGACTGTCTCTGAGAAGCGACTGGTCAGGCTGGGGTTTGATACTATAAGGCGGTTGATGTCCTCGTCATAGCCGGCCAGGATAATAATCAGCTTCTTGATAAATTTCTTCTTTATCAAGCAGTCTACCAGCTGGTCCATGGCCTCTTTTCTAAATGTGCTGTCCGCAAGCCGGTATGCCTTGTTGATAAAGAGAACCCGACCCAGGTCTTTTTTGAGGAGTCTCTTGGTTTTGGGGCTGGTCTGTCCCATATATTATATGACTAGATCTGATGAAGAGCACTCCACTACTTCGGGTGTCCTGAGAATATCCATGTCGTAAAAGACCTGCTCTATACAGCATGTAGTTGATGTCTTGCTAGATCCTAGATCTCTGTCAGCCAACGCAGACTCTATGCCAGAACTGTGACTGAATATATGCATACCTGGGGGGCCGCGGAAGAGGAAGTTGAAAGGAATCTTCTCCCGGGAATCTAAACCGAGTTGTTTTATATTCCTAGCTATATTCTGGTAGTTCTCTAGCTGTGTAACAAGTTGCTCACAATCTATAACACCTTTAAACAGCTTCTAACAGTTGGCGACCGCATTCTGCTCCCGGTCAAAATCAGGATTGAAGTCCAGTAACTCTAGAATGTCAATATTCTTAGTCTTCCGCGCGGACAGCTGCTGCTGGTGGTGTAGTTTAGCCTTATCAAGAAGGATATCTACCTCACCAGTATTACTAAAATTCAGTCAGTTATGAGCGTGACTAAGACATTGGCGAACAACTGACTTTGTCTCTGTAATTGTGTTGAAACTGAGTTGTTTAAGCTTTAGGTTCAGTATATCTTGCAGATTATTATTAGTGAAATTCTCGAAGTCGAATACGGTGCTCATTGGAAAATGTTGTGAGAGGTCTTTATTTATTATTTGGAATATTCTTTCCATCGCGTCCCTGTATTCTAGAAGCAGGACATAGTGATTATTACCGGGGATGCTTTGCACTTCTGTAATTAAAATGTCGATGACCGCGGTTTTGAATATATCTGGGCCAGTGCCACTGTCTGCACTTGAGGATGTGCCATCTAGCATATACACTTTATTAATAACTAGAACTTTGCTAAGGGTGGAGGCTAGAATGCCTTTTGTCGCGACCTCCGAGCCCCCAATGACGTTGCCAATGAAGTCAGATGGGTTTTTGACGACAACTGACAGAGAAACAGGAGTCAGTAAATAAAAAGTCCTATATAAAAATAGATAGCTTGCGGTTTAAATATTACCTTCTCTATTTGAAAGATATCCTATATCAGCCAGGAGCTTCCTGAACAGTTTTGTGACCGTGGTTTTGCCGGTGCCTGGATTCCTGACGAAGATTTTATTGAGTGAAAACTCTATCATAGGCTTTTCCTCCAGCTCCTGTTGGTAATTAAAGGCGACTGTGTTGAATAAGGCTTGGACAGATTATTTCACGAGGCGGAGACCTGTGAGGGCTTGCAGCTTGTTCTAAGTAGCATTCTTCTTAAGTACTGTACGCGGGTCTGGACTGAGAAGATCTTCCTTCGTTAGAAGGAGATTATTAGTGAGCTTTTTTGATCTCCGTTCTTGCTGCAGTTGTCTTGCCTGACGCTCTGTGATACGCGCGAAAACATTGTAGACAGTACAGGTGTTCCCAAACCCTTCACGACCGCGGCCGCGACCGACACGCCGTGCGATAATGCGCATGTACAGTCCATCCGGTCTATTGTCCACCCTTATTCGTCCCTTATACTTCTTGTTCATGTGATGATGGAGAATGGTACGCAGTTCCTCATCTGAATAGTCCTGGAACTGCAGTTTAATAGGGAACCTGCTGGGGATTCTAAGATTATAGGCAGAGAAGCTCTCCATATTCTTATTATATCCAGTAAAAATAAATATAATCTTTCCTGTCAAATTCTCCATCTCTGCTAATAGGAAATCAAGAACCAAGCTACCCCCCGCGTTGTTACTGGATATCAACTAATAGACTTTGTTGATAAACAGGACTCCTCCACCATTTGACTTTATTTTATCAAGATATTTCTGGCATCCGGAAACACTACTATTTACGAGCTTGGAACCCGATGTCTCGATAAAGAAGATTCCCAGGATAACACTAACAGAGCCGAGAAATTAAGCATACAGCCGCGCTACCGTAGTCTTACCTAGAGGGATATGATTAATATTCAGAAGAAATCAGCACTGAAATACTACACGAATCTGTTCCTGGGTTACCAAGAAGGACGGCCCTGAACTGCTCTTCTGACAGACTTGCCCCCTGCCGAACAACCACATCTACCTTGGCCTTGATGGTAAGAAAGCTGTTCTTGACGCTTTCAAGTCTAATCATGCTTATAAGTATATCCAGGGCTGTGTTTAACTAGTCTTCTTCCGTCTTCTGCCTCTCCCACTTGTCTCGTGCAGCCGACTCGAGGGTGACCTTTTCTGACTCATTATTATTATTATCAGTCCTACCCGCTGAGTCCGTCGTCTGGGCTGATTAAAGGCTACTGAGGCGACTCGCGGCCGCAGTCAGGCTCTCAAGTTTCTTTTGCTTTTTGGTAAGAGTGTCTTGATGATCCTGGATCTTTTGTTTATTGGCCAGGAGCTCCCGCTGTCTTTTGATTCTGTTTTGGATCTCTGTAAGTTACTTTGCATATTCTAGCTGGGTCTTCCGTCGCTTCTTCTCTAGCTTGGCATCTTTATTTCTTTTCTGTTCAGCTTTGATTGTCTCCTTGAAACAGGTCGGGCAGACCTTGGGCTCTCCTCGGAAGCATTGCCAGAAGTAATTGTGATTTTTGGGGCAGGTCTTATGTATGGTCATAGTGTATTTCATCCTCTTGTGATCCTGAACGCGGTGACACTGTCGAATACATATGTGAATCTGATATGGGAGTAAGGTCGAGCTATTATCCCCATTTGAGTCAGCCATAGGAGCAATATATTTGGATTGAATGTTAATATACCATGGATCTGAATATCCTCTATCAGGACATTTCTTTTCGAATTTCTCAGGTGACTGCATGATGACCATGCGGTCTAGATGGTTCTCACATTTGAGGGGAACACCATCATATACCTGATCATGAGCCTGGAGCATCTTAAATAAAGGCTGTTATGTGGAGTGTCTTTTTCAACTTGCTAGGAATATACTCGCGTTCCCAATCATCACTAGGGCGTTTCTTGTCCGGGAGAGGAGAATATTGACACGCTCTAGAGCAGCTATGAAACCAATTTCTTTTATCTTATTACTACATGTCAGGCTTATGATTATAATATTCCTCTTTTTATCCTGGTAATTATCTGTCTGGGTTACTCTCTGCCAGGGAGATTAGAAGGTTGCCACGCTTACCTATGGTTAATATATAAATAGGATTTCTAATCGTCTTTGTACTCCCCGGGATCAGAAGACCAGCTTGTATGAGATTATTTGTATCCAGATTATTCAGTACTGGGTTATTAGTTTTGCTCAGCTCCGTACGTAGTAAAGACAGCTGGCCCAAGTATGGTATTAGAATCATTATGTTATCCGTGCTGTACCCTTGCTGCCCGAGATACTTGATAATTTTTAATATTATCTCCACCTTGAATGGATTCTGCTTACTTGCCTTCATAGTTGGGTCCCTTCTTTCAGCATATTCATGAAGTTCACGTTCGGGGTGGCAGTAATTTACAAATATAATATTACTTTGGAATCCACGGAGTGAGGGTCGCTTGCACGTCCTCTCTGAATCCTATAAGTCCGGATATATCAGATAGCGGATAAGTCGGGATATCTCCGGGCGCATGCGGTATTATATTGTTAGGGAGCTGTGCGGATAGCCCTTGGAGATGAGTTATTTAAAAAGGAAGCAGTTAAGGTCCAGTCCATTGTCTTTTTTGACAGATAAGTTGTAATTATTAATTTTGGGATGTAATTGCTTATGGTTCTTGATTAATACCAGCTGCTGTGTGTCCAGAGTTATGGCTGTTAGAATATGACTTTCTAGGATCTCTCTGGTCTCCTTCATAATCAAGATGTCAGGTTTAGTGATCTGTAAAGCTGTTGCATATCAGGCAGCCGCATTTGTTGTATATGCTATAATTTGTTTATTTTCGAGAACAGCGCAATGTTGCTTATAATAAAAGTATTTATCCAGATTCTTTGAGATATCATAACATCTCTTGATAAGCTTAACTAATTAAGCAGATTTGTTATGAAGAATGTTCCTCTGCCAGGTCTCTACTAACTCTCGGTACTTGAAAGATGCCATTGCCCAGATATAAGCGTGCTGAGGACTGAGGAGATTATGGAGAATACCTGCATCCTGCTTATTCTGCCATGCATCCCACAGATAGTGTTTTCAACACTTCTACCACGGCTTCCAATGCATTGTATACCCGTCGGCTCTTCAGGCACGGTGAATGCGTCAAAGAAGGTGCTGTCTTCAAAAAACTCTAGGTATTTGAGCATGTCATCTTTGGAAATAGAGTCACAGTTATACTTTTCAGAGTAAGATTACAGCTCCTTGAGTACTTCGTCTAGCTTTTCCCTGCTCTGGTTTATAAAGGACCACGAATTAACACTGGACATGTCTTGAGACTGCTCAAAAAGTCCGAGCTCCTTGGTATATAATGTAGATTTGGAACTGAGCTGTACCATGGACGTGCTTGGGATGCTGATGTTAAGGAGGTCTTCCAGGAACTGATCTAATACATGGTTTGTATAGTAGATAATCATGAGGGTCTTATCTGTTTTATTATGTAGGATCTTGGCAATCAATACACCAAGAAATAATTTTCCAGTTCTTGTGTTGGCACTTATTAGCCCTTGACATAACACTTGAAAGAGCAGATATAAATTTACCAGGTGGTTCTTAAATCATGCTTATACTTTGCTGCAGACCGCTCAAGAGAGATTAAAGCTGTGAATTATCCAGAAATATATTCTTCTCAATATCAATAATCTAATTAAGTGACTGGCCCCTGCTGGTCCGTATTTATTCAATGATAGTTTCCAGATCTCATCAAATGTCAGCCGCTCCGGCGAGGGAGCTTGCGCAAGCAGTATCCTTGACAGGAGATATTCCATCACTAACTGCAATCATTGAAGAATCGGCTCATATACAAAGATTAGAATATTGACAGTCACGAACGTGAACAAAAACCCCATCTTGGCGCATGCGAGAATACGGTGGAAGGCAGAGTCACCTTGCACGCTCAAAACAAGTATCAGGATATCATCTGTGAGATCTGATAATCCACAATCTAAAGAAGCAAATCCGACAACCTCCTTCTTATTTAACAAGCACCCAAATGACTGGTGCTTCAGAAAATTAGGACTATCACCCTGTAGCTGCCCACATTCAGTCTTGGACAAAGAAAATAAACGGGGTATGCTGTTTATATATTTAAATTAAACATTACAGGTCCTTCGGCGGTCTTCCTCCTCACCACAGCCAATTCCCCTAAAGCAAAGTTTATTAATGAGCAGGGCAGACCTTCTTCCCTTTTCCTGACCATAAGCAAGCTAGAGATCATTCTTCAGCTCTGCCAGCAAGTCTTCTCTCAACAGGCGGAACTGATTATCATAATGAGCGACCGGTCATTCGTCTGCCGGAAGCTGGTAGATGTCTTCCATACAGCGGTAGAAGGGCCTCTGTGTCGCAGCGATCTCATCTAGTGTTAGCAGAATAGAGATGTCATGAAAGCACTCAAAGTCGTTGTCATATCTACCGCCGGGTCGATATTCATCCTTCACGTCTTGTCTAGTTGTGAGGGTCTTCAAGATAGCGTCAATGCGATAACCAATCGTGCGGATCTCAAGGGAGAGTAAAACAAGGAATGTCCGGGCCCGCGAGATTTACTGGGCAGTGGTAATCATTTCAGAGGCACAGCCCTGCATAGTAATAAGTTTGAGAAGTAACCAAGCAAAGCCTAGCTCAGCCTTCTCATTAAGCTTCTTCCGGGTGTAGAGCTGTATAAAGGCATTCCAGAATGTAGGAGATTAAGTAATTCAGGAGACAATCTAACAGAGAAATTATCCACTCCCAAAATCCTCGATGGTTGGATGTTGTATGTAGCCGAGGAACGGGGTGGCGTAATTGTTGATAAAGTCCAGCAATAAATCCAGACGGAAGCTGTTCTGGAGCGAATCGCTCAGAGGGGGAGAAACAAGCACCCATTTAATACAGCATAAATGATTATCTTGGGCACCAAGAGCTTCTAAAAGTAATTTAGCATCACCTGATTTTATCACCTGTCTCTTTCCCTTCTCAAGCAACAGCAAGTACCTGGAAAGTTTATCGGAGAGCGTCGCCATTACACAATAAAAGCCACTTATGACTGATCGCAGGGAGGGAATTATATAATAATCAAGAATGAGTGAGTCGAGCGCACAGCTGAGATAGCCAACACCAGCCAGAGCCCCGCATGCAAGGGAGAGAGACAAACCAATGTTGGGTGAATAACAAGACTGACATGTGAACAGTCACACCATTGACAGGGGTGCGATCGCGGGCCATGCGTCGGTACCCAGCAAGCACTCCTCAATCTTGACTTTACCCAACCCCGCCCAGTGTCATTGGTAAAAGATCAGCTCAAGCAACCTTGATTCTCTCAAAAATAGCGAGTATTATCATGTGGAGGGTTTCGTCAAGTCACTATCCACCCAAGCCTCGTGGTACTCGGCGTGGCTGGTCGGGTGTCAGACAACATGAGAACAGACAAGACTCAGTTATCAAATCCCCAGCACCCCCATATGGTCCTCTACTGGTAGAAATTAGCAATACCAAACTTGAAAGGTCAGAGGAATGCCCCCAAATCACAGACTGCGAGGATGTCAGTTCATACACATGGCTGGGTCAAGCTGCACCATCAATTCTCATACCCGGTATGTTTCCCACCTTCTATCAGCGGCTCTGGAGCGATAATAGTAATGGAGGTCAATCTACAAGGCGGACCGCCCATCTGGACCCCTGGAACTGAAGACCGCCAGCTGGAACCCGATCGGGGGGAGTATTTTCGTGACCCTAATGCGGCCAGGTATCCTTCGTATCCGTGGCAGGCTGCGTTCGAGGCAATCAGCAGAGAGAGTCCGGACTATGATCTCGCCAATACTGATATAGTGGCCTGCTCCAGTACACTCGGGAATCTCACCCGGTTTGCTCGAGGGGTCGACAAAGACTACAGGTTCATAATGGAACTGGTTGGAGACAGCGTGTTCTTCGTCCGAAGAGAGAATTCACCCACAGATTTGATACCGGATGTCCGTGGTTACGGTCATACATTCCTGGACCAATATAAAACGTGGGGGCCGGGGCTTGCTGGCTCCGAGTCACACCAGCGGATAATAAAGTATACCTTTAGAGGCCTACATCTTCTTGTTCGGTTCGAATCGGATGGCTATATTCCAAAAGACCCCCAAGAAAGTTTATCCAGTAACCAAGAAACAGGCAGAAGCAGCTCATCTGGAGATGGGGACACCAACATTGATAGCCTGGTAGCAAGGCTTGAAGGAGACCACGGGCGCGATCCTGTTGATGACTCCGGAAGGCTTAAGATTCATGAGAGTGGGCGACAGATAGGCCAGAGCGATATTATCAATATCAAAACTCGGTCGATGGTTGACTTCAAGACAGGGGCAATCAAAAAAGAAATTGACATGACAGACCTGACCCCTCGTCTGTGGGTGTCCCAGATCCCGACCCTGATTGTGGCATATCATAACCGCGGCCTGTTTGACGATATCCGGGTACAGGACATGCGAGACGAAATAACTCGCTGGGAACAAGAAAATGACAAGATGCTGAGGCGAGTTGCTTCGTTGCTACACGAGCTGATGCACTATGCAAAAAGTTCAAAGACTAGGCTTGAAGTCTGTCGGTCCGGTGCAGGGCCTATCCAAATACGACGAGTCACGGGTGATAGCCCTATGGCTCTAGCGCCAGAAACGAAGGCAAAGTGGAGAGGAAGAGATAGTCCGGACGGATCCAACCACACCTGCATATTATCGCGTGACAATAACTATTCAACCCAGCTAATTGAATCCGATAATTCAGACCCGGAGTCTGGTTATGATGCGAGGGACTAGACAGGCTGTCCAGTCGATAACACTGAGAGCATCAGAGCCATGAGGCATAGTACACAGGCCAGAGGCATAGGAAATCTATCTAGCTTGGCTTGTTCTGAACTACCCATTGCGTAATAGCTTTGAATAACTGGTCGTTCACGGTTACTTAATCTGTCAATAAGATACCGCCCACTCACATGTTGTCTGTCGTACTGGACTGCACCTGTAGTTGTGCTGACCGCATTTGAAGTGTATAGTAGAAATACCACAAGTAGGACCTCATTGCTTTGGCAATTCAAAAGCACATGGCAACAAACGTAATTTGGCAGAAGGGCGATGGGACCAACGGAGCTAAAGTACGTTTGGTGTCTGAAGGGCGGGACGAAAAGGATCGAGATTACCCGTGGACTCACTAACAGGATGATTCCACAAACATGAACCATGTAACACAGCGCTGATATTTTTTACGCCCACAGCTGTAAGCAGATGCTGATTAGCACTGATCTTGACTATATAATATAATTCACCGACATGAATGGTTGTCATGCGACAAAATAAGACTCAAATCTGGGTTGCAAATCACCCTTCATATATATATTCATGCAACATGCCTCTCCATGGTGATTCTCGTCGAGTTTGCCTTCTTACCCCCGGGAACATTCTGGTATATCTTATCGGTCAAGGTTGCAACTCATTAGTCTATCAATGAATTTAACCATGTATGTCAGATATACAAAAGAAAGAATATTGCCAGGCCCCTTGTAATAAAGACTGGCAACATGAAGATACGTATGATTGCACCAAGCTCAGCGCTGGCAGAGCAATACTTTGATCGTATACTATCTGGGGAAGTGGGAGTATTAGGGAATGCACGGACCGCAACTTCATGTAAGGCTTAGCATTGTTGGTTTGGGTGCCTAGTACCATTTAGTAAGATTTAGATCCTGACATACTAGAATACGGGCAGTGGACTAAGCAGCTAAGGGGAGTGTAGGAGCCAAAGGGAGCAATGATAACAACACCCCGCTGATAAGCATTTGATATAATAATCGAATGATATTGTATTAGGCAAAATACTACACGCCGGTCTGTTCGCTCTACCTGATAGCTGGGTATTAAGTAAGAGTGCGAACCGGAGTTAAAGAATATAAATACTAAGAGGCGGGGAAACCATGGCTGGAAAGCTTTTCAGTTAGGAAAGCTTAAAGTATCACCAGGACCTTCCCATGTTTTGGAAGCCAACTACATCAATTTGCTATCTGTCAAAATTAAATTACCGTTTCATCATAACTCAAGTAATCTTTTAATTTGGCGCAACCAAATCACCCATACCATGTTCAGAAATAAGTGGGTAAGGCGCAACCCTTCCCTTTCCATAGATCCGTCAGTAGTCTATGAAAAGCGAAATGGAAGAGCCTCACCCATTCTAGTCTTTATCCCTTTATAGACGGGAAAGAAGAGGATTTTGAGCAGGTCTTTGCCCAGTTGATCAAGAAGAGTGGCAATGACCCATCCGTTTTATATAACCCTGATAGATACGCGAAACCGTTTTTTTCCGATTGCCAGCCGACCATTTGGTCCAACGCGCCAAGGAGTATGAAACGGCCTGGGACCTTGAGAACGCGCAGATTTGTTCTTGCATGGCGGAGCAGTATACCGCATTGCGCGTTTTCCAATTCCCGCTCGTCACTGGGCAAAAAGGCGTGGGAGCTTGGCAGGAAGACTTATTTAAACACTTCTCCTTATCTCTCGCCACCAAATATGGAAGTTCATATCCCAGATCGACACGCCTCCCTTGAAGGAAGTGAATCCACAGATGCCATCATCACTGCTTTCCTCCACTTCCCCAATAATAGCACCAAGCCAGAATCTAGTTGGCCGCTTTTGCTTTTTATCTATAGCCTGGATGCCTATCGAACAGACCACACGGCGGCTTGATCTTACGGCAAGCTTGCCAGTCACCTATACCACAGTCAGGCAGTACTTCTAGTTAACATTCCCGGTACCACCGATTCACCTGCGGCGCCCAACGATCCTGAATCACCCAATCGCCTGTGGAGCAGCGTGCTCGATTGGGTCGACGAGCACAAAGACCAATATAACTTCAACCCTTCCCAAATTTTAGCACGCGGTATCAGCACTGGCGGCTACTATGCCATGCGCATCGCACATACTCAAGCCGACCGACTGCTTGCCGTGGTCGCTCAGGGCGGAGGCAGCCACCACATGTTCGACCCGGAGTGGATTCGTGCCCAAAACCATATGGAGTATCCTTTTGCGTTGGCCGAGGCTCTAGCTCAACAATTTGGTTATACGGAAGTACAAAAATATGCGGCTGGTAATGCACGGGAGCGTTTAAGTCTTCTTGAGAGTAGGATACTTAATAATGGCTGCACCTGGCTGTTACTGATCAACGGCATGGAAGACAGTATCTTCCTTATCAAAGACAGCATCCTTCCTCTGCAACATGGCAGAATAAAAAATATAAAAATTATCAAGGGGAGGAGTTATAGGTGGATCACAGAAAATCATCTGGTTTTTTTACAAGCATCAGTATCAAACTATTAACCATTTACCTGCAGAACTGTCTATCAGGGACAGTGCCATTACTAACAAGTCAATAGTAATAAACACTAGATTTATGTCTTATCCTGCAGTGTGAGTACAACCGCACTCGGAGAAAATATAAGACCAGCAATATTATATTTAAGCTAGGTGACAGGCCTCCAGGCAACTATATATATGAACTCTACGGAGATAGCCACAGTATCAAGATAGTTCTCTTAGTATATACAGACCAGTTACTCGTCAAGCCCGCACTCCAGATTCCAGAATGCTAAACTCATCAAGATCACAGTCTAATCTAACAAGCATATTAATGGGCAAAGTCAAGATTAGACACGTGTAGCTGAAGTTAATATTCATTAAAATTAGCAGCTGCTTCTCAAGACTTTAATTAATAATTATATTAAATACTTTCTCAATCACGCTCACAAGCTCATCCTGTATATAAGTATCATATCTATATCCTCACCCAATAACCAGTCCGCGGAATTCATGCAATATACCGGACAGAGCAAGATTAACAAGATTATTCTAGAATTATAACACCGGGTTATGGTATTTGCAAGTTATCACCCATCACAGACTCAAGAAAGAGAATCTTATTTTGTTATAAAATAAAAATATATTAAGTTCCCTGAAGATATATAATATATAATATAGTATCTCTATATAAATATCCAGTAATTTAACCTCTCCGAAGCTATCTTCACGACAGTAAATCAATAAATTTTTATAATTTATCAAGTAATCTTTTTGCTTAACAGAAAGCTGTTATAATTATTCAAGCAGATAAATAATAAAAAAAGTAGATTTATTAATATTTCTATTTCTATCAGCACATAAACAAAATAGTTAACTGTGAATTATATAGGCTTAGGTAAATCAGAAAAATCTGTAAAGACACTAAGTCCATAGAATATATATAAAACAGTCAGAGATTAAATAGTATAATATAAGAATATAGTATCACTGTACCTGATGAAGATTTTAGGATTTAATTAGATGAGGGAGTAATCAAGGAAAGGTAGTATTTTATTAATATATATGCTGCTAATTATATAAATAATAGCAGTAATTGTGCTATCATAAAATACAGTATAGATTTCCTCGCATTGAACTTGAATAGAATCTACAATAGTGGCTGTTACTTGGCTAGAAAAAAAAATCTAGATATAAAAACTAAGAGACTCTAGACAGGCTTTTCCTTATACAAGAAATATAAATAAGATCTGATTAAGATATATAGAAAATAAAATAAATATAATTATATCTTCTCTCTTCAAAGCTTTTGGAATATTAGTATTTATTAAGATTATTAGACACTCAGCAGATATTATATAAAAATTAATCTATATCTGCCAAGGAGTCTCACACCACTAGTTGAAATACCAGTTAATAGAGCAGCATATGGATCTGGATTAAATAGTGCAGTAAGGCTTGACATAATAGGTCTTCCCTTTTAGGATAACATATTGGACGGGGCCATTCGTGAATATTTGAGGATTCAGACTGGTATTAGCCAGGCATCAGAATAATTTATATTAGACTATATCTCTCTTAATATGATTTGTCAGATTGAAGCCTATTAGATTAATTTATATAAGAATAATATATATAAACAGTATTTATTCTTTTATTCTTCTTAAAATATAGCTCCTTGATTATCAGACTTATATATTAAAAATAGTCTCAGGTGCTTTCTCTCGCGCGGTAATAATATTAATATAATATTCTAAGAATTTACCAAAGCTTTAACTAGAATCATTCTCAGATATTTTCCAGTTTTGCTTGATTAACACTTTTAGCTCAGTGAAGACCTGTTCAATCAGGTTAAAATTAAATAGAAAATCCGGGAGCCCTGTGACTCAGATTATCTAATAATATTACTGATCTAGCTCTCGTGGTGAGTCTTTTTATAGTATAAATAGAGTTGCTTTGTATTCAGCTAATACTGTATTTCCTGCTTGTGCTTGCTGATATTTGCTAGTTAATTTATTATATATAAAGTACTCAGTCATTCTAAGTTCTTATTATATATCAAGACTTAGATTTCTAATACAAGCCCTCTCACAAGATCTAAAGTCTTCTAGTAAAGTGTTATATCTGGCACAGACTCCCTTTTATATTATTAAAAACTACTCTGGGACCTAGACATAGGCCAAGAAGATTTTATTAACAGTTTCTATAAATACTTACTTTTTTTACTTTTAATCCTGATTTTGTTCTATAGTACTTTCCCTGCAAGATATATGTTCTTTCAGAGATACTTATATTACTGCTTCTTGAAGACCAGCGCAGGAGTATTAAAATATAATTTAGATTATACCAGTTCTTTATTCTCAAAGTCAGTTCTTCTGTCTAATTTCAAGTAATATATTATATGTGACCAGAAGAATCCCACGGCCTTGGTCTCCGTTACTGACTGCCTTATCAGAGTCCTTATCGCATTTTTGTGAGATACTACAACTCGAATAAGTAAGCTGACAGTATTTGGATTATAATTATATCTACCCTACTGGAAGAAATAATATGTTATTCTGTTATCATGTTGAGGACCTCGCCCTTGAGCTAAAGTATAGTTCTGAAGAGGAAAGGAAATTCGGGTATAAATACATATTTAAATAAAAAATTAAATACTATTATATAAAGTATATTATTTCTGTTAAGACAGTATTTAATCATGGACTGGATCTGGATGCATATCTCTAAAATGATTACTTGGAGGATTCCTGAACTTAATAATTAATATAATTCAGGGGCCTTCTGTACATGGATATTTATCTCACTAGCCCAGCTAACTATTAATATAGTATTCTATTTAATAGAGTATAATATATTCTGCTTATATAAGATGACTATGCTTTTAAGATGCTCTGTATTAATTATCTATAGTACAAAGATTTTCTCTCAAACTCCTGCGGCTTTATTGTTATCTAACCACTCCAGATAATATATAAGATTATTCGAACCCGTAGCATGCTTAATCTGTATTTGTAGAGAGCACAAGAAGCTAACTTTATATACTTCTAAGGGCTCTCCTAGGATTAGAAATCCATACATCCTCAAACTTCGCATTAATATGCAACGGTCTAACTCCGTCTCCATTGACTTCGCGTAGCGGTGTGATGGGGTTGGATCGTTTGTTGGAGTATCCGTCATCTCTGTACGTGGCTCGCTCTTCGCAGTTCCCATGCTAATATGGCTTGATCCTGGTAACTCAGAATATTGGTGAGCGGAGAATACGAACTTCTTTTCGGAACATATGGTTGTTCAAGCCGGCTCGTATACAGCAATGCCGAGGAAGTAGTTGAAGATCAGATTGTGGTATTACCATAGGTCCTCGCTATCACTGCTCGCCTTAGGCCATGCGACGTGTGGTTATATCTAATTGCAGAATTACGAGGGGTTCCGTGCCACGTGTTGTGGTAATAGGTCACGGGCGCTACTACAAACCCTACTAGTTCCGCTCAGGAGCAAGGCGGACATGCCGGGCAGAATGGCACTATGGACGGTATCGTGCGAACAATAGGTGACTCCTACTGAATTTCTGAAGTACGAAGCTGGAAATGTGCGGGCGAACCGCGACGGTGCTAGTCAACGACATCTTGGCTGCGAAACGATCGATTGCAAGATGCGTACCACTTCGTAGCAATAGCTTGTTCACTCTAGCACGCGAAATTTGAACTTATCTTTTTTGTACCTGCCCCGCATTCTCAACCCGAATAACACAAAGACACTAGTTAAGGGTGCCCAACCCGCGTTGACAAATCAGCTGTGGCGCACGAGAGCAAAGCCCACCATGCTAATCTTTCCATATTATGAATCTTCGAAATCCGGGTCCAGTATCGAATTTGGCCTATTCACTCAGACCAGACCAGTACTGACAAGGTATTATCTCCGCTTCCTGTTTGGTAATAACGTTGACATCGTCACGTGCAACGGAGGACATGGCAACGATGCTGCCATCTTTCCATATAAATGGGAGATATACGGTGAGCGGGTAAAAGTCATGCAAGCACTGGGCCCTAGCTTGGAACTAGCGCTGCGAAAGTTGCTCCAGTTTCCGTCACGATGCGTTCAAGACTCCCTTCCTGATCAAGTGGTGGAGGATCTCCCTACGTGCCATATAAGCTTGCCCCAGTATGTGGAAGAAGCGCAAACTTGTTTAACCTAAGCTGCCGATGATGCTGTGTTGCGCCTTGGTAAGCAAATTACTAGAGAGGTATGGGCGGTCGAGGTCATTACTGAACTTGTTCAGGCGGATAGAGGTTGGGCGCCCGTTGCTTAAACACGGACGCAGCAGCTGACATACTTATAGAGAAGAATAGGAATGAAGCTATACCATATCTGTGCACTTAGGTGCATAAACTTAACAGCACGCGCTCTGAGTACCAGAATAAAAGCGGAACGAGGAAATACGGACGATGTACGCTCCGCCCCTCTGCGTTGTCAAACACGTGCCACTCAGGCCTACTCTGTATAAGCAATCCATTTTTGGTATCGCATGTATCTTAGCTCATCTCTGATCAACCCTGCAAGTACCAGCCGTGATAGACAGATATAATATAATAGCGGGCCACCGTTAAACAGCTATCTCAGTAGTGATACTTAATTAGTACTTATATACATTCATCGAAATTCTCACCTATTCTATTTGAAACTATGTTAGTTTTATCACAACTCCATGTCATACGAATTATATGCTAAATATCGAAGAGATTTTGGAAAATACTTATATAACCATTCTCTTACATTAAATAGTTATTATATTAGTCGCAGGCTATGACTATATTATATTCTACTAGCTAATATTTGCACAAAATTATTAAAAAAAAAGAAAAATCTTCAAGCCCACTGCTTCATTCGTGAAGCTGCCTGCGGTGCCATTTTCAGGGTCGCCAAAGTGTTCTAGGACTCATCGTAGTTGCAGCAGAATTCCTTATTATTTCAGCTCCACCGCTCACTAGTGGTTGACCAGTACGATTCGTTGCCTCCGGTCTTGTTTCATGATTTTGCAACGCCTGCGGTACGACATGCAAAGGATGATTACTGCGCCATGAACTGTTGTTGTGGAAGCCGGATTCTTCTGTGCTAGAAATCCCAGCATGGTCACGTTAGCAAGTTATGGTGGATTCTGCCGCATATATCAACCAGCACTTCATTAAACGGATGCCGGATCGTTGGAAATTGAAATCCTGTCAAGTGTGGTCCAGTCTTACTGCTGCTGTGCTCAGGCAAGTCTGTTGTCCAGATACACTGGGGAAATTGCAACGTCGGTCAACGCTTGCCTCGTCAGAGCCAATTCATTGATAAAATGCTTCCCGATATTGTACCGATGTCAGTGTATATACACTTTAACTGTCCCTGTTAACATTACACAAAACTACGCTAAATTGGTCCATAAGGGAGGGCATCTAATTTGGGCTCTCATTTTATTCCACTGGCTATATAACCTTCCTGGTCTTCCGTGTTGGAGAGTCAAATCCCCATCCGCTGATCGCGCCCAACTACGTGCGGTTAGTGTGTGGTATGTAATTTCGTCAATATTTCACCTAATCTGACAAGCATTGTAGAGCGCATGCAAAATTCTAGAAGCTTCGGTCATTGGTGATTAAGGCACGTGCCAAACAGATGGTGCAATGTGTTAACATCGAATGTCTTCACTTTACCATGTGCAAATCTGGACTGCTGCTGAACAGTCTGAATCCACCATACAAGGGCTGATAATCTGAACAGGACAGGCAGAGTTAGCAAAATCCAAGCCGTTAGTAATCATTCTACTCGGCCTGATAGGTAATCCCCAACACGAGAGCACGCACTGGTCACAAGACTGACAGTGACGGCACTAATTCTAGGTAGCTTGAAGCCGTTGTCGATTTAAAGGCAATGGCATACTGTCCTTCAGACGACGTCTCCTATTAGTCATTTTCAAAGATTTTTTAGTCTTCTTGCCAATTCATTAGCGCCGATCGTTGATTGGGCGAGTCACCATTTAGAGGACCATAGGGTAACGAAACTCTATGGTATTGTATATTTTTCTGTAAGAATACACCCTACGCTCTGGATGTGTGGGTAAACGGGCATCTTTACTGTATTCACGCCAAACATAAGTAATGCAAGTAAAGAGACTTGTTCGCCAAGCTTACATAGGAACGTTCTCTTGAAATCTCATTCCATGCTATTACTTAATGATGGAGCAAGTTCAATAGAAGACAAATCATCTGTAAATAAAACAACTCCCGATAGCTATAGTTATAAAGGGAAATGACGTCATGGTTTTGACCATGAACGGTGGTCAAATCTTGTTTTTCCATATCAGCAAGGTGATGGAATTGGGATCGGGATGAGCGGGATGCAACACAGTCCTTCAGCAACTTGATCGCTTGAGATACCACGTGCTTAGATGATGTGTTCCAAGCTGCATATCTAGCTAAACGACTTCCTCCGACCGTCAACAAGTCCTTTACGTCGACGCAATCTTTGGTGACTTCGACGCAAGATTAGATTCTGTTTTAAGCCCTCGTGGGAGCCACAAGGTCTTGCTCCTTCTTTCAGGGCCCTTTTCAACAGAGGCAATTTAGAGCGGCGAGCTTCATGCGACCTTGGCCCATCAAGTCCAGGACCTTTGAACACCATTTCAGCCAAAGTATATAAACACGCTCCTTTTGAGAACAGCCAGCGAAACTTTTCAAAGTCGCCTTGCTCGAATGCTTCGCAACAGAGCCGATCAATACCACCTGGAACCACTTGAAAAGAAGCACCATGATCGATCAACCAATTTATAAGCGATTGGTAACATTTTGAACGAGCTGCACGCTCAAGTATGTCACCAGATAAGGTATAGTCACGCAATATGTAATGACACCTTCTGGATTGACAATCCTCATCCTGCATTTTGAAAGCATCGCTTTTAGTGGTTTGAATTTTTATCATTCTGATCTTTTTCAGGATGAATATAAGAGCCGAAATGTCAATACAAGACCGTATCCGACGGCAAACCGCACGGAAATGTAAGTAATCAGGAAGGTGAAGTTTCGTTGCGATCAATTGCAGGATCTCCTGGGGTAGGTCACAGAGAGAAGATGGCTTCTTCTTCTCCATAAGGTCCATCTTGAGGTTTGTATATGATATATCGTAGTAATTGACGAATGTAGGTGATTTGGTCTTGACTCAATGTCGCAGGATGGGAGACGTTTGAGTGTCACTGAATTGCTGGCTGGCTATTAATACTTCGGATTATGGTGGGATTATGCGAGCTATTTGAAGCAACATCAGCAATCTAAGGTAGTGGCTGGTTTGCTCGAGACCATACTTTGGATGAGCTCTCGGCCAATATATTGGAGACCTTCAGGGTCAGAGCTACTGTGCCCATGCTTTGTCCCCTTTTAACACTGGTAATATGGTAGGGATAACGTGGCATAAAGGCGGACAGCATAGCTCCGGCAGAAATCGTATTAGCCGAAAGCCGGACGTGTTCACACAAACAGGGCTGTACAGTAACTCGGCTCCACGCTAAAGAGGGATTGACCAGGCTGGATGCGAATATGCGTCTTTCAGAATGTGATGAACGCCTTCTGAGGTGCCTGATCGCGGTCGATGGGAGACCCAGTGGGGGAGCTGGATGACCTGCAGACCAGGGCTGGGCAAATGAAGCGGGTCGCAAAAGGGAAAAAGGAAAAGGGAAGATAGAAACAAGGGGCAAGTGGGGGAAATGAGGGAGATGAGGTAAAGAGGCAAGGAACAGTGAAAGTATGGTCAAAAGATGGCGAGAGATGGGGAAAGATGATAAAGGGATCACCGAGTAAACATAGTCAACCATTCTGCGATACCGTCTCCGGGAACGGGATGCGCAATCTGTGCGGGCATTAAATCTGTTCAGATGCCCTGGCGGGCGCAATCCTTCGCCGCCTTCTGGTCGGCCCCTCCAATCGATTGTTGTTGTCCTGGGCCAGCAACATTTGCTGGGCTGGCTCGGCAAGGTCTGAGACTAGTCCTTTTCGGGAAGTTGTTTCAGGGGTTGAACTTGATGCCCGCCTGGGGAATCCGAATGCGCACCGAAGTAATATTATGTCCTCGTGTTTCGACCACTGGAACTCAGAGTGTAAAGCAAAGAGACCAACACATGGGTATACTGGAATGTGTATATACTATTACCCTAGGCTACCAAATGTGAGCCTTGTCGCTGGCGATGGTACAATAATCATGCGCATCAATGGTCTATACATTTCGTACATGAATGGTCAATGTTGTTTATAAATATATATATGTAACATGACCAGTACTAGCTACTCCAGCATGTCCGGCACAACCGGCTTCTGATAACTCCACGAGACACATAGAGAATCGACAGGCGCGCCAAAATTGAATATATTGCCCACTCTAAGGGATCGCTCATCAAAACCAGGTCAGCAGGATGATAATTTGCTCCGATGCTTCCAGTTTCACATGATTTAAGGTCGAACATGGCCTTGCTGGGCATTGATTTTTCCGGGCGGATATGACCAATGAGAATTCGTCCCGCCAGCAGCATTCCACCCCAACAACAAAACCTATTTCCAATTCAACCCTACCAAAAACTGAGGTTGTCGGGATGTCGACTAAATTGACCAGAGTGCAAAAAGTGTTGACATACTGATCGCATCTCACGCAACAGATCCTGATATTCTTTCAGAATGATAGATGGTGTAGGTTGCGCATCTGCCAAAGAGCAAATTGGGCAACATATATGGAGAGCATGAGCTACTTCCTCGATTGTTCTTTGCGCCACTCCATCAAGGACAGCAGCTGGTGAGTGTATACAGGATTTTACCCCCAGATTCAGTCATGCCTCTTGCCATATTTATGACTGTATGGGCATTGTATACCGCCATGGTGAGCACACAAATGACCCAACCCTTGAAAGTATACCGGGTGGTTTGAATTGACAGACCATAGATATGGGGGCTTGTGAATCACCAAAGGGATTCGGAGTTGTGGGACGATCGGACGGTATGGCAATGCAAGACGACAATTGATCCTAGATGTAGTGGGCTGACCAATGCCAGGAAGTCCGTTCTAGCACATCAAACCCTCCGCGTTGCGAACCTACTGGGCTTGTTATGAGGCGTGAGTTGGGGTTCTCTTGACGCAACCTTCACTAAAATACTATTTAGATGAATCGAACAAAAGACGGGGCCGACGTCTTCGGAGACCGCACCATGCGTACCATCCTCATCGGCCAGAATAGCCGACCTGTAAGCCCCCAAGACCAACCCAATACCCCATATTATTCTCTACAAGCTGTTGGTTAACCAGGTGAACTAGCATGCCTTCGACCCAGAGTAAATCAAAATTGGGCTTCTCGAGATCTGGCATGTCCCTTCTTTGAAATGCGGTGTACTTTGCCTGACATAGCGATGGGCGTCCGGTTATCCTTCATAATTCCCCACTATCAATAGTCAGAAAATTCTTCCTTCACCTGGCCTCATTGTATTTACCTTTGCGGTCATTGAAATTTGTCGTACTGTCAACCAAAGGAATGCCGGTGGAGGCTGTAGGTAGACCATATAGTTACACTAGCTTCCTTACAACCTCTGCTATACAGATTTTAGTGAGTATACTCCGTAGAGACGTGGGGGTCATCTACGAAAAGTATCTGGACACGAGGACGGGCGCTCGTATTTCTGACTTCAGTTCAACCAGCCATGTCAGCCGCGAAGAGACGTTCGTGGCACCGTTTGGTTCGGACGAACTCGGCCGCCTGTGGTCTCTACGCAACATGCAGCTACAAGCACTACCTCGGATTATGTCCCAAGCAACCAGGCGTTCATTCGTGCCACATCCGGGCTGGATTATCTACCGCCAGAGCAGTCCGCTCCCAACCCGGCTCCCCGCGAGATCTTAGCACAATCCCCTTGAGAAGTATATGAACCTCGTGCCTGCATCTACTATGCACGAATGGTGGTGCTGGCCAGGCATCGAAAGAATATAGCCAACTTAGTCCACATCCAGATGCAAGCCGTGGAGCGACCGGCAATAAAAATATATATTCAGATAATCAATCGGCTTGCTCATCACAGCATCCCGCGCCTTCTAGATATTTTCCAGTATACAGAACAATATCTTCTTATGTGGGAGTCTTTCAAGTGCACTCTCCACGAAGCTTTAGCACTGAGCTGCCGCATCATTAAAAAAGAAGTAGCCCAGATTTTATAGCCTGTAGGTGCTGTTCCCATCCTTTAAGGCGCAAGATCATTCATTCATAGTTCACAGATATTCAGGTGCCTTCAGTTCCTACGCGGCCAGTCCAAAGAGCTAGCCAGCCTCACTCCTCGAGATATCTTGTTCACCGAAGAGGGTGAAATAAAGATCAGTATATCTGTCCCAACTGTAGACTGTACAACACTGACATCAAGTGAGGTATAGCGGGTATTAAGAACAGTCACCAAATCAACCAAGTCGACCCTTCCCGTATCGACGCAATGGCTACTACTTTCAATGCTCTCCGGTCAATTCTCGATAAGATCATGCAGAAAATTGGCTCCAATTTTACTTGGAGCCAGGAGATCCAAAGCTTTAAATCAGCGCTGGCCCAGAGCACCTCCGCGCAATGCTTGGATAAGTTGGTGCAAGTAAGTTGGCTCATATTCCAGCCTCATCATGTGATTGGTAACTGACTAGTAAGCACACCTTTTTTTTTTGAGCAAGTGACCGGGGAGGGAGGTCTAAAGGTACTAGTAGAGTTGGCCAACAAAACCATTTTCCACGAAATCTCATTTCCGCCCGAGGACTTTCTTGCCAAGACTGGGCCACTAGGGAAGCCTGTGGAGCTGTCTACGACATAGGTGGATGTCAATAATGTGAAGATACATATTTGCGTGATGGGCGCATTTGGATTAGCTTCTTGGATAGCCCATATACTCATAATGTTTGCCAAAGAGTGCACATCCCTTGTACTTAGCGTGACATATCTCCCTACAGATATTTAGCCTAAATGCAATGATTAAGAATGTTCGATGCTACCCTATGCAAAGCGTTATGATATTCCAGACATAATAAATGGATGTGAAAGGGCGCCATGAATCCGTTATGCGGAAGGATGGGCGCCCAACCACGCAATGAACATTCCTTAGACCTTACTGCTGCCATCTGCTAGGCCGTGGAGCCTTTATTCGATTCTGATTGGGGTATTTCATTGGAGGAGAAGCTTACATATTATGGCTGGTACTATAAATATAACACTTCAATATTGTTGGTGGGGTTACGGAATAACGACCGTAGGAAGTTTATTGGGCTAGATGTGCATAAGCGTTCGGATGAAGGGTCTGGCTACAATATGGTATCAGAAAGGCAAAAAAAGACTAAAGGTCTGGGGTTTCACAATGCTTGGAACTTGGGACACCTGAAACACACATGCTCCAGTCGAAAAAGATAATGCCCTGCATTGCATAGATTGACCCGGTCCTGTACTACTACTGGAGTGCAAAACTTGGGAGAAGAAAATGGTAAACCTTGCAGCATAGACCTATGTATCAACCACGCCCCACAACGTACCGTCCTATACCCAATGATCGAGTATTCATGTTTTCATGTTTTGCCGCATACTGCTGCAATAATGTATTGGGAGGACTAATCTATGCCATTGAATTTCTGCAACAAGGCTGACGTGAACCAGTAAATTGCGTGATCACAAATGATATAAGGCGAAGAATACCTACAACATACCCGCCCCGAACAATTAATATACTAAGTGAAATGGTTCTTCTTGCTTATTGTTCGACAGGAGAAGACCTGCGAGCACCCCGCCTCTAACAATACATATACCAAGTAAAGCAAGATTCCTCTTGAACGGGAACAATGGCGTTATGACTCGGATTAATACCAGGGCTCGCGATCGTAGAGAAACCGACCACAGTCAAGACAACCATCATACTCGTATACTGCGGAAAACGTCAGTTTACCAACCCCCAGGGGAGGGGGAGGGGTCTACATTGTACTACTAGAGCTCATGATCCATACTCCCGCACCTCAATCCGAGAATAGTCCTTGCGCTATGATAGCTTGTTAATTTGCCTTATGCGGTGGCTCTATTAGTACTACACCATCGATCCAGGATATCTTTCTTGACGCCATGGTTTACCCATTGTGAATATAAGTGGATCATACTGAATCTTTCCTAACCCCATCAATACTCCTCTTCTTGTGCAGTCGAACTGCAAGTAAGAACATGAGTGGATAGCCTGAAGATTTGCTCGTCTACCCACGCAGCTATATCACTTACGGCCTCAGACAGTCCCTTCCTCCTCCTTTTGAGCCGATTTAAGTCGGATGTCGGATAATCCTGTACATTCTCTTCGGTCAAACTGGCTAGAACATTCTGGCCTGGGTTCCTCAGATGCCAGACGTGGAGATTTTCCTCTTCTGTTACATTGCGGTGATCTGTACTGTGGAGGCTGAACTTGCGCATTTTCAAACCATGGAAAAGCTCGTTGATTAGAGATTAGTCATTTGGCAGCGCAAGTCTTCTTGGTTCATGATTTGGGATGGTGACGACCACGACTAGATCGCCCGCGGGCATTGCCATCCCTCCCAACCCGCAGTCCCACATTTCCATGAACCAATCAATTGAATTGCTTCTTTCAGGCAGCTGTGAGAGACTCGGCGAGGGCATCGGATGCTCAATATCACAATCTGGGATCTCTGGATCTACCGCCGCGGCTTCCTCGCTCGCTGCCGATTCGTCCTCGGCGTTTGTAGCCTGATTGATTCCACTCCTATCCCAAAGGTAACGAAAGAAGGTCTGGAACTGCGACTGTCTGAAGAACACAGCTGTAACCTGTGGGGACTCCCAGGGCTGCCATAGTCTGCCCCCTTCCAGGGCGAAGCAATCCGCATCGACTGTATCAGCGTATGGGATACCGCAACGTTGATTCACTGCTTTATCCTGTTCGTTGCTACCAAGGCCCTCCGGAGTTTGCGGAGTGGGCAGGGTCGCTCGGCCGGGCATAAACTCGGCTATGGCCGGGATCCGAAATCCGTGTTGGTCAGCCAGCCAGAACCGAAGTCGAGCAATTCGGAACAGGACAGGAGCTACACGATTTCTTCCTCTTATGCGGCTGACGGCGTGCCACTTCAGTCATGTCCAGCCTGTATTAGAAGCTGAAGCGCCAGAGCTCGTGTAATTCCCGCTGTAATTACAGTCTTGTCTTTTTTAATGACACGCTGGCATTAGTCCAATATTGTGTACTGAGTTTACAGTTGATAGTAATCTTCTTAATCTTCTTTGAATCCAGGTCCTCTGGTAGAAGAAGAAGATTCTTTATCACCTTATTAATAATATCTAAGAAACAGAGGTCCTGGAAGAATATTCTTAAAGTAAGAATAAGAGTATTAATCTGCTTCAGTCACTTCCATAATGCCGCCCGTGTGTCGGAGTCGTCAATTAATAGAAATAATGTCTGGTCGTCCATCATCCGAGATTGTAGATATTCCTGGTCTGGTTCTGAGAGCTTTAGGACTTGGGATTCCAGTGCAAGAACAGTCTCCGTATCTGCGTGAACAGAAAGAATATTACTTCTATCAAAAATATAATTTATCTAGATAGTGCGGATAGTTTTGAGGTAGAACAAGATAAGCTAGAGATAACAGATTCTTTAAAAGAATTTTTTATTTTATAAATACTTGGGCTACTTATCTTGTTATATTATAATAATACCATGATATACAGTACACCCAGTTGCATTTTGGCCCAAAGCCCCGGAATAAGAAGCAGGACATTAAATACTGCAGGGAAACTGGAATATTAGAAAAAGGCTTAGAGATATATATATTTCTTACTCTTGGAATTATATTAAAGAACAGCCTACTAAAGTATCTCTGCTTATTTATTTAGCAGATAGCCCAGCTTTTCCTGATAAAACTGGATTCTTTCATAGATTAATCTATCTGGAGGTCGGCATCGGTTTAGAAAATACTCTCAGAGTAAGTGGATAAGATAGAAATAGAGAGTTTGTCTTTATAATTATTTATTTAGCAAGTCACACTTAGCAGGTAGATAGGAATGGATATATATACTAATACTTAAAATGATTCTAGAGATAATTTACTGGAATCCTCCATATACATATTAATTATCCATCATTAATTTTCACTGTAGAGCCTTTTTTGCGCTGCGGCGATGATGTTCTCGTGGCCGAAGGCACGAAGTGATATATTCAAGAATATAATCAGCTTAGGAAATAGCTCTGTGTCACATGGTAATAGCCTGATGTAGGAGCCCCAGTCCGTGGCTTAGATTAAGACAGGCACATAGTATTCTTGATTAATACAGAGATATCCTTATATTTTGAGGATCTGCTCTATTCAGAGGGTATTTCAGCCGTCGTCCATCAAGCAGCCAAAGCCATTTTCAAATATCAGATAATCCAGGCAGACTTGGGTGTTATTCTAGTAGCACTCCTGGTAGTAGGCTTCTAATATCTTCTCCGCTGATTTGATATGAGCTTGGTGTGTTGGCCGCATGCTTAATAATAATCCTGGAAATTATGGTGACCTGGCTATCGAGATATCTAGAGCACAAAATTATTCTAAATATAGGCTAATACTAAATCACTTATCTCTTCTTATCATAGTTAAGCCATGAGAGAGCCAGCAGACTAGGCCCTTAATACAAATCCACAGACTATATATTATTATTGTGGTTAAGACATAGTGACCTTCAGAAAAAGAGCCCGGATAATATCAGAATAAATAGTTAAATTATATAGACTTAATATAATAGTTAATTATATTCTTCCTAATTATTCTGCATAAATGCATCCGTGGTGAGGTCTTTTGAAAGAAGTTAAGAAATAGTAGCAGGTAGAGAACAGTATAGATAAAATAAGTAAAAATAAAAAAGAAAATACATCTACTACTATAGATTAATTAATATATATTATTAACCGGGCCCTTAATATATGATTATAATATATAATCAGGTCTAATCTAGCGGGCTGTAAACTTTATAATATTAGTAATTCAGATAGCCCTAATCAGTGCTGTTTTAGGGAAAGAGTGCTTTAAAATTAGTATAATATTAATAAATATCTAGAACTCTCTTATTATTTTCTAGATACTATAACTACTAATAAATTAGAAGCTTATTCCATTACAGGTAATTATTATATTATCCTGAATTTAATAAAGTCTTCTAAAGGCCAGTATACTATTAGAGAAAATAACTTTTACTTTATACAATAAATTAGAATATAAGGATTCCTAGTTAACTGATAATTCTTGTCTTTCTGAGAATACTGAGGACCGTGATTTTATTATATCTAACTTAAAATTATTATCAGAATATAGCGATGAACTTGAGAAAGAGAGTGAGGATTATATTCCTGTATATAATATATAATACAAGCGCCTGAGACGCTTCCTATCCATTTACTAATAATCAACAAGTTTCTGAGACTGGATTAGAATATACTAAAAGACTGGATAAACCTGATTTAAGTAATTACTAAGTAGAAAGTAGTCTCTGATAATAGCTTCTTTAATAAGTATCTAGTGCTGTGGTATTCCTGGGAAACTGGAGAAGCAGTATTAGAGTTAATTAAAGAGCTAAATTAATTAATTATATTATTTACTAATAGTCTTCTTATTCATAATAGTCTACTTACAGATATATAATTAGTTAATTACTACTGGACTAGCTTGTGCTGGACAGGCTTAGTAATGTTCTTCTTGCGGGCAAAAACACTTTCACCTTAATATAATATTATTTTTATCTTTCGGACCTTATTTTAGTGACATTCTAGAATTCAAGTGGAACACAGCTAGATCAATAATATTCTTGAATTATCAAGTAGACACAAGGGATAGGGATATAATTTATAAGTAATCTATATATTATTATAAAGGGAATTTATATAAATATACTTATTCTTCTTCTATCTAATCATATAATAGTATGACGCTGTTCCTTTTATTCATGACAAGTGCATTCTTTTATATACAGTATTTAAAGTAGTAAGAATTTTGAATTAAAAAAAGAGGAAGAGAAAAAAAGAAAAAAGAAGAAAAGAAATAAATAAGATTATAAGTAATAAGTTTCAGTTATTGCTGCTCTATATTCTCTGTTTCTTCCGGGACAGGGCTGGCTCAGTGAAATGAATCTGTTTAATATCTCGCGGACAGTAATACATCCTCTGCGGCGGCCACTGGTTATTTTAGTGATCAGATCACCTAAATACAGTATCTGATTACTGGAGATGGAGAAACTGTTGTATAATAGCTGGAAATCTGTTAATTAACTACTGACCTGATGAATCCTTAAATATAATTAATATTTCTTCATCTAGACTGGCTACGTGGAACTGAACTTTTTTGCGGTAGTATCCATAGACTATATATTTATTATTATTATCTGACTGATTTAAATGCTTCCCGCGGCCGGTCTGCAGCTCTGCGCCCGGAAATTCCACTAATATGTATTTTAGAATCCGCCGTGGCTCGCGGTGCGCACATAGGACTGATTTCTGGTAAAGATATTGGCCTTGTGTCCTCATCGGGCCTTTATTTAATTCAAAGAAGAAATATGTGGCGAGGACTATTTATATTAATTTATCTAGAATTATATATAGTTTCTTGGTAAGTTCTGCCACCCTTATCATATTGTCCAGTCGTGGTAGATCCGCCAGAGCGTGGTCCAGCCGGAAGATACAGGTCTGGAGAAGATAGGATATATAATTTAATCCTTTTTTAAAGACTTCTATACTATCCATGCAGGGCGAGGAGTTATATATATATTATAATCAGAAGAGCGCCTTGTCTTGTAGAAAGCTATAACTATGCTGGACTGTATTAGTTTCCTTCCTGGGCAATGGAATGTATCCCGTGCCCATGGATAACAGCAGATTATGTGTTTGCGTGGATGGCCAGATGATTTGATATTTCTCCTGAGTAATCCCGTGTGGGTTATTAGCACGGATATCTCCATCCTGCAGAACACTAACTTTGGATAAGTACTGGGATTTGAAGATCTTATGTTAAGTTAGCAAGAGATAAATTGCTGTAAAATTAAGAAACTGAGATAGTCTCCTACCCAGGCACTGCAGTATTATATTCTAGGCTATTTTTGTCAGCTTCTTGAATAATAACTTGATACAGAATCTCGACATTCCGGCGCAGCGAGAAGATGTACGGGAAGAATATTAAAAAAGAGACTGAGTAACTTATGCTTAGGATAATAACAGATTCTGGTTTTTGCAGTGTAATATAATTCTTTGGTATACTGAGTTGATAGTCCCGTGCCTTATACTATGGTAGTTAAGAAAGATAACTAACTTATTATCAGAAATATAGCTTGTGATAATAGCAAGACAGTGTCTTTCCATTATTAATAATATTATATTAAATACCTGATACTTCTGCTTATAGACCTGCTGGAGTGTTTACTCTAATATACCTGAGTCATAGATAGTATCTTGAATAAGATTCAGAATACAGCCCAACCAAGGCTATATTTATAAAAGAAAATAGCCGGGCTGGAATATATATTATATTAAGTCAGGAAATCTTCGACATGCTTCTGCGGCCGAGATATTATTATATACCTGATCAGTTCTGATAACAGAATCTGCTCTCAGTGAGTTAGCTATTATACAGGAGGTCGTTGCATCCAGTATTATATAGACAGACCATAACAGAAGAAGAGTATGTAATTTATTAATACTAATATCCATGGTCAGATCTGGGATTTCTGGTAGTATAATAGCACTGGCTAGCTGTTACTCCAGCGCTTGTAAAAGGCCTAAGATAATTATTCCCCGAATCCTGTTATTATTAAAAGCCAGCATAACTGGATGCTTAGTCAGTAGTAATTAATAAACTGTCAGCTAAAGAGTATCTTAATACAGGAAATATTAGATAAGATCTTAGTAATATTCTATGCCGCGGGCCTGCTGGCCTAACATTATTATACAGGTATTATATATACTATATTAATAAAGGGTCTGATGCTCGGCCTATCAGCTAAGACAGAAGACACATACCGTGGGTAAGATTAGAGCAGACTACTGCTGACTGAAGTAAAATAATTCGGCCTGTCAGATAGTGTATGAGATGTGTACTGGGCTGAGACAGTGGAATTATTTAGTAAAATAACTATAGATAATATTATTGTATCTGCTGCTATTAGAATCTCCAGCAGTTCTTTAAGTACTACTGTAGAGATCTCAGTATAATATATTAAAGATATAGTCTGGTCAGAACTCTGTATCTGTCAGTGCAGGATTTATAATAGTGAGGTAGTCCTGGGTAAGTCCTACTTATAGTATATTCCAGGAGGATAAGCGTCCATTAACAGAATAAATACCATGAATAAATAGAGTTTTTAAAATAGACATTTCAGCTTGCATAACTGTATAAAGAGTTTTATTAAATCTTTATTAAATATTCTACTGACAGGCAGCCTCTCTTGAGAGAGATATAGATAATCTATCTAATATATAATTAAATTAAAAGATTCTTAAAGAAAATAATATTAAAGAAAAGCCTGGTAGACTGTTAAAAAAAATAATTCTTGTTAAAGTTGCTTGGTCTGGCTGAGCTGGAGCTTATCAAGAATCTGATATTATAATAAAATAAATAATACTGGACCTGAAAGCTGATGGCAGCCTTGAAAGTTAATTACTAATAAGAATACTTAATCCAGGTCTGTAATATCTTGAGCGGCCTGGAGCACCTCCACCAGGTCTCTTTCATAAACAGCAGTTAGTCTTGTAAGAACTAAAATTACCTGTATATAAACTGGGACAGAAGAGGCCCTAGCTTATATATAATTTTATAATACTTCTAGCAGGCTCTTAATTCTCTCTAATTCTACCAGCCCGTCCACGAAGAAACAGACAACATATATTTATAGAAATATAAATCTTATCAGGAGCGAGCCCTTCAAGTTAGTAGTAGAAAATCAAGTAGTATTAATAAAATATTAATAAATATTATCTTTCCACAGGGCCTTGGAGTATTTATTAATAGCTAGTAAATCCTAAAGTCTGTTTTCTGCGAAACAGATCAGCTATTTATTATAAATAATAGTGATACTGAGATATAATTAGATTACCTCTACTAAGTTTCTGCAGAGAATATTATTATAAGAGAAAAACAAGTATAAAGCCAGTATATAATTATAGTTACTAATAAAGAAAACCAGGGAAGGATACTGCATGGCTGGATAATCCATATTTTATATAATCTCATTCATCTGCCCTGTATTAACCAGGGACCAGCCTGTGGCGTCTTACATAAGGTCCAGCCATGCCATGGTAAATTATTTAATCTTAATAGAAGGTTCAGGCCTTATATATATCCCTTGAATCAGAAGTGACTCAAACCATTATATGTATACTATCTATTTTTATCCCAAGAGATATTCCGGTATGCGCAGCTGAGTAATCTAATAAAAAAAGTATTTAAGATTATTTATTAGATCTTACTATATTCTCAAGTCTCTGAGCACTGGTTTCTTATTCTAAAATATATACATCTTGTCTAAAGATAGACCTCATCTTATCAAAACTATAAAAATAAGACAGGTATTAGGAGACTTATAAGATTTTAGAACAGACTAAAAATATACAAAATCATTATTCAAGATAATAAACAGATTTTATAGCTGTTAAATACTTAAAATTATATAAGAAGATAAGTTTTAGTTCTTCTTTTTTAAAAAACCTGGCTCATGAATTAGTAAATATTAATACAGATAATCATGGGATAATTAGTCTTATAGCATATAGTCAACTAATTTAACCAGGCCTGCAGAGATTGGTTAATAGCTGTTCTATTAATAAACTGTATTGACCCGCATGGTTCTTAATAACTTCAGAGATGGGGAGCGGACATGCTTTCCTATGTTAAACTAGAGAAAATCTTTATAAGCTACAGTATGAGCTTTTCATATTCATGATGATTTAAAAGACTCTGTGGATATTTACTCTGGGATCATATAGACAGCACAGTAGATATCTGTATTCAAAAGATTTATTAAGATTTTGTCTCATCCTCTTCTTATATTATATAATATACTGATGATAGACTTTGATATCCAGATTTCTTATCATGATAGCTTGATACTTGGTCTTATATATCTGTTTAAGATTTCTTATTTTATTTATTTCATAATTTTATTCTTTCTCTATTATTTTTCTAAGTCTCCCGGCGCCATTCTCAAGGCATAGATAATTATATTCTATAATATAGAAATACTGCTCTGGGAGCTGTCCAGCCTGACTTGTCAGTTATTATAAATCTTTCACGGGGATAAAACCGCACGTTAAAAGAAATCTCAGATAGCAGGTACTATGGCTCTGATCTATACTATGGCTATCCTGAGTATTACTATAATCTATTAATAGCAAAGCTATTTCTGCTCTGTCTATCTTTCCAGCTTAACCAGCCTGGCTATCAGCAAGATCAGCATAATCCTCGCTCAGATCTCAGACACATCCATGGCACAGAGCAGCTTTCACTGAGATTGTCTCTGGCTTAGATTTTGGGCGTTAGTACCATCAATTCATGCACTGCAGACACAGGAAAGCCCACCATCATTGACCGTTAATATTATC